TGCGGCCCCCTTGACGTGACCACCCTCCTCTCCAAGGGCCAGGTTGCTGCTCCAAACGCCCACCCCCACCCCAGTCCACTTGGTCGTCCCACTGCTTATAATCAAAACAATAAAAACACCCCTCTAATAGAGCAAGATTGAAGAGAAGCGGTCCACGTACTAGTACTTTCCTGAAGCTGAGCATCCCCACCGAGTGCGCATGGAGAAGCCCCTCCCTTTCTTTCTGTTCCCGACTTTTCTTTCATTCTTCCTTATTATGGTCTTTGATCTTTTGGTCCCTTTTTTTTTTCTTCATTTATATCCTTTGGAGTCTCGTCGTTGTGGCCCACACTTCTCAGCGGTGGAAACTAGGTGGGCCCTGCCTGCCACAGCTGTTTCCATTGTTCTGGAATTTTCGTCGACAGGCACTTGTGTGGAGGACGGTGGACTGAATCTCTAGATACGGAGCCACACCGTCTCGCTTAAAGGGGACAGGTTGACCTTTGGATCTTCATGTCGTATATGGCCACATCTTGGGGTGTAAGTCCCCCTTCTGCTAGCCAATCTGCGGCGTATTATGACAACAAGGGCTCCACCACTCCTTGAGTGCAGTTTCCTCTGGGTTCCAGGCTCGACCGCTTGTTAAATCAGCGTCTCTTGGGACGGCCCAGCAATAGTTGCCATCTATGCACTCGCTCCGCTTAGGCCCGACAGTGACGGAAGTCTTCTGGAGATGCCTTCTTCCGTGAGAGCCGAGACCTAAGAGTGATAATCATTAAGATGCTGAGATTGACAGAATCACCCACTTCCAGATAGAAGTTCACAGGTATTCTGCATCCCTCGCGATATTTGGCCGCCAATTTGAGGTTGCACAACGATCCTCCCCGTTCTTCCTTCCAAACATGACAAGGTAACTTGCCCCATTACTCACAACAAAACCATGTGCTATGGGAACGTTAGATGACGAACTTATTTAAGATCATCATCCTCGAGCGATCCGGGCACTGTTCCTGCCGACCAGGAGTTCTTCGATACCGTGACTCACCATGGAAGAGAGTATCAGAAATACTCTATCGAGAATGGGGTGTATTTTTGTCCCGTTGACGAGGTAAGGCGTTAGTTTACTCTGACTGCCTGTGAAGGGAGCCTGAAATCATGACGATCTTTCTATCATTAGGACGAGGCGGACAGACTCGAGGCCATGCATTCTGTGTTCTCCCGAGTCTTCGACAACCGTTTAATATTCCCGCCCATTCGAAACCCAAGAAAAATCCTCGATTGCGGCTTTGGGGCCGGAAATTGGGCAATAGAGACCGCTGAACGCTATCCAAACTGCGAGGTATGTGTTTTCTACCCTCGGCGGTGGTGAGCGGCTGCTTTGGTTGCGAGATGACGGGCCAAGTCACCGGTGCATTCTTCTTGTAGTTATGGAAGGGATGGTATGCAAGGTTTCTGTTGCCTCTCTTTCTGAGCAAGAGGAGTCTTAGCAAGCCTTCTGCGAATCCTTGGTGATATGTATTCGAGAGTGACCCTCTAGAATCCCCCTCCCCGTTCTCAGAGTTGACGCATCCCCGATACTGACTGATGATATGACACTAGGTCACTGGAATCGATGTCAGCCCACACATGATTCCCGACGACTATCCGGACAATTTCGATCCACAAATTGATGACTTAAACGGGAGGTTAGACAGGACAGCCATACAGAAGAGAGTTCAACCATGAAGCTGGTTCTAACGCGAGGCTTCTAGGTTCACATTTCCGGCTAGCCATTTTGATCTTGTCCACAGTCAAATGATGGCCGGGGGTATCCACTCAAACAGATGGCGCGGCTATCTCGCGGATATCTTTCGTGTCACGCGGCCGGGAGGATGGTGTCAAATGGTGGAGGTTTACTTTAACGCGCAATCGGATAATGGTACCTTGACGCATGGTAAGCTCTCACCTCTTTCACGGCATGATCGTTGCCAGAGACACTCCAAAGATGATAAGATTCCTAACCGCGCCGAGCACGTTTGTTAGATCATGCTCTCCGAAGATGGTCCCGAAGATACCTTCGCAGCGTCCAACCTTTCAAGGATCCCCGAGCTCCGTTGCAGATGGAGGCTATACTAAGAAGCGCGGGCTTTGTTGACATCGAGTCCCGAGTTTTGACGCTACCGATGTGCGCCTGGCCAAACAGTAAGACTCCCTGCGTCGGTACATCCCAGTGTGATTTCTTTTTCTTTCTTCGGATGGGAATGACTCGCAAGATAATGACTAGATTGTAGACGATCGGGAACGCGGAATCGGGACTGCCAATCGTGAAAACGTTCACAATCTACTGTCCTCGATGGCGGTCTACCCTTTCACAGAGTTTTTAGGGTGAGCCCTTCATCTTCTTAGGAGGTGTCCACCAGCTGCTAATTTCTTCCTAAGCATGTCAATAACAGAAGTTCAACTCTTGGTTGCCCAAGCGAGAAGCGAGGCGAGCAACCCTGCTTTCAAGGTATGTGAATTGCCGAATTTCTCGAAAGGGCTAGGCTAACGTGGAGCTGCTGTGTTGCGAGGTGGGTGTAAAGGCATACTTTCCCTTGTAAGTTATCATTGTAAGCACCTAAAGAGACCCTACTAACCATCATAGATATGTGTGTATCGGGAAAAAGCCTCGCAGGTGAAGAAGTTATGATGGCTTAAAGGTGCGCGCCTCTCCAGAGCAATGCTCTCTCGACGTGGTCTCTGTCCTTCCCGAATCTTGTCAACACATAAACTAAAGGTCAGAGCCTAGGATGCCATAATTTGGGAGTCCCTAAAGGTATAGATGGTCATAAGGCCATCACGGGAGCAAACACGCCACAAGACGGGAGTGGTATTCTAAGTCCTATTCCTGTTTGAACGTCGCCCGAGTACAGCAGGCAAGGTCCGGGGTGGGGCTCGAGAGTTTACGGATCGAACGGGTTAAACCGCGGGAGATGGGCGTGGAAGATGAGGGCAGCTGTATAGTATGGGGAAGCTGGGCTATGCCATCTCCTCTGCATTCGATCCCTTTTCCCGAATTCAGGCGAGCCAATGTTGTTAGAAGAACCGGAAATGCTAGGAGCTAAATATGGAGGAAAGGCAAAATGGGGAAGAGAAGGAGCAAGATGGTCAGTTAGAGGGGTATATTCTTTCAACGCTGTACGCCAGCTTAGTCGATGCTGGTATGTATCAGTGATTGATCAGTCGGAGGTGACGAGCGGTTGAGTGTTTTAGGGTGAGTTTTGCAAAGAGTAACTAATGGTTATTCGCGGTGAAACAACCTCGGCGCGCGCGGTTTGAGACTTGATGTACTTCGTCCTCCTCAGAGCTGCAGATCAATGATCAAAATAGAGTGATTGATCCATCAATTGATAGGATCGGAATTGGAACTTATGCTAGCAAAACTCGAGAAAACGATGGTTGATAGGGGACCTTGCTAAACCAGATAGCATGGGAAGTGGTGGAATCTGAAGAAAGTGGTCACAACTTCATCGAGAGGAGCGAACTTTCCTTCCATCGACGATGCTAGTACTAAAGAACCGGAAGGAGCGAAGGCCGTGCAGGTTCCGAATCTTGGTGCTGAGGACATTCTCGCTCGTAGCATGCTGTTGCTGGTTGCTGACTCGGTCAAAACTCTGAGCTGTGGCACACTTGCGTGTTGTGGAGGAGCGGAGAATCTGGATGTCAAAATAAAACGGCCGTGGGTGGATATTAGAGAGTCTTTGGACGAGACTCCGTGACAGGACCCGACAGCTTGGTAAATGAGCTCGGAGAGATGTGCCCGGCACGCTCAATTTTAAGCGGATGGGATTCGGATGGGGTTGCGCATCACGGTGGGCCGGGTTAGGGTATCCCTGGCAAGACTTTTGGGCTTTTATCATCAAATCCAGGGGCTCTTCTTTGAATCGGCTCAACTCTCTAGACACATCGTCTCCAGATTGGCGCGGGAGGGATTCGTCGGAGCAAGCTTGTAGGGAATCCGAACCCTGCGATTCCCGTCTGGGGCCAATGGACTGACAACATCAAGTCACTTCGAGTCCTTGTCTCAATGACTCCGCCGGGCTGCTCCCCGCAGCGGTTAATGCCGATTCGAGGCACAACAATCGGAATGCATTGGCCTAGCTTTATGTCATCGAGAGGGCATCTTGCTGGCATTGTCCTCATCCAACTCTTCACAATGGGCACGAGGCACTTCCCATTATCAGGATTAAACCATCATAATAGGCGATGGTGGTTTGGGCATCAACTCGCTCCGCCCGGAGAGGATCGGGGGTAACGGATCCATGCAGATCGACAATCATGTGTCCATTCCATCGCGAACCCCCTCTCTCAATGTGATAGGGCCCAGGATCTGCTCTCGCCTTCAAACTTGCCTTTACATGCCCGGGAAAGTGTAGACTGATTACCGATCTTTGTTGCACTCGCAGCGCGTGTCTCTTTGCATTGGTCAAGCCTCTTTGAAATCCATCCATATAGCATCACTCAATATGTAAAACCCAGACCGGCGTCTAGTTAGAGAGGGCATTGGCGACCTAGATCGCGTGGCATCTTGATAAATAGGACGTGCAAGGTGATGCGGGTTGGGTAAAGGTTCCCTAAAGCTAGAGTTAAACGGAGATGAACTACTCTCTCAAGCCTCTCTAGGTTGGTAAATTCGTCGACTTAATTGACCCCTCCATACATCCATGGATCTATCTATAGATGGATATCGATTGCTTTACTTGTCTAAAACAGTTCAATGTTTGGCTGATCCATTGTGTCTGCTTCTCGCTTCCGGCTAGTTTATGCATGGCCGGGTGGTATTGACTGTGGCACTAGATTCACGGTACAGCTCGAGTGCCACGTGCATTGAAATTGCTCACTCTTTGTTTTTCTTTCTTTTTTTCTCTCCCTCACCAGATCAACCCCATCGCCCATACCTCCCGATAACGAATCCCTAGAGCACGCGAACTCGCGACTTACCTCGCCTCCACCTTTGTCGACTCTCTTCGATGCAATACTAATTGCACCACAATCAGACCGAGATGACCACCGCCTTATTCGCCCGCCGCTTTGCGGCTATTCCCAAGCTTGGAACCGCGCCCCCAATCTCGCTTCGCCCACACCTGTCTTGTGTACGGACCTACTCGACTGCCACCGATTCCCCTCCTTTTCTCCAGAGGCTCAAGGGCGACCTGAAAACCGCGATGCGCGCCAAGGACGCTCAGAGGCTCTCCGTTCTCCGTGCAGTAATGTCCGCGACTCTGAACGCTTCCAAGGGTCCCACCCCTATCCGAACAGACGTCCAGCTTGTTGCCCTGCTCAGGAAGACACAGAAATCTTCCCTCGATGCCGCCAAAGAGTTTAGGGGCGCTGGGAGGGAGGATCTAGCCCAGAAAGAGGAGGAACAGGCGTCAATCTTGGGAGAATATGCCGCGGCCAGTGGCGTCCAGACCCTGGGGGAGGCTGAGCTCAAGGCTCTCGTCTCCGAGGCTGTCGAAAGCGCCAAGAGTGCTGGTGTGGCGTCAAAGGCGCTTGTCGGAGACGTCATGAAAAAGCTGTCTGGTGCTTTGGAAGGCAAGGATGTTGACCGGAAAGAGCTGGCCAACCTGGTTAAAGAGATAGCTGGCAGCGAGTGATGGGATGGTGGGAGATAACAGACTTTCTACCCCGTCTATGTACCATACGAACGAAACTGTAAATTACTGTATTAAGAGTTATGAAAAAGATATGGAGGATATAATGAGGGCTGCTACCTCGGTACTTGCCCCTAATCTATCAACTGCAGCTCGAGGAAGGGCCTCAACCTGCCAAAATACTGGTGTTCCTACGGCTAGCTTGCGGACGGCTCTCGGTTAGGGGCCTTGTATTCAATGGGGAAAACGGACTCCTTGTACGTGGATTTCCTTGAGGATATGGACCTGCCTGCTCATACCACGGTCGAGCCCAGGAAATGCTCGGGAGGAATACCGAGGTAGAGGGAAGCAAACATAGGAAACGCAAAGGCACGACCACCCCAACATTAAAAAAGCACATAAGAATAAAAATAAAATAAAGGGGGAACATACAACACCGGGGATTCGCTGGTCGTCACCGACCCAACTACTAGTTCGGCGCTTCCTGGCTTGTATCTGGGAGAGCGGACGGGATCCCTAACTTTTCAGGAGCTATGGTCGTATGTACCCTCTTTGGTTCTTAGTTGCTTCATATAGCTTGTAGCCTTCAACTTAAATGTTCATTCTAGAGACCCACAGATGCTATCAGTCGGGTCTCCGGCATGCACTAGGTGCTTCGTTGTAGCGAAAACCAATAGATCTTATGGATTCTCGGTCGTTTCATTATAGGCTGTGCTTGATATCACCATTGTTTAGACATCTATGGATAGGAAAGGTGATTTTGGGAGCGGAAAAAGGGGAAAGCAAAACAGATCACAACCGCATTAAACACATATACCTCGGTAGGCCTATCATTGATAGAAGATGAAGAGAAGAAAAAAAAAAAAAAAAAAGAGAAACGAACCTGGGTTCATATCTGGACGTGACCGGGATCGAACCGGTGACCTTTACAGACGCCATTGGTGGGCACCAATGTAGAATGCGAAGCAAACGCGATACCACTACGCCACACGCCCCCTGTTCTGTGGATGCCATTGATCCCTATGCCTAGCCATGAATGAATGTCGCCTAGGCGCTGCAATATTGAGGACCTCGGCGTTCTAAAAAGTGGGCACCATTGCTGAAGAGCCTCCATGACTTCACAACTCTTTCAGGTGGGTACGAAGGTACATTTGCTATCCACAAGGGATGGCGTTAGCGTGCTAGAAATGGCGAACGCATCATTGAGCATTGAGCCATCGAAACGGGTACATTTTTGACCCCATAATAATACTTACTCTGGATTGATCTCTTTGTGTTTGATGCGATAATTCAATTATTACTCACACAGATAAGCGGGGGCCGACCACGGCCGAAGTGGGGTGGGGACAGTGAAAACTGCGCGAAAAGTCGCTCCCGCCCCGTCCGCCGGACCTCCTATAATTATGGGTGCGTGCTCGTCGCACTCACCACCCACTCGACTCCAACCGCAAAATCTTGTGAATTGATATCGAAACTCCGAGGACAGCGAACCTTCGCCAGTTAGGGAATTACACCCGTCATAAAAACCTTTTTTCTTCACGGATCTTGCAGTCGAACTTTCGGTTTCACTTTCGCGTCAACCTGCTTTCGTCTCTTGGGCAAAGTGGGGACTAGGATCACTGTGTACTGTACAACCGTACGTCGAATCCTCGGTCACGCGTGACTAGGTCTTTCCATTCCGGGTTTCCAAGAGAAGCAAGGACCTCCCACCCGAGACCCCTTTCTCCCAACGGCCAGCCCCGGCTTATCGTCATCGCTCAGGCCATCCAATAGCAAACACCTAGGAAGATCCAACATCACGCATCAGACCGATCCACCTGAGCGCTGTGCTGCGAGCCACCCTGTCCTCAACACGAAGTCGGTGAGGCCATTGCCGGGTACAATTTCCCCAAGCACCATATCAGCGACCCAACTCATGGGCGATATCGTAAGCCAAAAGCGGACCCGCCCTCCCTATCGAATTCGCCCGCCCACTTTCCATCGTCGTCCCGGTTTCCCCACACCCTCATCGCCCCAACAGAATAGCAAGACTCCTAGAACCTAAGAGCCCATTACCCATTACCCATCGACCTTCAATCACCAGCATCATGATTCAGTACCCACCTACCATCATCCTTAACACAGATAAGATCTTGACAGACCAGCCATCTGGTTTGGTTCGGACAAATCGTCGTAAGGGGACTCGTTTCGATAAACTCGTGCAAGACCTCAAGGATGCCCTTGGGCCGTCATCGGGGTTGACGTCGGACGATGTTGACGTCGAACACCTCACCCACCTCATGGAGCAATATGATCCTACCGACAAGGGATGGAGATCATATTTTTCGAGATACCAGGCGGGATTATACCCGGAATCTGGTCGATGAGGGAAACGGGAAGAGCAACTTGGTAGGTCGCGTCGACACCGAAATGGGGGTTTCCTCCAGTGTGCATCAAGCATCCATCAACTAACCAAGGGCACGTCTATCCAGCTGGTGCTCGTATGGTCCCCAGGCAAATCAAGCCCGATACACGACCACGGCAACGCCCATTGCCTGATGAAGATTCTCAAAGGCGACTTGACGGAAACTCGATATGAGTTTCCCCAAGGTGATGATGAGAGGCCCATGACGGTCATTTCGGAACGGGTGCATCCCGAAAATGCCGTGGCATACATGTCTGACGACCTAGGTGTGCATCGCATGACGAACAGCGGCAGCGACTTCGCTGTGTCCCTTCATTGTAGGTACATCAAGTGTCGAATACCTTGACTCGACTAACAGATGGCAGTGTACACTCCGCCCAACGTAGCAAAGGGTGGTTGCCATGTCTTTGATGTTGATACCAGCAAGAAACGGCACATTAAGAAGTGCGGGTACCACTCGGCGTTTGGGAAGCTTGTGTGTGAGTAAGGGTAGGTGGTCCAGGTCTAGGCCCAGGCCTAGAGGATCTCGTCCCTTGCCGAATCGGCAAGGACTGGGCGCAACGACGGCCTTGAGGGTGGAGAGTGTGATCTTTCGCCATCGTTCCTATGTTCTGGTATATGAGTACATGTTAGATGACTGGAGTAAGGACCTGTTAAATATGCTTTGGAGTATCGTTGTAATGGGCGAAGAGCCCCAAGATTGATATCAGTATAAAGCAAAGCTTCGAGCAATATCGTTCTTCATATTAGCAAGTGCATTCAAGGTGTGAGGAAGGAATGAGGTGAGGTTGAAGCAGGGGGTCGTTAAACATATGAAAGATTGCTTCCCAGGCCCATCAAGTGTGGTCACGTGCGATGGCATCATGAGTTCACTCCGTGATTGGTTTCTATTGTGGACCCCAAAATGACGGAGGTTTCCTCCAAATTCGGTTCGAAAAGTCAACGCCCTGACCACGCTTCCACAGAGAGGTTTGTGGGGTCGCACGTGATATCGCGACCCTTTCGCGCGAGACAGCTGGGCCTGGAGATGCAGCTTTGGAAGGACCTGCCAAAGGATCCTTTTAGTAGCTGCACACCTAGCGAGCGCGCGTTTACATGAGAGAGTTTCAGGAGCCTACAACCTGGACCCTTTTATTCCATATCAGACTCAAAGTTTTTCTCTCTATCTCCTCACCTTCTTTGACTTATTTCCATTCCGGACATGCGTACATGCATGTAAGTTGCTCTCTAAACAGACCTATACTACTTATACGAGAAGATGGTGCCTGAGCAGTGCTTGACCGATGGATTGGATGGACCTATGGATGGATCCATTTGAATGTCTTCATCGCCCTTGGCTATCTCTAGTTCTTGGTATTGTAGCACGCTTTTGACATAATATCGCTCACCTTCCAGTCCAGGCCGAAGGCCCTAGATGAGTCTTCGTGTGCGTGGGTATCGCCTGCCATGAAAAGTTCTGCATAGCAAGAGTGACTTCGCGTTTGTACCCCGGCCCGGCGATTCATCTCGAATCCTCCTTCCTCACGTAATAATGAATCATGAATGTGCCCATGATGTTTTCCTAAATCTACGTTCTTTCTTCTACTTAAGAGCCCAGCGATTTGGCAGACTCCCGCCGCCTCATGTTATCCAACTTCTAGATACCCAGCTCCGTGGACTAGAAGGGTACCCCCGCTCTTCCACGACAGGCCAACTTAGCTGCCTCGATCATCTCTTTCCCACGCTACAAGCTTGCCACTGTGCACACCATTATGACCCCACTCAAGAGACGACCGTCACCGGCCAGCGAGGCGATCAGTTCGGGCGGAAGCGCCGACCTCGCCCAGCTCGATGATGGCCCATTACTAAAAAGCCATGTGTAGCTGCCGGGGCTGGATCAAAGCCAACGAGCACAGATGACGTGGCTCATATTTCCTCGAAATCTATGGACGAGGTCAATGCAGACAGCCAGTCCCTGAAGAGCCTTGAAAGGACTATGCTGCTAGTGCCTTTGCCCTCCGCCACAGCGTCAGCTCCCACGAACTCGAGCCAAATATTGCCCGTGCCTCCTAAAGAAAATGGAGGCCATCTCGATCCGAACTTTACTGGCACTTCTCTAGCCAGTGGCGGCTTGTCGACTTTCAAGTCTGACGAGACACCCCCACCGATGCGGATAACACGCCGTCTCTCTATGACTCACCCGCCGAAGATAGAGTTCTCACTGTTCAAGCCAACGCGTTCAAACAGTTGACGGCTACTGGCGGGGATCCTCCCGAAGTTGGGGAAACTGGGCTTAGGGGGAGCCGACGCCAAGACTGAAGGAGGAAGTGAAGGAGGAAGACAGACCCGCGGGAGAGATACTCATTGACCTCGATAGACTGCAGGGCGCGGATGACGAGGTAATTCAGTTCGAGCGAATGAACACTGATGCATCCATCCGTTTTGATATGACCTGGGTGATAGATGAGGCTTCTTTGGCTGAAATGCCAAAGGCTAGCCAGCCACCCCGAATCAAAACACCACTGATGCCTCACCAGCTTCAGGTAGGGTAGAGTTCATGACATACCGTGGTTGTAGGTTTGCTAACGAGTACGCGACATAGGCCCTTCTCTGGATGCGGGAAAAAGAGAACCCAAAGTTTTCAAATGGCAAAGCGACCCAACTCTGGGAGTATAAAGGTGGCGTTTACGTCCATACTCTGACAGGTGTCCGTTCCATTGTGACACCAAGCCTCTTCTCGGGCGGGATTCTAGCAGATGACATGGGGCTCGGCAAGACGCTCGAGATGATATCTTTGATTCTTGATGAGCCGGCAGGGCGACCAACACTCATTGTGGCTCCTCTAGGAGTAATGACTAATTGGGGATTTGAGCTAGCAAAGCACGTTTTGCCCAGTGCCCCAGTTCAGTACCTCCGTTACCACGGCGAAGGCTGCGAGGTGCCCGTTGAGGAGCTGCAAGGCTTCGAGGTTGTTATCACTTCGTATAGCATCCTCTCGCGGGAATCATCCAAGAGCCACAAGCTACAGCAGATTGAGTGGCGGCGCATCATCCTGGACGAAGGCCATGTGATACGCAACGCAAACACACAGGCGGCTAAGGCGGCCTGCAGCCTCAAGGCACAGTCTACGTGGGCCTGTACGGGAACTCCGATGTAAGTCACTGGCCCCAGGGCCCCCGGATGGTGGCGTGGCTACTTACGCTGGCTCGTAGCGTCAACAATTTGAAGGATTTATACTCGCTCGGGAAGTTTCTTGGACTGAATGGGGGCTTGGAGAAGTGTACCATGTTTCTTAACGAGATGAAAGACCACCAGAAACTTCAGATGCTCGTGGGCGCGCTCTGCCTCCGCCGGACGAAGAAGATGGCCTTTGTCAATCTCAAGCTACCAGAAAAATGGAAGAGGTGATTCGAATCGAATTCACAAAAAAGAGGATGCAATGTACCAAAAGCTCCTGTAAGAAACCCGGTCCTATTCCCCCATAAGCTCTGGGAGTATCTAATACGAGTGGCGACTATAGTATAAGCGCTCGTGAAGCGGCCGAGCTCTTCTTTAAATTCAAAGATTATGAAATGTGGAGAAACGTGTTTGAGAGGCTGCTCCGATTGCGTCAAATGTGCGTGCATTGGTCGCTCTGCAAAAAGGGCGCGGAGAGGACGATCAAGGACGAACTTCACAAGCTTATTACAACCAAGAAACCGACGCCTAGTGATTTACACGAGCTCCTGCGTCTTTATGTGGCGGCGGATTCCACGTGCGCATACTGCAGGAAAGTAGTTGGGCTGGATCGGAGACCAGTGATCATGCCATGCAAGCACATCTCCTGTAGATTGTGCATAGAGGAAGCAAGCAAATACTTGGGGAATGCCCGGTATGCAACAGGAAGCAAAACATGAGCCAGGCAATCGAGCTCAAGGCGGAGGATATGTCAGACACTAAGAAGGGGGATATTAACAGCCACAGTGCCAAGACAAAGGCCTTGCTCTCTCTCGTAGAGAAGAGTTTGCGAAATCACGGTTCCAAAGTAATCATCTTTTCACAATGGACATCGTTTTTAGATATCGTCTCTCGGCATCTTTTGGCGGCCAACATCGAGACAATGCGAATTGATGGGACCAAGACGACTGGCGAACGAGACGAGGCTCTGGCGTGCCTGGGGAACGAGAATGGGTCTGTGAGAGTCATGTTGGCAAGCCTCCGCGTTGCTGGGGTTGGTATCAATCTTACAGCAGCTGACACGGTGATTATGGCTGATACATGTAAGTCCTTCATCATAAACTTCCTTGAACACACTGTCCACGACAAAACAAAGATGATGGCAAGAACTGACCAGTGGTGGCGTTTTTCTTCTTCTCCTTTCCCTAGGGTGGGCGCCTGCGATCGAGGAGCAAGCGATCGACCGAGTTCATCGATTGGGTCAGGAACGGCCTGTTCGGGTATTCCGGCTAGTGGTGAAGAATACAATTGAGGAGAAGATTCTCATGATTCAGGACGAAAAGAGGATGCTTGCGGGGACAGCTCTACAGGAAGGGTACAAGCAATTAATGTCTGCAGACGATGTTGCCAGGATGGTGAGGACACTCCTTTCTGAACCAAAGCCAGGCTTTAGAGGAGGGCTCGGGGTAGATGGAAACCTGAATACTCAGACCTAGTGGATGCGGCACATCAAGAGCCCAAGGGGGTTGAACTTGGGTCTTCTAGCCTGCGAGCAAATGGTCAATTATGCGATTATCGACCTGGGGAAATAAAGAGATGTGAGTATCTAGGCTCGGAGTGGTGCACTAAGAGAGCGCAGAGAGAAAACAAATGCAGGGGAAGACAAAGAGGGAAAAAAAAAAGCTATTAGAAAAGCCCGTCTAAACGAGATAGATCAAATGCTTTTCGCCATTTTGGGCGGTTCAACGTGCGATGCCTGCAATTGATGTACCAGTGAGATTCCGAGGGCGGCACGAAGCGACAAAGGCGACAAGACGACAAGCTCGGATAGTGAATGCTTCTTGAAGATTCGTCAATGTACAAGCCGCCGCCCTTCTCAAACAGCCCCATGAGGAGGATCGAATGACGTGCTCGTGCCCCCACACTCCTCTTTTCGCGAGCTTAGAGAGCCAGCCGTGTATCAATCGATTGTGGATTCTTGCTGTACATCGATGCACCTTTTGCTCCTGGGCCCGCGCTTCCCAATTTTTTACCTGTCTCGAGGAGGAAGCAAAGTCATATCATTTAGCTGATTGATTAATTTAATAAACTACATATAATTGTATTATATACACTCCATTTGACCCGCCCTTTTTCTTCTTCTTCCTTTCTCCCATTTCCCCGGTTCAATAAACAGACAAGGCCACAGCGCCGGCCGCCGCAAAAGTGCTGGCAATGGTGATGAAGCTCGAAATAGACAAGAGGGAGATGCCGCTGATCCCATGGCCCGAGGTGCAGCCGCCCGCGATTCTGGCACCTAGCGCGAACAAGAAACCGCCGAGGGCGGCGTTGAAGTCGGTGACGCGGGGGTCGGGGAGGGGCACGACCTCGGGATACCTGAGGCGGAGGGCGTAGACGCCGGCGGCGATGCTTGCGGCAAAGACGGAGCTGGTGTAGGCCTTGGGGATGGCGCCGGGGGCGCCGCGAAGGAGCCACGAAACGTATTTTCCAATGTCCTCGTAGACGGAAGAGACGCCGATGAGGGACTTGCGGAGGAGGAGGGAGAGGAGCGAGGAGGCGCCGATGAGAACGCCGCCGAGGGCCGGGGCGACGAGGGACTTGTAGGGGCTGGGGCCGGCGAGGTTGATGGTGGCGGCGATGACGGCGACGTAGGCGGCCTCGAGGGCGAGGACGGTGGCGGTGCGGGGGCGCCGAGGGTTTCGTGGACGGCGAGAGGCGGGGAAGAAGCCTTGCTCTTGTTCTCGTCCTTGGTCTTGTCGTTGTCGGCGGTCTGCGCAGCGGGGCCCGGCGGCGGCGGGCGGCGATGGCGGGGGCGACGGCGGTGGTGTACAGGATGCCGCCGACGGTGGCGCCGGCGAGCGCGTACCAGCCGGTGCGGAGGCCGAGCGCGGCGTGGGCGATGGCGGTACCGGGACAGGAGGCGGACAAGGCCATGCCGGCGCCGAGGAGGGCGCCGCCGAGGATGTTGCCGTCGTGGCGGGAGAGGAGGCCGAGGGGGAGGCGGAGCGGGGGTTGAGTTTGACGTAGCCGAGTTTGTCGAGGGCGGCGACGGCGATGCTAGGAAGGAAGGAGGAAGGAGGTGTTAGCTTGGTTACCCCATTTTTTTGTTTTTGTTATTCTTTTTCCCGAGGGGGAGAGAGGAGGCCAGGTGACTTACGTAGTGGTTGCGGTGGCGGCGAGGAAAGCCTGGATCATGTCAAAGTTGACAAACTTGAACTGGGAGATGATGACGGCGGGATCGGTGACGCCGGCGGAGACGAGAGCCGCGCCAAAGGCGGCGCCGGTGATGACGGTGGACATGATGCCGTGGGCGGATACGCTTCTCTGGGGAGGAGGTGGCTTTGCCTTGGGTCGTTTTTGGCTCTTGAGCTCCTCCGAGTGGAGGGGAAGGGTAGGGTGCTTTCTTGGAGGATAGTCACGTACTCGGGATAGAATGGAGTTGGGGGGGAGAAGGATTACTCGGGGTCTATATCAAGGTAATCTACACATGCAGGAGGTTGAGGGTGGCCACTTTGTATTTGTATTCACGCTAGCTTGCTCCGACGCAGTTCAAGAGACTAGGTTTCCGTTTCGGTACTAACCGTCAGCTCTTTGCCTCGTTCCTCTTTTTGCTCTTTTTTTCCCTTTCTTTACTTTCGGCTTTGGCTCAAACTCTTTTGGGTTTGGGGGCGCGGGGGGAGGACCCTCTCGGGGTTTAGATGGAGTGGAGGCAAGGCACGGGGGGAACAAGCGAGCGAGAGGTCGCCGAGGAGGCCCGCCAAGCCCAAAGGGTTTGTTGCGAGCTTTGAGAGAAAAGTGGGCGCGCGGGTGTGGCGGGATGAGCAACGATTGCGCCATTTCGCGTGGCCAGGGTCGAGTCCATCGCAGTTTGTGTACTAGCGTCCGTGGAGACACCGTTGCTTTTCCTTCTTGTCCACCATTTCCCTCACCAAACAGCATCGGGGGCTTCGAAAAACGGCGAGAATCCTTTGTTCTTCTTTTTTTTGTGAGAGATGGCCCGGCTCAGCTTCCGGCCCACGACGTCGTCTTTGTGAGACTCTGGCATATTCCTTCCCGCCGGCACCGAGCCTGCTTTTTCCCGGGTCAGCACGCGTGTGGGGTCGGGAGCGACGGCGGTTTTGATTGGTGACCAAGTTGGCGTGTGCCGTGGTTTGATCTCCGAAGCTTTCGCCCGTCGTTGGAGTGGCCGGAGTCCGTCACGCTACAGGGGGATAACTAAGGATAACTAATCTTCCAAATGGGCGCTTTTACCCTTCTGTCTCCCCGTTTATTATATAAATGATATGTGTTGCATTTTGAATGTATGTGGACAACAGAAATTTGCGAAATGCCTAATAGCTCTTGGGCTACTCCACGCTTAGAGGGAATAGCGGCGGTATACTTCTCACTTTCTCACTGACTACATGTCCTTCAATATTCCATGAAAACATATACCGTATGCCTTGGATCGATGCAGAGTTGATTACGCTTTATTTCTTCAATGATCCATGAACATTATTCAGAACAGTGAATCTCGTGGTGCCATTGTGACCATCATCCGATCTTGTCGCTTTGTAAGCTCGGGCTTCGAAATTGATTGATAGTCGCCGGGGAGGGTCGACTAGGGTCCACTTGGGCCATTCGGGGAGAAAGTCCACTGAAAACGCCCTGCCCTGGTGCCCGGAACGAAATGACCTAGTCGGCGATCTCTTGGCTCTTGGCGTCTATTTCGGGCATCTCTTTCTTTTCCTCATTTTCCCCTTGATTTTCATTTTCCTCTCCTCTATTTGGGTTGATAAGCCGGCGTGAAACTGCTTCCATTAGCGGGTCCACGTATCCTCGGAACGGAGCAGATTATTGATACATGTTCGCCAGCAGTAGAACCCAACTTGAAGCCGTCTGGGCGCTATTTGCCTGCCTCTCTTCAGTTCCTAGAGTAGTAAGGGGGTAGAGGGGAGGGGGTCCATGGGTCTGATAAAGAAAAACGTGAAATCATGGATGCACACGTCCTGCGAGGCGATTCCCTTGGAACTCAAATACAAGTAGAACGGAATAGCTGTATATGGATATCTTCAAAACTCGCAAACTCAGAAAAAGGAGGAAACTAAAAGCTACGCTACATCATCGTCAACGCGACAAGCAAACTAGACTAACCACCCGAGAACGTGGAGAACGGGAAGCAGTAATGAAAGATGGGTGGGCTTGGCATCCTCTTGGCTCCATCCTCTCCCCCAAAACCGTCCTTATGCGGTGTCAATCCTTCCCGGCTGTGTTCAACCAGGCTTGGGAATTCTCTACCCCAGAAAGCACGTCTTCGGCCCCCATCTGCCGCCTCCCCCCCACTCATAAGCCCAAGGGAGAATAAAAGGAAAAGAAGGAAAGAAAAAACTTAGCCTCCGCAACCTCCGCATCCACCACAACCGCCACCACCGCCGCCGTCACCGCCACCACCACCGCCGTCTCCACCTCCGCCTCCACCCGTATCTCCTCCCGCGCCGCAGCTCCCGCAGGCCACCGCGGATCCTTCACCTCCGTCTGTACCGCAGGATCCACACCCGCCCGGCCCACCACAACCCCCGTTCGCCATGCCCTCACTGCACGTGCCGGGGCGCATCCACCACCACCACCACCGCTGGTGCTCCCTCCCGCCGGGCATCCGCCGTAATACATGGGCGGGTAAAAGTACATTGGGTATACGTACGGTCCGTAAAGGAGGTACGTTGTTCTGGATTTCATCTCGCGTTAGTGCCCGAAGCAAGCGGGAAATGAGACGAGAGAGTCACCATTCCGTTGGACAAAATGTAAAGGGAAAAAGAAAAAAAGAAAACACCGAAAACACGTACCCCCAGTGATCGTGATACTCGCGCTTGGACGGGATAGACCGGCCCTTTTGCGCCGCGCGTTTCTGCGCCTTGAGGAATTGGCGACCAAGCTCCTTGTTGAACCTGGCTTCCGCCGACGCCGAGACCGAGGTCCGCACCGAGTTGTGCGCTGAAATGTGCGCCGACTTGTCTGATGGGCAGAAGCGCGCTGCTCCAGACTGATGGAACCTGTCGGCAACTGCGGAAGAAGGGAGAAACGAGCCATGTTAGTGATATGACCGGAGAGGAAAGAGTTGTTTTTTTCTTTTTTCAAGGGACGAGTGTTCCTAGAAGAAATGGGATAACACAAAGAAAAAACCTACTTCGTTCCTGAGACGACATGCCAAGCGAGCTCCCAAACGAGGAAATATGCGATGACCTCAACGTCTCGCAGTACCAGCACGTGCACTCCGAGTACACTTCGCCGAATCTCTTCTGGTACGCCTTGGACGTCCACTCGAACCCGCCCTGTAGCGTGGCCGACTCAATCTTGTCGTCGTGGTTGACGAAGCGGTGACACTTGAGGATGACCGTGGAAAAGTAGGCGCTGGGGCTCAGCTGCGCCGTGTGCCACGCCAAGTCAATGTCCAGCGTGGGCACGCACATCTTGCGCCGGAAGCGGCCCATGAGCTCGAGGAACCGGTTGTACTTGACCGTCAGCCGCTCCATGGTCGACCGAGCGGAGGGGCTGTGGAGCCAGTCAATCTATGGGGAAGAGACGTATTAGCGGTTCCGGTCCGGTCTGGTCCGGTCCGGGTATTTTTGAGGTTATTTGCGCCCTCTTTGTTTTTGAAACTCACCTTGTGCATCTTGTCGATAAAGAGGCCCTGCCTCAGCACGGCCCCCACCAAGTCGAGGGCAAACGGCGAGCAATTATTATTGTATCTGCTCAGCATCTTGCGCACGGCCATCCTCCCTTCCCGGGGCAGGTAGCGCCGGGCAATATTCGCCCCTGTGCACGGGGTACCGGCGATGCGGGAGACTTCAGCAATGTTGGCGAGGCGGGCGCCAAACGCCTCGCGCACGACCCCAAAGTCCTCGGGCTGGTCGCGGGACCGCACGCTCACGCCCGGGCCGGGTGCGGTAAACAAGTCGACGAAGAGGGGTCGCATGGAGTCGCGGACGAGGTAGCTGGGAAAAGCGTGCAGCGCGGGCTTGCCGGGGACGCTGGCGACGGGCAGGCCGGACTCGAGCTTGAGCAAGGTACCTGGCATGGGAGATCCGTCGAGCAAGGTGCGGCGCACGTCGTCGACGAAGCGGCCGAGGCAGAGGCGGTCCTTGGTCAGGGCCATGCCGCACTGTTCGTTGGGGCACCATAGGAAGAGGCGGCCGTCGCCGTAGCCGCGGCCCTCGAAGTCGGCGTCCGAGGGGTCCCGCAGGTCCGCACGCCAGCTCGTCCACGGCACCGAGCACCGGCCTCGGCACGCGGGACACTGGATAATTTTGGTTGCGGGCTCGTCGACGTTGTCCCACGGCCGGTTGGTGCGGGCGGTCCACTGTTTCTTGGCCTCGTCTGAGACACGGTAGGTAAAGTCGTCGTTGATGGCGTCGTTGATGAGCTTCCAGGGAGACCGGTGCTCCAGAAGCCGCGCATACCGGCGCGCATGCAGTCTTCGAGAAAAGAGCGGGGATTGAGCATGTGCGAGTGCCAGACCAAGAGGATATCTTGATGGTAGGGGCCGTTAGTGTTAGCGGGCTACTTTCTAGGAGACGTGCGGAAAAAAAAAAAAGAAAAGAGAGGGAGGCAGAGAGGGAGAAACAAAACAGAAACGGATTTGCAAGAAGAAACACCGAAAAGTAACCCCCAAAAGAAAGAAAGAAAAAGGGGAGGGAAAAAAGGAAACTTACCGAGAGGCATCAATTGAACTTCATCCCACCTCATTCTAACCGGATCGACCTGGAACGGAAACATTTCATAGGCAGTGGTCGTCTTCATCTCCAAGTCCGTCATGTCGAGCCTCCGGCCCTCATACGTGTTCCACCAAGTCTCATACCGGTCCACGGCCCTGGCGAGGTAGATGGCCCAGCGCTTCTCCTCAGCCGACTGAGCAAGTGGGGGTTCGGGTTTTCGGCGGGCTCCGGGTCCGTGATGCCCCACAGGCCATCGCTATACCCGATGTCCTCCTTGAGGTTGCGAAAGGCGTACAGCAGCTTGAGGTGGGCGAGGCACGTGTCCGCGTTGGGGAACACGGGGGCTCGTTGCTGAGCTGGAGAGTGGTGAAGGGCAGGGCGGGGGTGAAGCCGGGCGGGGAGAGCGGGAGGGGAGCGGCATGTCCTGGGGGCGACGCTGTAGGCGGGCAAGTCATCGTTGGCGCCGTTGCTCGAGGTCCTATCGAGCAGCTCATGGAGGGGGAGGTTGGCGAGCTCTGGGTCGATGTGGCTCTGGCCTTTGGACAGCCTCCTGTTTGCCTTGGAGCTCATGGCGGCGGTGGGTTGGGAACCTTTCCTTCGGGTTTATGTTTTTGTTACCCTCAATCTCACGCTCTCTTGAGTGCTGTTTTTGAGTGCCGTTTCTGGTTCTCGTTCTGGTTCCTTGTTATCTCTGTGTCCCTCCTTCTTTCTTGGGATTCTGTGTTTTTAGGCCACTTCTTATGTGCTCTTAAGTTGTTGTTTGTTGTTCCTTCTTTCCCCGCGAGGACGGGCACACTCTTTTTCTCCCGTGGAAAAGAAAAGGAATTTGGCAAAGATGGTAGGAGAGGGATGGAAAGATGAATGGGAAGGGGAGGGAAAAGCGCGAGGTGTTGAAGACAAGCAACACCGGCGCCTTTAGTATACGCACGATGCCCTAGAATCAGGCTAGCGCCAGGGGAGGGAGGGGGGCGTGACGGGGAGGGGAAACAAACGACCCGAGGGTTGGAATTTCGGAGCCGGGTTTAGAGGACGCTGGCTTATCCACGCTATGTGGTACAGCTGTTGCAGGGATCAATTCGGCGTATTAGTGTGTGCTGAGAGGGTAGAGAACCAAATAGAGAATGAGTTGGCGTATCCAGGAATGAGGCTAAAAAAGAAGAATCGGAGACAAAGGCAATCATGCCTGAGCTGATATCCACAGATTGAGCTTCAGAGAAGAAGATGTAGGCGGGAGGAGATGGCTCAAAAAGATAGAGAGAGTGTGTGAGAGGATGAAGGGAGAAAGAGGGCAAGATATATCTCTTCTATGATTCACGTTGTATAGCAGAGCGAAGGGAAGGCAGGTGCTGGGCTCACTGCAATGCTCCTTCCCATTTCCAGCGTCTCACGACAACAACCTTGACGTAACGGAAAATAAACTCTAGGACTAAAATTAAAGAAGAAAAAAGGGAGAGAAAAGAACGCAGGAACTTGAAGCTCCGTGGATCGGTCACGGAAAAGCGCTAGCCCAAGGCTTTCTCGGGCAGCATCATCGTCGGCAAGTTTCTTTCGTCAAAGCTTTGCATCTTCCTTCCCTCCGCTGCCACGACGTGACGTACGTTTGTGGTACAGTGTCGCAGTATCTAAGCGTCGCAGTATCGAATCGTCTCATCCATGGATCCATCCAGATCTAGAGTATGGAGAGCGAAGACTGCATCAATGTACGCTCCGCTCAGCTCCGGTGGGGCGAGACGGGAGCAGCAAGGAAAAGGATAGATGGTCAATTGCATCGCATCAATTGATCAATTGATGAGTGGCGTGGCGGGCGTGGGCGTGGGCCTCAACTCGTTGCCCACACATGCTCGGGACCAATTCTGGACCACGTTCACGCCCACGCCCACACCTACGCCCACACCTACGCCCCTGCCCCCGCCCCGCGATGCGCCACTGCTCATCAACGGGTTGATTGATCGGTGCTTGTTGGATCTACATGTAAACTAATTTTTTTTTGCCTGTTTGCCAGTGTCGTGTGATGCGCGCCTTGATCCATGGTATGTGGGCATGGGCATGGGCATGGGCATAGGTATGGGCGTGGATAAGGACATGGCTAGGCTTTCCAGTCAGCCGAGGAAAACGGGGCGGAGCTGGCGCATCTGGCGCATCTAGTGCATCTCGTGCATCTGGCACATCAACAGCTTGAACTGAGCCCGTGTTGGAGGGGATCCACAGCCTTACCTGGACCTGTCCATGTAGGCTGCAGGCAAAAGAAAGCCGTCGCCCAATGGAGAGACCGAGTGGGAATTTTTGGTCGGGGACGAGTCTGCGAGCTTGAAGAAGAAGGATATCAATCAGTGGATGTAATTCCCGACCCTTCCTGTTCTTTTTGCTCTCATCCTCGCCGAAGCGGATTGGTTTTGGGAGCTTGGGATAGCAGCACCGAGGCAAGGGAAAAACGCTCAAGTTCACTTTTATTGACACCCTTTTGCCAATGGCGGGCGCACAACCCAATCACTCCTCCAATCCGCTCGAGCTTGCCGAGGACTCATAGCCCCGTTGTCCCGTTGTCTCGTTGTGTCCCCCACCTCCCACACACCCAGAACCTGCAGCTCTCGAACTGGTTTAGGTTTCCCACCCCCAGCGCGAGCTTCAGCTTTCGCCCGATAATAGCTCCAGCCCGGCAATGACGATCTACTCAAATGACCAAGCCTCGTCGAACCTAGATCGGTCGTACTTGGTCCCCAAACGGGAATCTATGCTCTCAACCTCAACCTCGTGAACAAAATGAGAGAGGGAGATGGACAAAATAACTTCAAAAAGCGTTGAAAATTGTGTCACGAGCAGCGCCAACAAAAGATCCAAGGATAAGGGCAAGGGAAAACGTCTGGTTAGCTTAACACAAACTTCAAAGTGAAAAAGGCTTCCATCGGCTCAGGTGCAGCCAGCCACAGCAGGACCACACTTGAGAAATGCCTCTCCGAGCGAGCTTCGCTTTCATGTCGAGGTAGGCCAGTCTCGCTTCAAAACACCATCATCGTCGTCATTGCTCTTTGAAATCCAAATTGATCCATTGTACCGTAGCTTGGCGCTTGTTTCAAGCAGGCTAAGCTTCACTCTTACCTACAAGTATTCTCGCCCTGCGTTCCCTAGCAACTTTTGCTGGGTTCACCGTCTCCATACAGCCCATCGGGTTCTACGCCAAGCCCCTCTCGCCCTGTTCCGTTGTTCCATTGTTCCATTCTCTGTGTGCCCAGACGGAAGGAACCAGTTCGGATGCAAAATGAGATGGGGAATCCCTCGAGTCCCCTAGCGCGGGGCGTGCTCTCATTCCACCACCAGATAGGGCGTTTTGGTTCTGCCAGCTTTTCAGCTGGAGCCTTTCCAGCGGCTTGGCAACAAAGGGCGGGGAAAGCATTCGAAGCATGGTTGTCCATTCTTGTTCCAGTCGGCGGATTTCTCTAATATGAGTATGTATGAGTGAGTGAATAACACGACGTTTAGTGATGTAGTTTCGTCCGGATCCCTCGGCTGCGATCCACGACGCAAAGCACAGAGCAGGCCTCGCCCTCGTCCTCGCTCTCGCTTACCTCGATCAATCACGAGCGAGCCGAGTTCAACGGTCGAATCCTTTCGCTTGTTTGGATTGAATGCCTGCCGCCGGTCGACATGGGAGGCATGTCTCGTTTCGTGACGATTCATCCCCCACGTGCGAGTTTCCTTTTTCCTGTGCACCTCTCTCCCTTGCTGCGCTGCCTCTCCATTCGATCCATGGCTAGCACCGCCACACCACCCTTTGAAGAACCAAGCCAAGTTCGTCCGCCATCCATGGCCAAGTGGCTCATAGGATTCGGCCTGAGCTGACGGTTTTCTCGTCTTTGGTGCTGGGCATCTCCCCTCCTTCCATTTCTGCGTTGAAGTCCCGAAAGCCGTTGTCGACCATAAGAACATCACGAGGGGAACGACGAAGATGGGACGATACCAAAGCAAACGCTCACAAATGTACCTTACATGTAGCTGCTTATGGCGTAGGGCCCACATGAGAGCCTTCCCTGTATGGCCAACACGTCTGGTGGCTCGGAGAATGAATTAATAATTATGTGATTGATGAATGTTAGAGCACGATGTGAGCCACATACAAGAGCGAATCTTTTTATTTTGTATTTTTGAAGAAAGGAAAAGAAGAAACATGATGAAGCGCCCAAGTTCCTGTATCCCATAACCAAATATGTCCTAGGGCAATAAACACGTTCCCGGATGGTGGTCCCGACTCTCTCAGGCTCTCCCAATGCCCTGCCCTCCTCACATGCCCACCACCATCTCTCTATGTCAACGCATTTCACAGTCCAGTACCGAGGTAGATCCCTCCAAATGTATCCTGCAGAACATGGTATCAGTTGCGACCTAGAAAAGCTTTCTTTTTTCCAAATACGAAAAAAGAAAGTAACAATAGCAAGACATAAACATCTAAGCAGAGCACGAGGGATATCCAAATCGAAGCAGAGTAAAGAAGAAAGAAAAGCCGAAAAAAGGTGCAAAATAGGGGAAAGAAAACAAATAGAAAGGGCCTAATCGTGCCAATCATTTCATCTATCCCTAGGTATATACTAGATGAACCTCCCCGTAAAAATCAACAGATCTCTCCTTCTCTCCTACACACACTCTCTCTCTCCGCCAGCTCTGCTCGTCCTGGGCCCTCTCCCGATGTTCCCATGGTATATGTTTAAACTAAAAGATTGGAGAAAAAAAGTTGTGGAATCATGAGCCGTAGAAAGCAGTAAGAAATGGTGCGAGAAACACGAAAACGCCGTGGTATCATCTCGTCTTTTCCTTCCCCATCTAAATCGGGACATGTAGGGGCTTTTCCTTCTTCTTTTAAACCAAAAAGAAAATAAGGAAAAAGAAAGAAAGGAACAAGAAAGAAACAAAGGGGGAGTAACACGGACGGGGAACGAAAAAGAAATCCACATCTCTCATACGCCGCACCCCCAAGACGGCATCCCACTTCCTGCCTGCCCCCAACTCCCCCACCTCACTCACTCACTCACTCTCTCTCTCTCTCTCTCTCTCTCTCCTCCCGGCTGATTCTTAAATCACCCCTTGCTGCCGTATAAAGTCCGTCGCGATCCGGTCTCCGCCCTGATCTGCCGCTTGCATCCAATGCAGCGCCATGCACATCAGCGCCGGATCGCTCCTCACGTCCTCGCCGCCCTCATCTCCACCCCCGAGCTGCGCCCCCGATCCCGTCGCGCGCGCTCTTTCCCTGTCCGCCGGGTGCCTGCCGACCCCCGAGCCACCCCGGCCCGGCCCACCGCCGTACGTCTCCATGATGGCCTGCTTAAACACCTCTCGTGGCTTCGACAGGGGCATCGTCACCCGGTCGATAAGTTCTGGGTGCGAGAGGCAAAACAAGCCAAGCTCCCGCTGCGATGCTGGGTTCTGTTCCTTGGCCGTGATTATCACCATCCTCACCGCGTCCGGAAGAGTGTACTTGCTTGTGACCGGCGGCGGCGATGGTGACGCCGTCGAGGACAGCTGCTCCGCCGCGCTCTCGCTTTGCGAGCTCATCGTGTCCACCGCCTGCTTCCGTTTGCTCGTGTGATGTTCCACCACGTTGTCCGTGACCTTGACCATCGTCTGGCATACCTCCTGCTTGAGTCGGATCGCTGCGAGCCCCGCCTCCCAAAACGACGTGCCCTTGTCCGACTTGTCCAGCACCGAAGACGGAACAAAGGCTGCGATGAATTGTAGGTCGCGGAACAAGGTTTTCGGCCGGATTGCCGCATCCTTGAAGAGGGACGAGAGCACTTCTAGCACCGCCAGGTCCATGCTCGCCGCGTTTGCCGTTCCCGGTATCCGCGTCTCCAGCCCCAAGCCCCTGAACTGGGTTCCGGCCGCCAGGCCCGATCCCCCAGCCTGCATCACCGACTGCGACCGTCTCTCCTTAATCTTATCGATGGCGTCGTCCAACGGGCTCTGCCTTGTCCCTTGCTCGTCTAGCCCTGCGGTTGCTTGCAGCTCCGAGCGCGCGAGCGCGAGCCGACTTCGTTTCGAGCCGCCGAGGGTGAGCGAGGAGAGGATCAGGTGCTTTAGTTCGTGAAGCGCGTTCAGCTTCACGTTGGGATTCGGGTGAATCGTAAACATGCGAAGGAGCTTTTGGTACGCCTTCTTGTACGGAAAGTCGGATCGGGCCCCGCGGTTGGAAGTCCGGCTCCGCGCCGTCAGGGTATCGCTGGCGCTCGCCGTGGAGCTCTCATGTCCTTGCAGCGGCGGTGGCGCCGCCTCAGCCGCCGCGCCCTCGCCCGTTGCTTTCGTGCTCACCAGCGTTTCGCCGGCTCCCGCAGGTTACCAAAGCTCTTCTTCTTCTCAATCACTCTGGGTCGGGGCGACGGCCCCGCCGCCTTGTCCTTCTTTGGTGCCGGTGTCGATGCCGCAGCACCAGCACCGGCGAGGGTGCTGGTGGGGGCAACCTTGGCACCACCCCCTGCAGCGGCGGCGCGCCTCGCCTTGCGCTCCGTCGATTCCTGAAGGTCGATGCACTGTTGGCCGAGATCCTCGAACCAGGCGTCCGTCTCTGACCCTCGGACGAACACGAGGTTTCCGAGGTCCGAGAGCAAAAGACTAGTCAGCGTCTGCCGGAGCTCGAGCAGAAACTTGACTTCTCCTCTGATAGTCGCTGCTGGAACACCGTCTCGTTGGACGACGTCGCCGTGCCTGGGCGGCCCGTGGATTGGCTGGTAATGGTTGGTAGCGAACTGTGGAACCGGCCGGAAAACGTGCTGGATAGGTTCGTCACGCTTGACGTCGGCGAATGCGCCCGCGACGTGGCGTTGCTTGCCGACATGGTCGACTGGAAGGGTGACCAAAATGTCGTCGTAGAGTCAATCGTGTGTACCGGAGAGGACGCGCCAAAGTAATCTTGCCCATCCAAGATATCCGAATAGTTGGCGCTGGCCCGAGAAAAGCTGAAACGGGACGAGTCAAAGGATTGCTGGCTCGAGTTGAACCCCGATAGGTTGCGGAGATCCCGGAGCGTCGCTAATGGCCGACTGCCGGTTCCGAACCTCCTGTCCGAGTCGGACAGGATGCTCGACGTGTCATCGCCGCCCCAAAATGAGTCCCGGTCGCGGGGCGCCCCATTCTTGCTACTTTCGAGCATTTTCCTGTCCCGCAGGTACAGCTCGCTCGACCAGAGAACTGGCGCGTCAACCATGCTGTCCCCAATCAGCTTGCCGATGCAGTTATCCACTTCCAAACAGAATCGGTGGATGCGCTCTTCTCCCTGACAAAAGGCCGACGTGATCCCGCATTGCTGCAGCCACCTCTGCGTCTTCTCCGCCTGGTCGTCGCTTAGCTTGTTGGGGCCACCCTGTTCCTCCGTCGCCGCGAGGAGTTCCATGATTTGGGACTCGGCGCGGTAAATGTACGTTGCCCCTGCGCCCCGCGCCGCGCCGGCTCGTCCTCTCCGTGGTAGGCCCATGGTTTTTAGGGCCACGCAGATGTTGCGGCTGTGCTCGTACGGCGCCGAGTTGTGCACATCCGTGACATACCACATTTTATCCCTCAAGGCGCGCAGCCTCTTTGACATACCATCTAGATGGCCCTCGAGGCGTTCCTGGCTTTGTTTCAGCCAGACGAGCCACGCGTCGTAGTCCTCTATCGCGGCCGCGGACCGGCGGATCGAATCCTGGGGCCCGCGTGAGAAAATGTTCAACAGCACTGCGAATCCATTTTGGCAAAGGCTGGGGGACTTGAGCGAGTTGAGTTGCTGCAGGGTCTTCCAGTACAAGTGAGCAGAGACAAAGTCCGACTGCGCTCTCGACTGCGAGGAAGCCGCCTTCAGCATGGCTACCAAGACGGAAGCTTCCTGGTCGTCCGAGCCGCCGGATGGGGATGGGTCTCCTTCCATGTGGTTGGGAACTTGGGTATCCGCGCCCTCGCTTCTTTGATAATAGGGATTCCGACTACGGGTGGAGCTCTCGGAGGTGATGATTTTATTCTTGTGCCGATACTTCTTGATGCCGGTTGCTCGGTTGCTCAGCTGCGTCTCTCTTCCTTCTGGAGCCGCGGTTCTAGGTATTTCATAGTCTTCTACGAGCTTGAGGATGGAATCGCGAAGCTGGGAGTACTCCTTGTCGAGGTCCAGGTCTCCATCGTCGTCATCCGAGTCCGAGTCCGAGGTAATGGACGAGGTTTCGTCCTCGTCGGCGTCGTCGTCTGGGTCGAACGTCATCTGGGATGAGAGACGGCTGCCGTTTGACGAGATGAAGAGCACGGCCCACCGCTCTGCGCAAGGGTGGCAGGATCCATTCATCAACTCCAAGCCGAGGGACTGCGACATCTCGTGGAGCGCCAGCCTGAGGCGGTACCCATCGTCCTCGTAGGTGCTGGTCCGGTTGGACGAAAGGACCTCCGCGGCGGGTGGGGTGTAGCGCAAGGGGGTCCCGGTTCGCGGGTCGAAGCTCGACGCCTCCTTGGAGCCGGTGTTGTCACTGATCACGGAGGAGGATACGCTATTGCTCAGCACGGACGCCGTCTCAAAATTGGTGTTCCCGGTGGTGTTGCGAGATACAATGGACATGGGCTGGGAAATGGCCGAGAATCCAGAAATCGATGGTGCTCCCGATCGAAGGCTGCTCGAAGCACGCGAATGAGGCCGCTGCTCCGGGTACAAGGCGTTGACCATGGTCACTAAATCGGCGGGGCTAATAACAAGGTACGGATGGACTTCCACCGTCTCTCGAAGCGAAGTCACGGATCGGGCTGGTAACAGCTTTGCGGTGGGAATGTGCGAGCGGGTGCCCCGAAGCTTGTTGAAGATATTCTCAATGTGTGTTTGGATCTTGGACGGGAAAGAAAGGGGAGCCTTTTTGGTCCAGGAGGCGTACTCGGCAACGTATTGCATGGCCCTCATGGCGACCTGCCACAGGATCTTCTGCCGGCCATACTCGGTGATGTGGTATTCAGCCATCATGCCGTGGCTCTCGGGGTGAATGATGGCGCGGAGGAGGAAAGTCTGGAAGAGCCATTTGCAAACCAGGAACTTCTTTGTGCTGTCCGCTCGCTGGGGATCCAGCTGCCTAATAATCTCGTTGCCCAGTTCCAGGAAACCCTCGGGTATGCCGGTAGCATCGTCATCATCAATTACTGCAAACAAGTCTCCTACTGCCCTTTGATAGAAGTCCTCGGCGGCGGCGTTGTTGCCATCCCGTGCCCAACCGGAAATGTGGAACCGAGTCCCGTGTTGGTCTTCCGCCCGCGCAAGAAGAAAGGCGCCATCCTCTAAAATCTTCATTAGGTACCACTCCATGTTCGATCTACCGGACCAGTCCCTCATTGATGACCAGGCATTCAAAACTGATAGGAGAAAAGGTTCCAAGCCAGATTTGGCTTCCGAAATGAGCCGGGAGCAGGCCGTTGCCCAGATCTGCGTCTTCCTTCGATCCTCGGAGCTATCGGGGCCAGCGGAATTCGCGAAGCATGTGTAAATCAAGGTGGAGAGGGGGTCGTGTCTCTGGAATGAAAGGAGGCGACCAACAGTGCTGGTTGCCTGCCCTGGATTACGCGCCGCAGTGCTCATATTCCCTCGCGGTGCGGGGGCCGGCTCAGATGGGAGGGGAGGACGGATTCGATGGGCTCCAGTCCTTGATGAAAGCTTGTCAACGTAGTTAGTTCGGAGCTCGAGAGAGAGCATAACCTTGCAGCTAAGAAGTCCGGGTTGGTCCGTATCTGGGTCAAGAAATGCAAAAATACTTCACGAGCAGACGCGGAGATGTCGTTCAAGAACGGAGAGAGAGAGCCAGGAGCACCAGGGTCCGGTACGGGGTAGAGGAGGCATCTAGGTTTTCAGTAGAGTTGAACGCCGACGAGTTGAGAGAGTCCATCTCTGGTTCCAGCAGGGTGTACCTCCGCAGCTCGTCGCAGCTCTTCCTCACATCATGAATGGCGTTATACAAGCTAGCGAAGGTTTTCTTATCATCGGTTCGGAAACAGTCTACAAGATTTCGATGCGCCATCTCCCCGCAGCGCGTCAAGCGAGCGGACAAGGCGGCCGAAATCAAGCTTCTCTGAAGCCGTATCCTGGTATTTGCGCGCTTGCGCTCCTGGTACTTGCTAAGCCTTACTAGATGAGCAAGCTCCTCCAGGGTTGTGGTATCAGGGTCTGGGATTGGGTTGGGGTTTGTGTAGAGGGAGAGGTCCGGCAGTAGCGTGCTGGCCAAAGAGGGAGGCGCCTGTTCCCGGTCATTCTGAACCGGTTCCGGTGAATGGTCGTGCATGACGGCGGTCTGGGCTATCGGAGTAGACGGGCGGACGATAGGCTGGGCTATGATGGGCCGCCGCGCGGCGCTCGAGCTTGCGGGTTGGAGGGAGAGGGGCCGTTTGGGGCCATCTTCGTTTCGACGGACTGAGATTGAAGTCGAGTGAGTAGTTGCTGTCGCCGCTGCTGCTGCCGTCGCCGCTGACGCTGACGCCGTGGCCGAAGCGGCGCCCGGGAGGACGTAGTTGGGGCTTCGCGACCGAGCTCGTGGTTGTGAACGAGGAACGTCGGTTCTGCCTTCGGTCGATAGAGGGGCGGGCTCTTTGCCGGATTGCGGTTGTGATTCAGAGGTGGACGCGTTCGGCACGGATTCTGTAGATCATGGTCCTCGATTAGCTAAATAATTTCCCCTCCTTACATTGTACGTCGAAACATACGCGAGGATGACTGAATGCGAACTGGCGAGGATAGTGAGCGCTGCATGGAGATCATAATGCGCCCATGGAGGGTGATGGCGGGAAGAGCAGCGTTGCAGGCCAGGTGCCTTTGCGCTAGAGGGTCTAGCGGGATGATGAAGTTTGGCCAGTTCTGCTTCCGCGGGCACGCGTTTAGACGCGGTGTCAGCCGAAAAACTAGACCAGAGCGTTGAAGTGCATAACAGGTGATGGAAAGAAGGCAAGGGTTGGCAGAGATTAGTTGGGGGTGAGAAAAAAAGAAGAGTCGAGGTCAAGGTCGGCTTTTGGACCGTGTCGTTTGGTGGGAGGGACGCTTGAAGGAATAGGACCTCTGCCTCCCCAAATTTCTGGACTGTGGGGAAGTTCTCAAGGATGGGAGGGGTAGGTCTAGGGGAGGTTGGGTCAACTGGGCGGCGAGGCGCAGAGATGGCGGATGGCGGATGGCGGAGGGGGACAGAGAAGAAAACTTCAACAGTGTTTCTCAAGCCACATTCCAAAAGCGTGACTCGGGACCCCGACCTGGGAGAAGAGGGAATAAGGGCGAAGGGTGGGAGGTGCAAAAAATACAAAATTTAGAAGACAAAAACCCTTCGGTGAAGCCTTGATGGAGGGAAGGAAGCCAGATGAGGGTGGAAGTCATCCGCCCTTCAGATGTGAGACCAGGGCCAGTGCATATGTCCCCTGCCATTCGCAAGTGGATCCGGAGCTGGCAGGTACCTTCCCATATTAATGGAACAGCTATTCCTTCATCTCTCGTCGCATGTGCACACGGCGCTGTCCTGCGCGCCTCACTTGAAAACGGTACGATGCGCGCCGGCTGCAGCAAGGGCCTCCCAGGCCTCAAACCTCCTCCTTACGCCAATCCAGTGGCCGCATTAAGCCATTTCTGGGCCACCAGCCGCGAAGCAGGAAGGTAGCATGGCGGCAATGAGTTGGCAAGTCGCATGCCACGACCTCTCCTCCAAGCTAACTTCGTGTCTCATGCTACGAGGGTAAAAAACGAGAAAGAAGAAAGGATAAAAGGGGAAAATAGAAAAAAAAAGCACAGATAAAGCACAGATCATAGGCCAAGAAGAAACTTGCACGATCAAGTTTGCCCCGTGTTGGCCCCATCCCCAACCAGCTGGATCCTGCCTGCCCTGGATACGATACGGATCATGGCCCTTCAGCTGCCTTCCCCCGAAACTGGAACTCGAGACCACCTTTTCCACGAGAGAGGCGAGGACGGACTGGCTGACTGCTAGTCAGAAAAAGATCGCGCAACTTGGAACGAGCGAGTCGATCAACGGAAATCCCGATCTGAATGGTTGCGGGGTATACGATGAGGGCCAGCCACTTTCAGTGTTCATTCTCGGCTGCCACACCACCTTCCCTCATGCTCATACGTCCATGGAATTTTGCAGGAGGCCCCTAGGCCCGCCGAAGGGAGGGGGAGAGCAAGGACTCGAAGAAGGCATGTTGCCACCCAGGCCCGACCTCCCGGCTTCTCTGCGTTGGCCTTGCATGGTAGAGGAGATGGCCACATCCAGTAGCAGGGCGACAAGACAAGCACCCCAGTTACCGCATCTGGGAAGGCCATATGAACCATCCCACCGCTTCACCACATTTCCGCCCTGTCCAATCTGCGTCGTCCACGCTTGCCCCTGCCCGCCAACTCACCACCAACGCCGCCCAATCAAACCTGATTGATTTCCCCCTCTTCTTTTTCTGTGTCTCCCACCCAAGACAGCCTGTTTCCCTTGCTGGATCATGTCCACTTCACCGCACGCAACCTCCATTTCTCCCACCTGTCCTATCTTCACTATGGACCAATAACGCCGAGTACGTGAGAGAGAGTGCATAGTATTGTCTCAACTTCCCTCCGCTTCCTTGGCCGGGACTTGTTCGGAGCCCACCCTTTTCCCCTACATTTGCCTCCGTGTACCGACCACTTTCTAGACCGTGCTGGAATACGCAGCACGTCCATCCTCACGCAAGTCCTGGTGAGCTGATGAGTTGCCACTGCGGGCCAGGCCGAACCTCTACTCAGTCTAGCCTTTCGGACAAGGTCGTTGCAGCACGCCCGTCAGCGTGCCATACAGGATCTACCTAGATCGCAGACGGGCTTCCTGTCCGAGGCCACGTTAGCTTTCAGCTATGTCTGCGCAGCTCAGCTCTTGTCGCTCTATCTTCGTCCCTCGTGAACCCGGGAACGCTTCTTCTGGCCGACTGCCTCCTTTCACGCTGCACAACAGAATCCCTTGGTAGGAGCATGGGATATCTGTCGCAATCTCTGTGACGGCGTATCACAGAGCGCGAGGCTTCTATGGACTAAATTCTTTGGTCAGCCAGGTGCGTTGTACCACTGTCCATGATGGCCACCATGATTCCCTCTGCTAGTCTGCCTACTGCGACGAAATCCAGCGCGGAGGGACGAGAGTTCGCAAGTCCGCAGGCTTAGCAGTCCCTGTGCCTGTTCCTGGATTATTGTAGATAATGAACTTGCACCCCTCCCCGGTTATTAGAGCAGCCGGTATAAAGTGGATTCGTAGATACTCTCTAGTAGATATGTTGATCATGGGAGATCTCGCCCCGACCCGAGGCCTACCTGATCACTCTAAACCGACATCTCGACCGGTGCGAAAGCCCCAAAAGGTGCAGTGTCGTCTTTTATTCAAACACCCCACCAAGGGAATAAAAGCATGAAAGACGGGTTCATCGCTTCCTCCCGCTGGATCGGCGCAGTGTCACCTCCAGCGGACCCCGTTGTCCTGCTCGCCGCAGCAGCCACGACGCTACTGTAGGTACAGCCACGGCCATGTGTTCTCTCCTTTATGGAAAGACGACGTCCTCGCGCCTCTCCGCGAGCAAGCCGTCCCCCAAACCGGCCCGGCCAGTGGATGTACGACCATGGCTGTCCAGTCGACCACCCTAGTCTTCCCGCTCGCTCCAGTGTGACTGGGCCACAGACGGACATAAAGGAATTGTGTCATGCTGTATGGTGCTACGCTACGATAAGCCCCCAGCACTCCTTTTGGCCTGATGAAGCGAGATTTTGCTACGTCATCTCGAGCTTCTTTATCTAACCTGTATCGGGCATCCCTGTAGCCAGCACCTTTGAGATTTCCGGATTGGGACTTGTATATTTCCATGCCCAAAATCTTCTTGAAGATGGCAGAGCTTCCTACACCCCCAACCTCCCCTAATCGATAAAGTGCACCGACGGTTCACCGGGCAGACCGAGATATCTCTTGAAAATGGGCGTAACAACAGGCGGAACGGGACATGGGGTCGCGCCGTTCGAGAGTGAGAAAAGGGAGAGTAACGTCAGGTGGAACGTGTAGTTTGTTCCTGCACGGTCCAGTATGATGAATCAGGTCAGATACATATATATATTATATATCCCTACGGAAACACTCGCACCCAAACTGAGGGTGTGTCCTGATACCACGATTCTTTGTTTCCCTATTTCCATAATGCAATAACCCCCTTCCTTCAACCGCAACCCTGAGTCTTCTGATACCAGACCCTTGACGTCGATCGAAACCAGCAGAAACAATGTTGAGAACCTTGCAGTTACTTTTGTATGACCCAGCCTACCAAATGCCCCCGATACCCAGATATATCTCCAAAGAGATGTGGTGATAAAAATCGAACAAGAAGAAAAGAAAAACACTCCTAGAGAAGATGGCTCCCCACGCCCCTCCCATTCGTAGGCCCCGATGGCCTTGGTCCCAAGCTCAACCAAGTTACTGCTTATTGGCACGGAAGCGGACATCTAGGAACTTGAGTGTCGTCATGATACTCGCGGCATCAATCTCAACTGCGGGCCGGTTGGGGGATGATGGCTCGTCGTCCTCATGGCGCTTGACAACCTTGAGTTTGGGAAGCCAGGTCCCGATCTCCTCAAACGCTTGGTCAAAGTTGCGGTGAGTGGAAAGCGTTTTGTAGGTATCCGCAATGCTAATGCCGATGGGCCTTGTCTTATTGTTGCCGCTCCCACCGGAACCTGAGGTGGCAATGCCGCCCGGCGCTGTGTTGTTCTTCGACTTACAGCAGCCACCACCTGGTCCGGCGCCACCGCAGCAGCCGCCGCCGCTCTTCTTGCCTGCGCCGTTGATAGCCGCGAGAGACCTGCAAAAAGCCCAGACTGCGGATCTGACAAGCACTGGGCACAGGTTCCAGGGCCGCTTGGGCCACATCCCGAGGAGGATGTGGCGGGAGCACGGTTGGGAAGCTTCTGCCTTTGCCGCAGTTTGATGGCCCCAGTCGAAGTGACCTCCATAGGTATAGGGGCAGCGATTCAGGCTCAGGGGGTGGGGAGAGGCCCTGCGTCGCTTCTACCACGCGGCTTTCTTGGGAGAAAAGGGAAGGAAGGGAGTGGTTCGAGTCATTGCCTTCGGCCATAGACGCGCTCGCGAGAGCAGCCTCGGCGCAGACACAATATGTTCCATCCTCGCAGAAACCGCAGGCATCCTTGGGAGGAATAGTGATCCGGGAAGTGAGATCAATGGCGATATCACTAGGAAATTGAGATGACTTGTCAAGCGCTGTTTCAAGAGGTTCCTTCTTCTTGAAAGCGTTCGTAAAATCCGTCTCGTTAGAAGTATCCGGGGTAGAGAACGGAGCCGCCCGGAGGCGCTTTCCTGTGGGACCGCTCTCAGAGGGAGACGCTGGCCGTTTGGGTTGTTGTGTAGGTGGCGGCGGGAGTGGAAGTTCAATACTCTTCATCGCATCTTCCAAGCACTGACAAGTATCCCCAAGCCCGCATTTCCCGCAGGTGGAGTTCTGGACGGATCGAATGGCCTCTTCTACGCAGGCACAAGGACCATCGGGCCTGCAATTTCCGCAGGTGAGGTCCGATGTGTTGAGGAGCGGGTCCGAGGGATCCGGAGGAGAGATAATTTGGGAGATGGCAAAGGCGTGCATCGACGTCCTAGTGACGGGCCTGCTCTCGCTCGTGGTGGGCAAGGTTGTATGCGATGGTTGGTTATATGAGTGGCTTCCACTAGCCCCGTGCCTCGGCGTATGTTGCTGAATGCTAGGGAGATGACTAGGACGACTCTGGCTGTTTGCAAAGGCCCCTTCGGAACGTCGGCGAAGACCCTCGGCTTCGCCTTCGACACGGATGCGTTCCTGGCGCTCGCGCTCGAGTAGGTTTTCTAAAAGGGAGCACTTTGAACGGAAGGATTGGAGATCGAGCTCGAGGACGCGGATTTTGTCCTTGAGGTCACGCTCGACCTTGTCATGTTCATCGCGCTGCTCATCGAGCTGCTCCTCGAGTTCGCCTACACGGGCAGCCCGACGTTCCCGGAACGCCCGCTGAGCGGCTCGATTCTGGGCCTTTCTCTTGGTTGGAGGTGTATCAGTGGCTGGCTTCCGGCCGGGTTTGGGTCTGGGAGGCACGATCCATTCCTTGGTGGTCATGGACACCTTCGGAATCAGCTGGGGCGGAGGCGTCGGATCCGGGCTTATCACCGAGGCCATCGACATCTTGTTAATCCGGGCGCTCGATGGCGATGCAATAGGTGGCGAGTTTGAATATGAATTTGGTCGAATGGATACTGGCGGGAGGCCATTCGCATTTGAATGGATTAAGTGTGGTTGGATGGGGGAGGATGGGAAAGGTTGGGGGTTGGAGTGGTGGAAATAGTGGGCTGAGGGCGGTTTTGCTGGGGTGGACCAAGTGAGGGGTTTCTGGCGCTCGGCTCTAATTTGGCCTGTCGTGAGTGCATGTGGGCGGCAGCTGCAGCGCTGTCGGAGAATGCCGCTGCCATGGTGCTTTTAGTCACTGCCTTTGCAGACAGGCCCCAGAGATCAACACCCACCCCCGATTCGCCGCACAATTCGGTCTTCATGCAATCGAGCCCGTTGCCAAAAACGGGCGTTTGGGATTTTGTTATCGATCTTCTGTTGGCTTGAATTTTCTTTTTCCCTGGGGTCCTCTTCCTTGATGTTGTTTTCCGTGAGAGGCGAAGAAGATTGGCTAGCGACGTGCACTACACTGTTGTGCTGTAGCCACAATGCTCCTCAGAGAGCGGTACGGAAAGGGAGAGAAAGTGATAGATGACAAGACGTGAATCGGTAGGTACCAAGTGCCGATGCGTCTGTGGTCAGAAGCTGCTTCCCCGCTGCAGTTGGTGATGTTCCTTGGATGTAAGCAGAACGGACAGTTCCAGGAAGCTAAAGTGTCTCCAAGATGTGGAAGAGGATTTTGTGATCAAAGGGTAGGGGAGATGCAAAGCCAAGTTGGCTATGTATCAGCAAGGGTCCAACGGTTATAATATAAGGCTTTTGGAGAAAGAGAAGTTGAGGATGAGAGAAGTCCGAGCTGGAAGGATGGCAACTGTGGGGGCATGAAAATTCTGGCTTGTGCCGAACGGACTACGGTTGAGTACAAGTTCAATCTGCTTGGACCTGCCTGTGGTTCTTGGTACTCGTACCATCCGCGATGACCAATGGGTGGGCGTTTTTCTGTCAGACTCGCTCAGGGCGTTAAATTGAATGCGCTTGACCAAGTCGATGCAGAGCGGACGAGAGAGGGAAAGAGGGAAAAGGGCAGCAAACGATGAAGTTATTGATGAAGGCTTAGCATCGAGAAAAACCGTGAAACCCGTCGATGCACAAGACAGAAGATCGGGACCTGTGGAAGTAATTGTATTGTGAAAAGGAAGCTCCGATCAAGGAGTCAACCAGGGTGACGACGGGATTGAGTCGGTTGGGGGTTCTCGACTGATCGATCAGATTGATAAGATTAACCAACATTTCCCAAAGGAGTAGGGCAGGGGCTCGCTCGCGTCCCATTGGCCCCAACTGGACCCAGCCCCAGAGTAGCCGACCTGAAAAACATGCACTACAAATGTTTTCGACACGGCCCACTCCAGGGTTCGACGCGGCCCTCCAATCGTTGATGTCGCAAAAGGCGGTCACATCATTATTACTTTGACTCGTCATGATTTGTTTCGGCCTGGCACTTTCCACTTTATTCTCTGGGCAGTATGCGAGACACAAGCGTTCGGTTGGTGGTGCGCGAGGTAATATTACTATCCTACTCCACGCTTTTCAAGCCCAGACTCTTCCGAGCCCCAGCATATCAATCATAACCCCTGGACGATTGACGGATCATTGAGGCTTTGGGCGGGATCGAGGGGATGACAGAATGGGGGCAGTGGGGAATGGAGGGGTGGGGAGGGGATATCCCGCCCTTGACCTGAACTGGCATCAGATCAATGGCAGTGGCTTCGCTACCTTTCATCTTTCATCTCGGCTGTCTTTTGCTCAAGGAGGCGCCGCCGAAGTCTCTGGTGAATGTGAGCATCAACTCGTGCTGCCTCCCCTCCCCTCCCAGGTCGGCGGGGAACCCCTACTTCTGCAAGCACACTAGACTTTCGTGCGGTTTGATTTCGACGCAATTGTTGCCCAGAGTTCAACTAATTTGTGGAAAGAACGGGTCCCAGTTTGCGCTAGATAGACTCGCCGCCCCCATCTTTCCCCGAACGAGGACCCGAAACAAGGGAGGAAAAGAAAAAAAATTTATCGCGTGAGCTCGGAAGCTCGGAGCTCGGTGATGTGGTAGCTTTCCCCGATTCGCACTGCCGGGAGCTACCATTGGACTGATCCATGGATGTATTTCGTACCTTGTCACGAAGCAGACTTCTGACCCACATCTTGGATGACCGGGCAGGTGAAGCAATCCTCGTCCTGGGAAGGTACATTTTCATCGATCCGACCCCATTGTCTCCCCTCTTCTCAATGTCCATCAAGACAGATGGATTTTGGGTATTAGCCCATGGGCCAATTCTTCGGTCCTCGGCCATGGCGCAACGACTTATTGAGCTTGGATCTCCAATTAGGTAACTAGTTTGTCACTCGTCCTCCACGAGAATCCCCGGTTTTGCGGGATGAGCAGCCTTCTCAGGGCTTGTGGCGCTGGACCGCTGTGATTCACATCCCGCCCCTGCAGGACAGGGAATCGTCTGTAGGGTAGCTAAAAGATGCTCTGCGTCTCCTTCTCTCCTAATTCGGAAAAATTAAGTATCATTAATCGTTACGGATATACCTGAGATGTATGAAGATGGAGGGCAGCGACGAGTGGGGAGGACACTATCGAATTGACATGGTGGTGTTGGGCTGATGCACCAACAAGTCTCAAGGCTCCAGGGATTGTTATCAATCTTGCTCCCATCCGCCTCCCAAGCTGTCAAAGAACGGGACCCTAAGAAAAACATGCTCATAAGTGGTCCAGCCAAGTGGGGTCTTCGTCGCCACCGGCTTCGACAGCGCCATCTGGCTATTCGTTAGTCATCCAAGGAGAACACACCTGCCGATATCGCTGCTTGGCCTTCGGCACTCGGAAGTAGAACACGTGAAACATGCCTGTATAGTTAGATATACCGAAATAGTGCATATTTTCGCAAATAATCCAAATGTCACGGGTTAACGAGGTATTCCTTATTCATCACCTCCTAGTTGGTTCCCGCAACCAAGGCCAAGCGACAGTCATGGCTGTGGGCGCCGCAATACCTTGGACGGGACCGAGCAGAGCAAGCAACATGGCTAGCTTAAAAACGTCGCGTGGTTTCGACCTACCTTCATCATCGTCAGAAGATGAGGAAGACACCCCACTTCCTTTCCCGACCGCGCTACCCAGGTCCGATTTCCTCGCCAAGGGCTTCCAACCTGCAGAATACCTCTCTTCTCTCCCTCAACGCCACCAGACCCTCGAGGATCTCCGCTCCGAATTGCGGGAGAGAAGCTCCGCGATCAGCGCCGAGCTGCTAGAGCTCGTGAATAACAACTATACCGCCTTCCTATCTCTAGGGAGCGAGCTACGTGGCGGGGATGAAAAGGTCGAAGATGTCAAGGTGGCTCTGCTCGGATTCCGCCGCGCCATCGAGGAAGTCAAGACTAGGGTTGGCGCGAGAGGCCAGGAAGTAGACAGGCTAAACACGGAGCTGGGTGAAGCGAGGAGCCAGATCGAAACTGGCCGCAGCATGCTTGAGCTCGACGAGCGCCTAGCTGATCTTGAGCATCTTCTCACGATAGGCTCCGCTCCGCAAGGGCGCCAGGAAGGCTCTAGCACGGGGTTCTTCGACTCGAGTGACGAGGGTGAGGATGACACCGAAGATGAGGACGACATCGACCTAGACCCTCTCGTGGGTACCGGTCCAGCCAAGCTGGCCGCCTTTGTGCGAGAGCTCATCCTGGTGGAACGTCTCGCCGACACCATTGGGCGGAAACCCCATTTGTGCACAAAGCGGAGGAGAGGATAATGAGGTGCCGGAATACCGTGCTAATTGATCTTGGGAATGCCCTCAAAGAAGCCAAAGCGAGTGGACCCCGGGCCCAAACACGGCTCCTAAAATACTTGGGGCTGTATCGGAGCTTGGGCGCCATCCAAGAGGCCGTGGCAGCTCTCAAGGCTCCCAAATGAAGACAGGAAAGGGTAGATGAAAAGACCGCAGCAACGCGGTGGCCGGGAGGGCATGGAAGAAGGAACTAAAAAAAAAAACGTGGCAAGTTTCTCAAAGGCTGGCTTGGGAGACAGGTCTATTATGCTTTATAAGATACCAATGAATAGATGATCTGCAGTATAATGTGGCATGGCTGATAGTATTACAAATGGATGTACATTTCCCAACATGATTTACATGACGCCCGACAAATCCTCCTCCGTCACCCTCGGATCCGTCAGTTGGTATTTACCGTTCAAGTTGAACCCGGGCCCGTGTGATGAACTCAGGACGATCTCGCTGACAGCCTTCTCAGTAACGTCCTCAAGAGCAATGCAGCGGGATTTGATTTCCTTGACCATGGCAGCGACATTGTCCGCGACCATGCGGGGTGTGAAGCCCATTTCTCCAACAACCATGCGGACGACGCCCACACGCTCGCGGAACTCGCTAGCCCCGGACGTCATAGTCTTGCGAATGTTGTTCGTGATGGTGCCAAGCTTGCGACTCGGCATCAGACCCCTGGGACCGAGAATTCGGCCTAGGTTGGCCTGCTTGAGCGCGTTCTCGCTGTCCTCGTGGCAGAGCAGACGCTCAAAGGGCATGTCGCCGCTCCTTATCCTCTCGAAGACGGACTCCTCGCCCGCCATGGTCGCGCCAGCTTGCATCGCCTGTGCAGCAACCTCGCTACCCTCGGGACAGATAACGCCGAATCGTTCGCCAGACGTGATAGGGTGGGGAGCTTGATGTTATCGCGGACGACCGGGCCATTGCGCATGGTCTTGAGGCGGATGGAGAGTTCGTATTTGACGCTGAGTGGCCTTTTTCCGACCTCGAAGGCACGAAGATACCTAGGAATTTCTTGTTAGCATTTGTGGCGCCGTGGTTTCTAGGCTTTAATTTTTTCATCCTTCTGCCTTTGTTCTTTTCACATCAACAGCTCGGGGCAACGAGCCTTTATCGAGGCTTACCGTATCGCATCACATAGAGAGAACTGGGGCTGCTCGGTAGGATCGAAAGACTTGAACGTCTTGGGTAGCTTCTTCCTCTCTGTCTTTTTGCTGCTACCGCCCTTGCTTCCGGTCTTCTTTCCCTTCGCCTTACCACTGGCATAGCGCGCCTGGGTTACGGATGGGAAAAGGGTTTGGGAGGCCCGGGCTGTAACTTGACGCTGGGTGGTCGAGATGGCGAGCCTTGCCATGGAGGCAAAGCATTGATGTCCGGGTGCCATCGTTGGTTGCTGTAAAATTAATTGCTGTTGATAGAGAGGTTCATCTCCAAGCAAAGTCGCACCCAAGCTCTTGTCAAGTGTCGCGTTGAGAAGAATTATTTCTGTTCTCCTGAAAATCCAGGCGCGCATAAATTTCTTATCTTATCGAACTGGCAGGGGTTATGAGGCTGGCGTGACAACACGACCACGACCATTAATTGACTTTTACCCCGCCATCAGCAACGTCTGAAGCACCCCACCTTCCGCCGTAAAAATTACCAGACAACCTTTGCAGGATAGGGCCTTTTTTCCTCCTCCCGTTTTTTTTTTGAGTCATTGACCTTGTAGCTAAGCGGCTCATCGAGTAGCTCGGTCATACGTCAAAACTTAGGAGAACTACGCGTTTCTCGATCTCGTTTTCCCCCTCCAGTCCCTTTGCAATACGTTTATAACCCGTTTGGGAGCTTGCACTTAACCATGACACCAGACGAGATCCTCTCCCTGGTCCCCTCCCTGGCGGGGACTTCAAATCTATTGATGCCCACCTCCGTGCCCTTGACAAGCACCTCACCCTCCGTTCGTATATCGACGGCTACGTTCTCGGAGACGTCGACACCAAGACCTGGGTCGCCCTTCGGAACAACCGAGCTGCTCTCGGCTTCATTCGCAAGGGATCGCTTGGCAACCTCTCGCGGTGGTTCACCTTCATCGAGAAGAACCACCCTGAGATCCAGGAAGAAATCAAGCAAGCTGAGGCCGTGAAAGCTGCCAAGCAAGCTGCGGCAGGAAAGGCTGGTGGTAGCTACAACATTACTCTCCCTGATGCCGAAAAGGGCGTTGTCACCCGATTTCTGCCCGAGCCATCGTTCGTCCCCTCTTCCCCCTGACTCTTTCTTCCTCCTGTTCTCTTATTGACCACCGCTATTCTAGTGGCTACCTACACATCGGACACGCCAAGGCTGCCCTCCTCTGCGACTACTTCGCCCACCGCTTGTATGACGGCAAGCTTCGCCTTCGACTCGATGATACCAACCCCGCCAAGGAGAGTGAAGAGTTTCAGGATGCCATCATTGAAGACTTGCGCTTGATGGGAATCAAGGCCGACTCTCTCTCTATACCTCCGACTACTTTGACTATCTCTATGACATGTGCAAGAGGCTCATCAGCGAGGGCAATGCGTACGCTGACGACACTGAGACCGAGACGATGCAAAAGGAGAGATTCGACGGTATCGAATCAAAACGACGAAACCGATCGGTGGAGGAGAACCTACGCATCTTTGAGGAGATGAAGGCTGGCTCTGAGGAAGGACTCAAGAACTGCATTCGTGCTAAACTCTCCGTTGATAACCCCAACAAGGCTCTCCGTGACCCCGTCGTCTATCGCTGCAACCCCAATGACACCCACCACCGGACCGGTAACAAGTGGAAGATCTACCCAACCTACGACTTCGCGTGCCCCGTTGTCGATGCTCACGAAGGCATTACCCACGCTCTCAGGGCTACCGAATACACCGACCGCAATCCCCAGTACCAATGGTTCCTCGACACCCTCAAGTTGCGCACGGTCCACTTGTGGGACTTCTCCCGATTGAACTTTATCAAGACTTTCCTTTCCAAGCGTAAGCTCGCCAAGCTCGTCGAGACGGGCAAGGTTTGGGGCTGGGACGACCCTCGCATGCCAACCATCAGGGGCATTCGCCGCCGTGGCATGACCATTCCCGCGCTGAGAGACTTTATCATCAAGCAGGGACCCAGCCGAAACATCTCCCTGCAAGACTGGAAGTCGTTCTGGGCTACTAACATCAAGGAGATTGATCCCGTAGCTCCCCGACATACTGCGGTCTTGAAGAAGGATCTCGTCAAGGTGACTCTTATCGGAAACGAGGCACCGGCTCAGCCTTCCAAGGAAGATAAGCCCAAGCACGCGAAGAACCCGGATATCGGTACCAAGAAGGTGGTCTACTCCTCGCAGGTCATCTTGGACCAGGCCGATGCCAAGTCTTTCAAGAAGGATGAGGAGATCACACTCATGTCCTGGGGCAACGCGTTTGTCCGAGAGATTGACTCTAGTGACCCTATCCAAACCCTTACCTGCGAGCTAAACCTCAAGGGTGATTTCAAGACGACTGAAAAGAAGATCACCTGGCTATCGAGCGAGGGCACCGAGCTCGTTCCCGCCGAGCTTTGGGAGTTTGATTACCTCATTACTAAGGACAAGTTGGAGGCGGATGATGAATTGGAGAAGTGCCTCAACCCGGTAACCGAGTCCATGCAGGAAGCTCTGTGCGATGAGGGTGTTGGTCTCCTCAAGACGGACGATATTATCCAGCTCGAGCGCCGCGGTTTCTTCCGGGTAGACAAGGGTCTCGGTGACTGGGAGGAAGGCGAACCCAAGCGAGTGGTTCTCTTCGCGATTCCCTCGGGCAAGGGCAAATAAATGAGTGAACTAGGCTGTGTGTATCCAGGTTCGCCCGCAGAGCAGTTTACCCAGACCAGAGAATTTGCCTTGCCGCGATACCGCAGCCGGCCGGTGACAGCGGAAAATACCAAATCCTTGAAGGTGGTACGCATACATGTGATATGTTTTCGAGGGTTAGCCTCGTATCATTGAGAGCAATGGGTCGAACAATCTCTTCGGTGGTTGCAAATCTTCTTACCGTCTACGGCAAGGAAATTCCCGGAAAGCTACGAGAATGTACAGAAGGAACAATTTCGCCTCTGTGGCGCTGTACAAGTGGATATATAGAAAAGCGAAAACGAACTTTGTGCTTATATTTTGTACATGTTGGCTTGTGAACTTTGAGAATCAATCTGCACCTAGCAGCAACCCCCGAGGAGGGTGTCCTCGGGGATTTCCTCGTAAGAGGGGGAGAAAGACAGCCCAAGAAAAGAAGGAAACAAAGGCTATGAGAATTCGAAGGGCCACCGCCATGGCTTTCACGCAACACCAACCCTCGTACAACAATCGACGGCCCCTTCAATACGAAGTTTATACCTTGGTAAGTTGAGCTATCTTGTGAGGAAGAGTAACCCATCAATTGACGCTTCTTGAGCTTGGCTATATTACTTGACTATAAATTCGACCGCCAACGGCCAGCTTAGTCGCGAAAGATGCGAACTCTGATCAAAGTCGTATGAAGCGGTGGTCTGATTATGAGACGCGAGGTTGTCGAAGTAAAGATTCGGCAGGGACATTGAGACCAATATCTCAGCCGGCAAGGTTCGGTTGTACACCGAGATATTATCGGGCTTCGGTTCGCCCGTCGGCGGAGCAGAATTTAGGGCCCTGCAGACATTGCATGGCACACGGGTGACGGTTGTGAATTCCGAAAGAGCAGGTCAGATTTACTATAATATCTTAGATTCGTAGGCGTGTTTGACCGCGCCCTTGCATTCCGGGTTATGGGAAACGGATTGGAAGACGAAAGCGAGGCAAGGCAGTCAGATTCATTCCTCAAGTGCTGTGTTAACTCTCCGCCATTGATATGTTACCCTTACCACCTAGCAAGGAGACGTGACGAGACAAGTGGTCGTTGCCATTGTGTTTTCCATGTCCACGCGAGGCGTCTGGACACCCGATCTCGTCTACTATTCCTCTTTCTGTCTCTCAGGATTCGCGATTGAAGTAACCTCCTTCCTATCTCTCAACATCCTGGGACTGGGCGAGCGAATCACATTCATACACTTACTGATGGCCAACGGCAAACGTACGCGACGTCATAAGTCTAGACTCTAAGCTGCTACGGCTACCAACAATCCGCTCATATGGATAGCAGCTCATTGAGACGGACAACTAAGGAGGGAGAGAGAATGGGGGCAAGATTGACGGAAGGGATCCCGGGAGGGGGTGTCCTCGGAGCGCGGCCAGGATTTTCCATACCATGCCTGTCCCGTCTCACCGGCATGGTTAAAAGCGAGCGGATGGGCCTTTCCTCGTTAACGCTCATTCGAGGGTGAGACCACCATGACAAGCTCAATAGGTTTTGTTTTCTTTTTCTTTTTCTTTGTTTTTTGGGCATTGTTGGCAGCTCAGCAACTACCGAATAGGTTCAGCATTCGCCTTGTTAGTTTCTGGATCTGCACGAGGGCGGGAAGGCAAGCGAGCAGGATTGCGTCGTACTCGAGCACCATATATCGCTGGTGTCTCAACGTTGATTTCTAGGCGGCATCCAGCCCTCCCGGAAGGATTGGTACAGACACGCGGCACGCTCAATCTTGAGGCACTCTTTTCTTCGCCCGTTTTCTCTTCTTCCTCCTTCCGTGCCCGATTTCCTACTCGTCGTTCTTTCCTGCCCTCGTAGACATTTCACTTCCCTACGAGGTTGAGAAAGGCCGCCTAAATCAATTCGAGCAACTGGTTGCATTGAAGGTATAGCCGTCTTAAGCCAGAACCGGTCTTGGCGCTGGCACTGATGGTAATGATGGCAGTTTTCCAACCTGACCTCCCCAGATTCTGGATGGTTTCGGCATGTCAAGCAGTCTTAGTCCGTCCTAGTTCTGGTTCGGAACCGTGGCACGCCAGAGAAGACATGTTGCAACTCCACCAATGCGCATTCAAAATCTTTAGTAAGGGCTGGAATTTTCGAGCAATTCATCGTTGATCTTATGAACGCATCAAGGACTGGGTGAATTCAACATTAGGCTCGGTATGGGCTAAAAATAGGGGATGCCGCGTACTATATGCCAACTGACACCCGGTATTGGCTCCTTGGCCCTGGCAGGAATCTGTATTTATCCTTGGGGAAGGAAAGGCAAAAAGATTGCAGCCCGCGAAATTCCCTTGTACCTCGCCGCACAACAAACACGGTTGAGGCCGGGACGAATTGGAGGGCTGCTTCGACATACAAGAGGCTGAGAGCGAAGAGAAAAAGAGTGTCTGGCAGGTTTATCCGGTCCACTTCCAACCTCAACCCGTCACCCGTCACTCGGGGGACGAGCCCGGCCCACGGCGCCACCGCCTCTACCCTGCTTCTTCTTTCGGTTTGTAGTCTACTTCTTTTGAGAGGATGCCAGGGATATGATTTTGAGAGGCCGATAAAGGTCCCACACACAAGACGTGCGTGTGTGTGTGTGTGTGTGTGTGTGTGTGTACCTTGCAGTCCAGTCGTGAACTAAATATGATCCGGCTCGATGCTTAGGGTAACCAGCTTGTCGGGGAGAAGGTGACAGCTAGGCTAGCCCCTCTCTAGTCCCTTCGCCTAATGCAGCGACCCCGAGCAATCTTTGGCGTGGCGCCGGGTCGGCCGACCTTTGGTCGTCATGGCGAACGTTCCAACCTAATCGCACCCTCTCCGGCGCCTCGCCCCGAGAATCGACAGACCAATCTCGGGACCAGGAAAGGCTCTTGCGCGGTTTACCAAATTTATCGGGTTTCGCTGCTGCGGACCTAGAGGGTCAAGGGAGAAAGGTAAACCCAACCACGAGAAACGTCGTGGACAATGGGCCCGGTAATGGCTAGCGAATCCAGAGGGCGGAATGAACGCATCATATCTACTTAAAGGAGAAATGGTGATCTATTCTTAAAGAGGCCTTGCTTATCTCTTCCCAGCAGCTTCCCGGCGTGGCATGCTGGAACATGTCTTCCGCCCACCTCAGCGATCATGCACAAAGGCCCCGGGCTATTTATCGCCCTCGCAGCAGCATGTACTCTGCCTCGGGCATACTGGTACGGTACGCACACGCGTGGCGGACGGGTCGTCGAAATATCCGCTGGATGGATGGGTGGATTCATATCTGAGCATGTGGCTACCGGCGACCCTCTGTCCAACCTGCCTTAGCGTTCCTGCAGGTTACGGCGTCTCCTCCGAGCCCGCCTCCCTTCGATCGCCCCCTTCCTGAGGTGTATTGATAGGATCAAAGTGGCTCTCAACCGGAACCAATATTTTTTGCGTTTGGGCAAGAACGCGACGTGCCCGCGGATTTGAGTGGATCCATCGAAGCTCTTGCTACGGGGTACAAGGCGCGCGGACCGCAAACCGGCCGGAACCACGTTTGAGAGGTCCCCATCACTTTGACGTTTGCTCCCCTCCCAAGACCTAGTGCCGACTATGCTCACGTCTTCGGTCAGAATCCCTGGCCTGGCCACGGCTGGGCTTCTATCCTAAGCCTTTGCCCCCTTGGCGGCACAGAATTTGCCAGCGCAAGATATTGGACCAATCTATCTTACCAGATGTCGGCAGACAACGCGCGGTCTTGGCCGTCCGAGACTGATGGGTTATTTGCAACCAGGACATGGTAAGCGAATCTTTCTATTTTCGTCGAGACAAGAAGAAGAAAAGGGGACTGGGTTATTGGGAGGTCGAGCGAGGGCTTCAGCTACGCTTCTATGAGCCGAAGCTCCGCCATCATGGCAGGAAAAAGAGGACCAGGGTTACCAGAGCGAGACGCCTTTCAACCCGGAATTAGATCGAGGAGGGGAGAGTTTGACACGAAGATTGAAAAAGGTCTATCTCTTGTGTATGTGTGTGTATATATATACCCAACAAGCCCGCTGGGGAATCCGCCATTGAAAGTTGACTCTCCTTCTTCATCTACCCTCTTCCAGAAACACATTGGCTCATACCAAACCAAGGGAGTTTTGCCCCTTTTCATACACTCGTTTTTCTCCTTCTTCTTCTTCTACTACTACTACCACTTTCATTCTTCCATTCCATCTTCCGGCGCGAAGTGACCATCACCTGTTCTTTATATCGTACATATATACGACATAATCTCTAATACTACTACCATCTTCTTTACCTATCTTTCATCATGCAACGCACCGTTACTCTTCTCCTCGCTGCTGCGGCGGCCTTCCTTCCCCAGGTGTCGGCCCAGAATGGACGCACCCTCACCGGTTGGGACTGGTAAGTTTAAGAGAAAAAGAAGACCCCCTAAAACAGGGAGACAAACGATCAATTTCTAACCGTGTCGTAGCTGCAAGCCCGCCTGCGCCTGGAAGAGTCTTCTTCAGGGAAGCGTGAGGTATGTTTTACCTCTTGATGACTTTCCACACTAGCTCTCTTCCTCCCATGCTAACGCAGCCACCCCATCAGCGGCCAAGTCATGGTCTGCAACAAGGACGACCAGCCATACAACAATGATCAATCCAACTCCGTCGCCAGTTCGTGCGGCGAGTCCAGCGAGGGCGCGAACTTGGGTTACCTCTGCTCCGACTACCAGCCCCGCCCTGTGGCCGAGAACCTCGCGTACGGCTTCGCCATCACCGATGGCATTGAAAACTGCTGCAAGTGCTTCGAGCTTCAGTGGACCGAGGGCCCCGCCGCGGGCAAGAAGATGCAGGTACAGATCATCAACGAGGGCGGAAGCGTCTCCGAAAGTGGCACGAGGGACTTTATCCTCCTTACGCCTGGTGGTGGCGTGGGCCCCAACTCGCAGGGATGCTCGGCTCAGTATGGCCTTGACTGGTAAGTTTGTCCAACTTTGCCCCTTTCTCTTGATCTGAACTGGTTGCGGCCAGCGTGGATATATCTCGTCTTTTAGCTGCGCTGCCTATCCGCGAAATTGTCTTGACCAATTGCTAACCGTGCATCTTTTCTCAGGGGTCGTCAGTGGGGAGGCGTCAGCCAGGCGTCCGACTGCGAGAACATTCCCACCAACATGCAAGCTGGTTGCTACTGGAGGTGGAACTGGGCCCGTGGCGACGTTAACACCTGGGGCCTCCAGTACCAGCCCATCACTTGCCCCGAGTCCCTCACCGCGATCTCGGGATGCCGTGCTTAAAGGCTGGCTCAATGTCCTATCTAGATAAGAGAAAAAGTGTTGTGCGAATGCGTAGCCGTCCTATCGATCTATGGGGAAGAGAGAGAAGACCAGAGAAAGCTTCTTTTGGAACAAAAAGTCTTCTCTCGGAAGGAGGTTAATGGAGTGGCGGCCGAGGGCCACTTGTCGGTGGTCTAAGATATCTTGAATAGTTTGAACAAATATGAGCGTGCATCTTGATTTGTAAATGCATACTACCTTTTGGTTTCGTTTTTTGAGACCTAGGTTGCTCTGAAGCTTTCATGTGACCGGTTGAAGACAACGGAATATGTACGCCTTGGAGGACGAAGTGGTCGAAGCGGCGAAGCTGGGTGATATGTGTAAGTGCTTCGGTGGGGCAAGAAGCTTGCGATCTTGCCTGCATAGTAAAGCTCGCAATCAAATCTTTTGAAACAAAAAGAAGTGCAGAAGTCCGCTATTCATTCAGGCCTTTTATCTAAAAGCGACGTAGCAGGTCGAATCATCAATTCAACCAAAAACAAAACGAAAATAAAAATAAAAGAATTTGTATCAGTGTATCTTGCATCACTTCAGAAATGAAACTCCTGGTGAGCTCGGTTGCTGTAAAAGTTTCCTTCACCGCCTTCCTTGTTCAAATGCCCCGCGAAGACCAAAGCAACCACGGGTTTTCTGCCATTTTCTCAAAGAAAATTTCCCTTTACCGCCCAGAAAATGCACCCAGAACCACTCCCAGCAAAAAGAAGAGGAAAAAACCCCCAAAGTCCCCAAGCCCCAAACTATTCCACCAACTCATTGATATCCACCGTTCGTTCCTTACGCAAGTGGCCTGACGATCGAGTTTCGAAACATACAGACACAACATCATGGCGGGAAAGCAAATAAAGAAGCGGGGCCCCTCAGGCTCGGCGTCGCAGCCCTACAAAAAGCGCAGGAAGCAGCCGGCGTACGAGAGTGAATCCGAACCCGAGGAAGCGCAGGATTTCGACGCCGTGAACCTACTAGACTCGGAGGACGACATTGAGAATGCCAAAGTGGACGACGGCGCCGCAACGGATTCCGGCTCGTCTTCCGACGAGGACACGGCGCGGACAAAGCGGTTAGCCAAGAAGCCGAAAAAGATATCATTCAAACCCACCGAGAACGAGAACGGCTCTGAGTCCGCCGAGAATGACGACAACGAAGAAGAAGAAGAAGAAGAAGAAGAAGAATCCGACGGCGCCTGGGACGACTCGCCCCAGGTATCGGACGGCGAAATCTCCGCCTCCGCCCACGGCAAGAGGCCGTCCAAGCGCAACGACCCTCGGCCTTCGCCACCTCCCTCTCCAAGATCCTATCGACCAAGCTCTCGACGACGAAGCGCGCGGATCCCGTGCTGTCCCGCAGCGCGGACGCGCAGTCGGCCGCGCGCGCCGCGGCCGATTCGGTGCTCGAGGTCAAGGCGCGGCGGCACATGAAGGAGGAGAAGCTCCGGGCGTTGGAAAAGGGCCGCGTGCGCAACATCATGGCGCCCGAGGAGGGCTCGGGCCGCACCACGTCGGACGTGCTGGACGAGGAGAGGAGGCTGCGGCGCGTGGCGCAGAGGGGTGTGGTCAAGCTCTTCAACGCCGTGCGCGCGGCCCAGGTCAAGGCTTCGGTGGCGGAGAGGTCGGCCAAGGAAGGGCGCGTCATCGGCATAGATAGGCGGGAGGAAAAAGTCAACGAGATGAGCAAAAGGGCTTCTTGGACTTGATTGCGTCGGGCGGAGGCAAGCTGAAAAAGACGCCGCTCGAGGAAGCTTGATCGGCCCCGAGGCTTGCGCCATTCCCTTTGATCTTTATTCGACTTTCTTTCTCTTTTCTTCTAGGGTGCTTTTTTTCTTTGGCGGTTCTTGTTCCTCGCTTGAGGCTTGTTCCAATTTCCGTCTCTTGGACGCCCGAATCACACAGGTTTCCCGCATGTAACGGCGTTGTTTCTTTCTATCTCTTTCTTCCATCATTTATCTTTTCTCCCCTCCTTAGCGTGGGGGAGGGTTTCTCTAGAGACACCTGATGAAAACAAAATAGAGGAGTATTGGTGGTATATTCATCCTGCTTGCACTCTCATCTTGCGCTGCCTCCAATATGCAAGTCGTCTATTTGGTTTAGTTTTCCCCTCCCGATTTCATGATCCTATTGTACAAGGGCACACGCCTGGCCGAAGCTCGGCGATGATAAGCCTCCATGATGACTGACCTCCACAATGGCCTTTCCACGATGGTTTCCCCAATTGAGAGAGTTCTGTAATGGTTATGGTACACTCCGATCTTCCCCGGGCCCCTGCGTCGATTTGGTCGCGAAGCCCGGCCGTCCTAGTCGTATAATCTCCACCCTTGCCTCTTCTTCCGAGCTGGAAAAGAGATCGTCCTCGAAAAATCGCCCCGCTCCTCTATGCAACCACACCACCATGCGAGACATGCTGAGGTGTTGCCGCCTAGCTGAAGTCACTGGCTTGAGGTTGCGGGTCATGGACGGCAGCTTGACGACAAGACCGTCTAATTCCTTGGTCATCTTGACCTGGCACCCCAGCCTACTCGTCTCTGTGAGGCCGAACGCGAGATCGAGCATGTCGTTCTCATCATCATCCGGCTCGGCCATTCGGTCGTAAAATTCTTCTTCTGTCACGATGACGTGGCAAGTCGAGCACGCGCAAGAACCACCACAGGCACCTATTGTAGCAAAGAAGCGCAATGTTAGAAGAAATGAGCGAGGGCAAGGGGGTGGAGGCAAAAGCCCGAAGGTGGAATCGGTCGGAGACTGAAAAGGCCGAAGCTACTGTGCTCGGGGTCGGGGCCGGGAGAGAGAGAAAATCGGGGCAACGGAGATAAGCTAAGGAAGCGACTCACCCTCCATTTCAAGGTCATGCGCCTGGGCAATATCCAGCAGATTATCGCCCTCGCAAACTGCCAACTTGACTTCGGTTCCGTCCTTGTCGATAAAAGTTACGTAGATCCTGTGATAAAAAACTTGGTGTGAGCATATCTCCGCGGAGGCGAGCTAGTCATGCCGTGGGGCCCGAGGAAAGAGTCCTAAGGCTGGGGAAGAAGAAGGAGAAAAAAAAAACGCAGATCGCGGGGAGGACACACTCTTCGCCCGGCTTAGGCGGGTCAATGTGACCGTGGGACAATCTTGTAGAGGTAGAGAAGCCTCGCGCGGTTTGGAGAGTCGAGGGTCGGAGGATAGTGTGCGTCACACGTCGAGGGAGTCGCGATGTGGTGGAGCTCCACGTCCTCAAAGATTGCCGCTGGAGCTTGGGTACCGGCGTCGTCGCAAAGGGCGTGGCGAGGACGGCCACGGGTCGCTTGGCCCCGAGACGGGGAGGAGGGTTCGTAACGAAGACATGGCTGCGCGGGCAGACTTTGAGCGGAAGCGATGAGGGTAGCTGAAGAGTGTTGTCGAGGGTAGGTTAGGTAGAGGGGTATCGATGTGTTCGTCGAGCCCGAGATGGACGGCTTAGGCTAGCTTCGCAGCCTTGATTCTCTGTGTGTGTAAGGGTGATGATTAAACGGAACTAGATGAAAAAGAACAAGAAAATCATGCAAAATATAAAGTCGAGTTCTGGCCCGACAGGAAGCTCCCGAGCTCAAGGTAAATGGGGCGTTGTTGTGGTTGTGGTTTGTGTCTATCTTTCTTTGGCTGGCTTCTTTTTTTTTTTTTCCTTTCCCGCCCTGGAGTCCGGTTGGGAAACGCCGCAGGAAAAAGGGTTGCTCAATCAATTCAATCGCGAGTTGTCTGACTGGCTGATCTCATAGATCGGTGGAGCACCAAGACAAAGCCGCGCTGGACGTCCGTCTTGGTATTCTAGCTGCTGAAAGGGCCCTGAAGAATGAATTACTGGAATGAGGATAGCGCCCACGTCGGGTCATTCGGCGTATCAAGTCAATCAATGGGACTCACCGTGCCCATTCTTTGATCAGTGGCTCAATGGCAGACTGAGCTCAGTGGTCAATAGCCGTGGTCAAGTTCAATGTTCACACTCGGGCTCAATAGCCACAGTGTACATGAGAAGAAGCTCAATTTCCCGCACTGTATACCATACCCAAATGTGAGGACGAGCCAGGCAGAATGGCGAGATTTCATTGGCTGGCCCGTCTAATCCTACAATGCATTTTTGGGCCTTTGGCATGAAGAAGGGAAATTCGCAAAGCCAAACAACTGGGATCCGGCTCGAAACAAAAATATTTGTTAGCACTGTGCGTTTCCAGCAACGATGCGCCAATGACGCGTGAGAGGCCAGTGAGTGAAAAAGTGGGTTGGTTATGAGGAGAGAACGTGAAAGCTCAAAATTTATTACTTGGCGACGCCAGGCAAAAGGAAGCGATTCTCTCTCCACCCTCCATACAGATCAACACAATCGATGTCCCCTCTCTCGCGATAGCTTCCTGACCGCGGGAACGGGAATGACACGAAGATCCCATATCCCCGGAATGTGAACATTGAAAGGGGCCTATTGCTGAACACCACTTTTTTCATTTTATTCTTTCTCTCCCCTCCATTCCTTTCCCCTCGTAACCTTTGTCGATTTCATTCAATGGCGTCCTCGTGGCCCGTTGGCGAGGAGGAATACTCCGCGCGGCCCTACGTCAAAGCTGATAAGCGTTCCTTCCACATCCCGAACCTCAAGACCAACCCCACCTCTTCGATACGCGACGATTTGTCTACTCCCTGGAAGAAATACGAAGACTTTCTCGAGAACGAGTCGTCCACGCTTGAAATGTACAGCAGCTGCTTGATAAGCTCCTATGGAAATACTTGGCCGCCTTGACCGCGCAGCCCTTTGAGGTCGCCAAGGTCTTGCTGCAGGTCAAGCTCGGCGATGACCCGGGCTCGCTGGCCACCACCAAGGTGATTGCGGTAGCGCCGGAATCAAAAATGTAAGCCGTGACAAAGTAGCCCTCCCATCTTCTGTTGGTGTTTTTTTTTTTTGCCTCTTTGGCGTCCTTGAAATCTCGCATCTTGGGTCCACGCGGTGGCGTGGCTGGCCGACCACGAGACTCGCGTGCTAATTTCCATCCAGCACTATGATCCCGATGCCGGCTCCGACTCTGAGGGCGAGCCCGCCTACTTCACCTCAAACTTCCCTACAACGCCATCCGCGTCCAACCGCCGAACCTCACCAACTCGGAGACGCCCCTCCACGCCTGCCACCCCTTCACCTGCGCCACGGGCGCCACCCCATCAACTCGGCATCTCGAGCTCGGACTCGGTGCTCGACGTGATTGCTAGGAATTGGAACAGAGAGGGAGCCTGGGGCACGTGGAAGGGTACCAACGCGACCTTCTTCTACACCGTTCTCCAATCCTGGGTGGAGAACTGGTCCCGCGGTGCGTTGGCCACCATGTTCAGCGTGCCCGACATCGGCGTGGAGGAAGACATGCTTGACGCTTTCACAAGATCACCCCACCCGTGGACCACGCTGGGCGTTGCCGCCGCCGCCGCTGTAGTGACGGGCTTGCTCTTGGCGCCGCTTGATTTGATTCGCACGAGGTAAGCATTCTCGTCGCACTCACCAGGAGACCGCTCCTTGGGTCTTGCTCATCCCTCGATCACTTTGCTAATTTTCTTCTTCTTTTTACAACAGGCATATCTTGACGCCTGCTTCCCGCCGAACAAGGGGACTCTGGACCACCTTGAGGGCGCTCCCTTCCTACGTGTGTCCGTCAACACTCATACTTCCGACGATACTGCACTCCCTCGTACACCCCGTCCTCACCATTCTAGCTCCGATTGTCGCCCAATCGAGGTTCAGGCTCGACCTCAAGCTTACTCCCGTCGCATTCTCCATCTCCAAGTTTTGCGCAGCCTCCACCGCGCTTTTTATCCGCCTCCCTTGGAAACGGTGCTTCGCCGCGCCCAGGCCTCGGTCCTGTCCACGCGCCCTTACATTGCCGCCTTTGATCCCAGAGATTCTTCCCTCCAGGCCGTAGTCCCGGTCGGGCCGTATCACGGTGTCCTGGGCACCATGTACCACATTTGCTTGGAGGAGGGATCACGACCTGTCCCCGGCCAAGTGCCCTCCTGGCGCCAAGCGCCGCAAGCCCGTCGCAGAAACTGTTTATAAGCAAGGCCAGGGCCTTGCTGGCCTCACGCGCGGGTGGAAGATTAGCTTCATCGGCCTCGTCGGTCTCTGGAGCGCGAGCGTTCTCAGTAACGGAGAGGACGAATTCTTTTAGGAGAGACTCTCTGGACGAGATGGAGGCGACGCTGGAATGACCGTCAACCCTCGACTCCGCTCCCCACTCACCCTTGCGCGGCTTCTCCGTGTCGGGTGATGGCGGGGCGCTGTACATTTGAATTTCTCGACTATCTACAATTTCTCGGAATGCGGACGGAATAATAGAGCGGGATAAGAGGACCAAGCGCTGGGACCAGGTTATGACTTTTGGAACATGCTGTATAATTAGACCCGAAAGAACCCTTTTTTTCTTTTTTTCTTCCCCTTCCCTTTGCAATCCTCCCGTTCCCCAAGGCCAAGCTAATGTGGTGGCCTCCCCATTTGGTTGTTTCCCATGTTTCTCCTTACTTTCTTAGACGGGCCCCCTTTCATCTACTCCATATATCCTCCGTGTTGGTTTGCTCCCTTGCCCTATTTCCCCATTGCTGCCTCTTGGTTGGTGTCTTCACTGGCGGCATACCACTTGGTTTCTTCGACCGCACTCTCCCCTCCATTTAAGGTTCTCTTGTTTTACTTTCTTCTCTTTTGCCTTTGTGGACAACGAGATTTCGTTTTCTTACATACAAGCAATCCAATGATATCCCTCAACGATTTTCCTCATGCGCTCAAACAAGTACATGTAACGACCTCGGTAGAGCCAGTCCTAGTTCGCTAAACTGAACCGCGGAGATTCCATCGTGTGTCAAGACCGTGGACCGGAGTGTAAGCATGTCGCCTCGTTTCGAGGCTGCATAGGCCACTCTATTATCCACGAACTATCAGGGCCTTCAAGTGCTCAATCGTACGCGAGGCCAGTCTTTAAGCTATTGAGCGGGTTTTTTCAAGAAAGAGCCAACGTTGAAATCCTTGGGCAAGGGCTAGAGGCGATAATCAGCCCCTCCCACGGTAACCTTATCTATACTACATCCATGGTAAGCCGGTTTATTCCCTGTCTGCCTGCGATATCGTATGCTCGTGTCTTGGAGGCAGGTGCTCAAGGCAACGCGATAGCCGCATTCTAACATCGGTGGGGCACCCGGATACACTAATCAGCCGCCAACGGGCTTGACGCCGGCACCGACACCCGCCCGGTCCACCCCGCCCGGTCCACCCGCACAACTCCCGTTTACGCCAACGCCACAACCTCCACGATGGGGCAAGAGGGAGATATGAAAAGATCAATTTGCATGCTCGTGCTGATGGATTGTTCAGTTTGCCCCGCTTGGTAATGGGGCTGCTATTCCAGCGTAAAAGGTAGGCGTTCGATACGATAGATCAATGGATGCGATTCTTTGCAGCCACAACAAGATAGACTCTTGCCTTTCGGCCTTCAATATGACAGGAAGGAAAGAATGTTACCGAGGTAATAGGCGAGGGGCTTGCAGATGGTCGTTGGGGTTTGCTTGCCCAACATTGAACACATCAGCTGTGTGCGCGCCTGCTGGTGAGGTGCACCGTGATCTTGAATTGGTTACATTGAACAGTGATGCGCACGCAGATGGATGCGGCGCCAAGGTGCTGGGAGTTCCGAAAATAGCATCCAACAGCCCAAAGAGGATCATGTTTGGCGGCGCCTTGACCCCAAGGTTAAGATTAAAACAGTATGGAAATCAATCTGGAGGGGGAGGAGTTGGACCCCGGTACACACCACGACTATGTCGGCAGGACTAACACTCCGTATTACTTTGTTAGCCTTGCTTGAAGCGAAGCAGCCCTCTTTCACGCTCGATTGATATGGCTCAGCCCGTGGAAAAGGGGTCGCGTCCTTGCGGCGATTTTTTTCTTTTTCCCTTCTTTTCCTTGTGAGGTCTTTGAGATTAGATTCCAATTCGACGCACTTGAATATTGAAGCGTCTGGTTCGCGATCGTAAGTCCACCGCGATCATCAAGAAACAAGAGGTTGCTCTTGGGCCAGCCAACATCATCTCGGTGAGGGGATATCCCCGCGTTTTTTTCTCGTCCCTCTCCAATCCAGCGCAGAGAGATATCCCATCCCGCCCACGAGATGGCGCGTCTCCCCGCCCCGCGCCACCTCGTCGCCCCTCTCCTCTTCCTCTCTTCCCTAACCCCAATCGTCGCCGCCACGCGCCCCGTCGCGCAAGGGAGCCGAATCCGCGATACTCATGCTCCGTCGCGACCCAAGATCGGGCCCCCGCGGCCGTGACCCCCATCATGGATGCCGAGGCCGCCGCCGCGGTCCTGATACCGCGCCAAGACGCCGAGGAGTCGACGCCGTCCTCGTCGAGGTCATCCCGCTCGACGACGTCGCGCACCTCGACCACGACGCCGCCGCCGGTGCGGGTGACGGTGGCGGATTACTCGTACTTGGGGTGCTTCCAGGACGGCAGCAACCACATCCTGACGGTCAAGTCGCAGTTCGACACGGGCATGACGCCGGAGCTGTGCCGTAACCTGTGCCTGGTGGCGGAGTGCGGCATCTTTGGCCTCAAGGACCAGTACAGCTGCTTGTGCGGGAGGGAGGTGGAGCCGTTTGCCGTGAGCGCGCCCGAGTCGGAGTGTCTGGAAAAGTGCCGCGGGAACACGGCGGTGGCGTGCGGCGCGAGCGGGAGGATGAATGTGTATTCGGCCACGGTCTCGCTGACGGCTGTCGACCGTAAGTTTCTTCTCTTTCTCTCTCTCTCTCTCTCTGAAAGACGGCGGAGGAGGAGGGAATAACTCTGTGAATCGTTCTCCTGCCCCCCACAAGACTAACACGCGAGTGCTCCAGGTGGCGCGGTACCCACGGCGGGCGGAAACTCGGACAACGGCTCGGGGGACGACTCTTCCCCGACTCAAACGACGACGGCAGCGGCAGCGGCAGCAACAACGACGGCAAGAAGGGCGGTGGTTTGGCCAGCGGCGCGGTCGCCGGCATAGCCATCGGCTGCATCCTCATCGGCGCCCTCCTCGCGGGCGGCATCGGCTTCTTCTTATTCCGGCGTCGCAGGAACGCGAAAAACGAGGCGTCGGGATACCCGACCGCGATCCCGCCTGCGTCCTCTTCGTCACCGCCTGCCTCGGGGATGGCGGGGTCTAGCCTAGCGGGCCCCAAGTCGCAGCATCCCGAGATGGCATATGCGTCATCTGACGTGGGCGAGCGTGCGACATCGGAGTATCAGCAACAACAGCAACAGCAACAGCAGCTACAACAGCCCACCTATCAGTACGCCCCCAGGGTGTGTCTCCGCTAGGTCACAATGCGACGACGACGAGCGTGTTTGGCGGAAGCACGGTGTACGAGCCGTCCTCTGCCTTTATGAGCCCCATGTCGCAGGCGGCGCCAACGAGCGGGGCCTTGGCGCTGGCGCGGCGGCGGCGGCGACGGTGCCCCCAGGGAATATGGCGGAGGCGCATGGGCAGCAGATTTACGAAGCGCCGGGGTTGATTGCGTACGAGATGTCGGGTGAGGGGACGAGGCAGGAGATGGGTGCAGCGGGAACGCAACCGCAGCAGCAGCAGCAGCAACAGTATCAAGCACTACCACCACCAGGTCAATATTCTCAACCAATACAGCAACAGCAACAGCAACAGCAACCGCAGCAGCAACAATAAAACGGCTATCAGAAAGGGCAGTACCAAACCCTTCTCAGCCACCAAAGATGATGATGCTGGGAAGGCCGCGAGCAGACGAGATGTAGGATCTAGCAATTCGGGGGATGTCAAGTCCTTCAATCGCGGACGAGGAGGATGCAGGGGTTTTCAGCAAGGCAACTATAGAGTAATGGATGGAACTAATTAGACCAGTCTTGGGCTGTGCTCTGGGGTCGTTCTCTCTACATGTACAAACTTCACTTCATATCTGCAAGGGAGGGCCCGCGGTGTTCGTTCGGAAAGGCGCCGTCCCAGCCCGCGAGCCTCTCCATAATCAACATACTCTTTCTCGGACTTGTACTTGTTTGGACATGTATTTCATGACGTATACTTGGAAAAATACCTTCTTCTTTCCTTTCCCATCTAATAAGAGTCTGCCCCGTTTGGTGTGATTAAACTGCTCGAGATTTGCATTCTGCAACATCAACCACGTTATCCAATGAAGAGACAGACACTTTTTTCATTCATCTGCACAATGCAAGAATCGATGTGGGCTTTTATATTCTCCTTCTTTGACCACCGATATAAAAAGAAACTGGGCCGATCACCTGCCAGAAATAGCCAGTGCAATCTAATACCTTGTCGACGTTTCTCTCCTTCCCTTCCTCCCATCCCTCCATCCCCAAGCTCGGGAGTTATAGATTGAAAACCTCAGTGTCGGGACACGGGAAGCGGTTGCAGAGCCACCATGTTGTAACATAAAGTTTCCGTTTTATATTGCAGGCAATATATACAAGGCCTGCCGTCCCGCAGCGGGATCATCAAGCTGCACTGAAGAGCGCCGCCTCGGGAAGAGAGAGAGAGAGAGAGTGAATCTTGAAATCCTTTTCACCGCACTTCCGTTTCGAGGGTATGGATGGATGAAATGGTTCCTTTCCTCGCTCGCACACGCCCCATAAACACAGCACCCATGATAACTGGTGGCAGGGAACAGGCTCAACGCCACGCCCCGCCGGAGGCTGGCATGCTACAATGAGAAGAGGAAAGGGAAAGAAACAAAAGGAATGAAAATCAAAAACAGAAGAAAGAGGCAGGACTACCGGCATGGCTTCCCTCTCTTGCCGCCGGGCCTCACCCGCCTCCACATCCTCCTCCTCCTCCCCCTAGTTCTCTGCATCTGGGGAAGGGGGTGCATAGAAAAGAACCTAAGTCTGATTCTCCCCAGACGGCACTTGGCATTGGACCGTCACCTCATGTCACGCACCCAGACGGATATGTAGACTATTAGATACACAGCAAGCCAAGATCCACGCGAGGGTTATTTCCATTTCCCGTTCTTCTCTTTTTGAAATGCAATACCGTGCCGCGCAAAGAAGAGCTTCGAAGCGAGTGGAAGCGAATCGAGTACTAGACCCAAACCAAAAGTTTGTCATGAGGATGGAGGAAGGAAAGCCAAGGTGGCATCGTGCCAAACTACCACGATGAAAAAGAGCTGCCAGCCTGTACGCATCGGGACAGTCGTAGTCGTGATACCATCATCCCTCGCCGTCTTTCCTGTTCTCGAGCCCTCGAGCTGAGGTGGTAGCAACGCGAATTCTTCGTGCCACGCCCCTCCAGTCCAGGTCATCGTTGCCCCAAGCAAAATACATCGGCGGATGCATCTTGTCGATGACGGCCACGTCGGTGCGGGTCTACCGTTAATATCACAGTCAAGCAGATCTAAATAAGCGAGCGTGGTGGTGACGTTCTTGGATCATGGGATCTCGAGGGGCCAAGGAACCTTTTTCGCAGTTTTGCCCCTTTGAGCCATCATCACATCGCCTGGTACCCTTCTCGAGAAGGGGGAGGGCGCTGCCAGCCTATCACCCACTCGTGCGCTTTCTTGCAGCAGAAGCCCGCGGGCGCGTTCGAGGGCCGTCTTCCGACTGCCAGGGCGGAGGGGATGCAACGTCAGTGTGGGCATGGGCGTGGGCGTGGGCATGGGTGCAGGTGTGGGGTTGGCATGGCATCTGTACAAAACGTCTATTGGCGTGCAAGCGATATCCATTACTTCAAGTTGTAGATGCATTGATACTTTGGTGGCTAGCGGACGAAACTGCCAGGCTGAGCTAGTGTTGAAACAGCGATGCAGCGTGGGCTCCTGAGGTGGTAGCGTCCTGAGCGAAGTTGAGTCGAGTCGGACTCGTGCGTACATCCAGCAGTCAGTGTCCCGAGCACACGAGGGGCGATGTCGGATTAGCGTGGGCAGAGCGTGGTACAAGGATCCATTGCATCCCATTCAAGGATGAGCCCATCAAAATACCCGACATTACCTTTGGAGCTGCTGGCGCCACGCAGGCAGGCTTTGCCTAATGTCGATCTAGCTTTACCCCCAACCCCTGAGCGTGATCCCTTGTAATCCGGGGTTGGCTCACAACTTTAATACGAATACCGAGCACTCTTCTTCCTGGCTGACGGACAGATGCAGCAGACCATTAATCCATACTTTGGCCCTTTTCCTCGTTTCTCGCCGGCTTTGTGTACATCCATTGAGTAGAAGACGCCGAGTATACCAGTGTATCACGTATCACGTACGAATCAGAAGAAAAACCAAAGTGACACACTCGACATTCGGGAGGATCGGAGAGGGAGAGGACCCAAAGAGGCAAACCAAAGAGAAAAGAAGTATTCTGGCAATGCATCGAGAGGGATCGCAATCCAATTTCACTCGTTCGCCAAGCAACACCAAACTTTTTTTCTCTCGATCTCGTGCACACCCCTCCTCCTCCTCCTCCTCATTCCCCCCTTTCTTTCAGTGACGGCGATTCGCGGGACTGGAAAGAGGCCGAGCACCCTCGAGATTTCCCAATTTTGGCCCCCTCCTTGGCGCTGGCCCCACAACGGGAACCACAAACCGGGATTTTCGGAGGAGGCCGAGAATCTCCGCCAATCGACGGGCCGGGACCAGGAACCGCGTTGGAACCCAAACGTCGCATTCGACAGAGTAGCTCCGGCCCTTTTTGTGTGGTGCGAGAGGGGGAAGGGGGTTTGTTGTTTTCTTTCTTCCTTCTTTCTTTTTTCTTTTTCTTTTCGCATTGCTCTTTTTCTTTTCGCGCTAGAAAATTAGAAAAAAAAGGTTGGATGCATTATCGTGAATCTCCATGGCGTCTCGTCGCACTGCGCCCCTCCCCTTCATCTCCTGACTTCTCCATACAGCATATGCAGCTTTGTTCAGGTGCCTCGTCATGCATCAGACCCGCGGATGACTTGATGGTTTCTCTGCCTGCCTAAACCTTTTTGTTTGCACCATGCCCAAAGTCTTCAATACCTCGTGGCAAATACTGGCTGCTTCAATCCGCCTCCTCCATCCCATGCAGTCTGCTTCTTCCGCCTTCTCTCGCGATGGCGGTCGGAGAATCACAGGCACGATGTGGGGGTGGGGGAGTGGCCTGGCCTGGCCCATTGCTGAGATGAGAGGAATGGGGTTCAGCGCCCCCTTCATCTCCTCGACGGATCCCATCCCCGTCTAGGTCCGTCTAGGTCCCTCGGGGTCCCTCGAACACCAGGACCGTAACGAGGGCCGTAGATTTGCCAAGGAACTGAAAGCCCGCTGGGCCAAGTCGAATAGTGGACAGAGGCGGCTTGCGATGCCGGGCCACCGGAACGGATGACGCATTCGCGCTCATGTGCAATGTGCAAAAGCAAGTCAGCTCTTGATAATCGGTAGTCTCGCCGTCGCCAGCGCGCGTGAGTGTCCACATGTTATTGTTATATTGCTCTCTAGTTAGTATCCAGGCCCGCTCCCCGGAAACGGCAGAGCCTCTCTTGTCGCTCCATGGTAGCGAGAGTGATTGCAAGTCGTGTGCCGATTCCCCACACGCGTACCAAAGTTTTTCTTTTTCTTTCCTCGTGCTTGTGCTTGCATTTGTATTGGCACGAGAGAATGGAGGGTCCCCATGGGGAAGAACAAGAAAAAAAGTTCCATATGCTGCGCAAGTCAAACGTTCTATGCCACTCGATGCCGATGAGGATGCTACCGCTCCTCCTGGACGGGCGCAACGACAATGGCACCGGCTCTGCTCCCCAGTATATTCGCCTGAGAGCTTGGGCTCAACACGTACCCCGGACCAAAGAACGGCCCCCTCCCTTTCCCCTTCCTTTCCACCCTTCTCTTCCATTCTCTTCCTCAAGCGTGAAATAGAGTAGCAAGCGCCAAGAAAATACTCCGGACGGGATACCCGGACATGACCCTCGACTTTTGTTCTCGAGAGTCCTCTTTTCAGGGAGTGGGGAAAGAAAGAACCTGCCTTTTACTCTTGTCTCTTCCTCTTTCGTCCTTTCTCAGCCTGCGCAACTGGCGCTAGAACCTCTTTTGGGCCGGCAAACGTGGGGAGGTCCACGCCAACGCTACCCCCATCTTGGGCTCTTGGGCTCTTGGAATAGCTGGGCCGACGGGCGTTACGGTTCGCCTTCCTCCTCCTCCTCTTCGCTCTCTCTCTCTCCTTGACCCTCCTGTCGTTCCCCGGCGGGCGTGGTAGCTTCCCAGTTCACGATGCAACCTTTCTGGTCCCTGTCATCGTGGGGCCTTGCTCTCACACGTTAGCGCCCAGGAATTACTACCGCCGTCGGGAGGATACATGAGAATTCGCGGGGCCTACCTTGCCTCGGTACTGTCGTGAACCATCATCTCCTTTGGGACGAATGACAAAGTTGACGGCGGGTACCAAAAGAAGAGACAACGAGCGGACATGGCATTTCTCTTCAAGAGAATCAACCAATCTTACTCGTAATCCTTTCCCCCGCCCTTTCCTCTGTTGACTCTCTTTTCCATCAAAACCAGATGGATATATAAGTTGTCGTCTTCCCCCTTCTTCCTCTGGTTCTTGGAGACGTGATTCCCAGGATTCATCCAAGCATCCCGCCCTTTCTTTCTTCCAAGGCTCACCCCCTGAAACTCCCCTCCCCCATCTTTTCTTTTTGACCTCTCTCTCTCTCTCTCAAACCCACCGCACAACATGGTCGCCACCAAGGTCTCCGCCATCCTCGGCGCTCTCGCCTCCGCCGCCACCGTCTCCGCCCACGGCTACGTCTCGCACATCATCGTCGACGGCGTCCAGTACCCCGGCTACAACCCCACCACCCACCCCTACATGAGCAACCCTCCCACCGTTGTCGGCTGGTCCGCCGACCAGCTCGACCTCGGCTTCGTCTCCCCAGCGCCTACAAGACCTCGGACATCATCTGCCACAGGTCCGGCGCCCCGCCAAGGGCCACGCCCAGGTCAAGGCCGGCGCCATCATCACCTTCCAGTGGACCACCTGGCCCGAGAGCCACCACGGCCCCATCATCGACCACCTCGCCGCCTGCAACGGCCCCTGCGAGAACGTCAAGAAGGAGGACCTCCGCTTCTTCAAGATTGACGGCTTGGGCCTCATCACCCCCGGCGCCGCCGGCTACTACGCCGCCAACAAGCTCATGGACAACCAGGACCGCTGGGTCCTCCGCATCCCCTCCAACATCAAGCCCGGCAACTACGTCCTCCGCCACGAGATCATTGCCCTCCACGGCTCCAACTCGTACGACGGCACCCAGAGCTACCCTCAGTGCTTCAACCTCGAGATCACCGGCTCCGGTACCGACGTCTTCCCCGGCGTCCCCGGCACCGAGCTCTACGGCGACAGGGATCCCGGTATCCTCATCAACACCTACAACAACAGCCTCCTCGACTACCCCGTCCCCGGCGGCGCCATCGTGAACGGCGGCGTCTCCTCCATCGCCCAGAACGCCCAGGTCGCCACCTCCACCGGCACCCCCACCCCGCTAGCGGAGCCACCTCCCCTACCTCCACCGCCGCGGGCGCTTCCTCCAGCACCACCTCGCGCGCCACGTCCACCGCCCAGGCCACCTCTTCCTCTACCCTCGTCACCAGCACCAGGACCTCGACCGCCGCTAGCGCCGGCCAGACCCCTATGGCCAGTGCGGCGGTAACGGATGGACCGGTCCCACCACTTGCGCCAACGGTGTCAAGTGCACGTGGCTCAACGACTGGTACTCCCAGTGCACTCCTTAAGTTTCTCCCTTCTCTTTCCCGGCCCCGCTTTCTCTCATCTCCCTCTCTTCTCTTGGGGTGAGACAGTGAGATGGCGGCTGTTTGCCGTTTGCCGAGGTCAAAGCGATCGTCTACTTGGCGCTTCTTTATGAGTGCGACGAGTGCGAGCAGATCCTTGGGTTTTTTGGTTTTTTGAGTGTATATACGCTTAGCTTGTGCCATCTTCACATTTTTTTCCTCTGCAGCGGGATTATCTTGTATATATCTTCTTCTTCATATATCTTACCTCCCCCAACATCCGACCTTTTTGAATGATAATTATGAGCAAAAAATGTCATCTTTGAACTCGCTCCTTGGTGAAAATAAACTATGCAACGTTTTCAGGCCGTGATCTGGTGTGAAAGAATGCTAAGGGTGCCTAGGTGAGCTCGGTGTAAGACGTGTCAGTCCACATCTGTAAGCGTCATGCGAATACGATCCGTGGATGCGTGGCGTATGTGCATGTATCGATCGCATTGCAGCGGCTCGAGGACTACTCCAAACCCGACGTGCACTAGAGAAAAATAGAGACAAGATGTGTTTAGTGGATTGAAAGGGATTGATAATAAAGTCTAACCAAAAAATATCGGGTCGCACTTGCCGCACTTATGGCCATCAAATATTGCGTCTTCTTGTCTCTACGCTACGGGTTGAAACAAAAGAAACAAACGAGAAGCTGAAGCTGATAACTAGAGAGGTAGAAGGACGAAGAGAATGACAACGGACTTGGATTATTTGCGTTTTATTTATTTTTTATTTATTTTTGCAATATGAATTCCCACGTATATTGATAAATATAGAAGGAAGAGAGAGAACGAGAACAGAAAAAGACGAAAAGGAAAGGAACAGAAACACGACAGTGACGCTGTGTTAAGGCACTTCAATTATCAGCAAAGCTCTGTTGAGTGCTATTAGTGATCTCTTCTTCGACGTTGTGAGTCGAGACTCCGACCTGGCGGCCCGGGGTGGACAGAGGTGGCCGCTCACGTGAAAATATGGGGATTCTTTCCCGGCTGGAGACTCTTGGCGACAGTTGGCCTTGTCACAAGCGAAATTGGAAGTGGGAGCACACGGTCTCTGCGTATGCTTGAAAGCCCAAGCCAGCTTCTTTAGTGTGGGGGAGAACAGCAGCATGAGCATCAAGACGGCCACATTATCGCAAACCGAACGACCCTCCCCCGATACGCTCACCCCGTTCCCTGCCAACCATCTTCGTTTCCTGGTGGCGGCAGATCGCGACGCACTCCGGCGGTCTCGGTGCCGACCTCATATATACCTCCACCACCCCAACATTCAACGCCATCTGCCAATTGACATTTTGACGCCCACGCCCAGACGCTGCCCCTCGTCCGCCTCTTCCTCCTTCCCGCTCTCCTTCTCCCACACCCCCACTCTCCTTGATATCGCTCTCCAACATGGCCTCCGCCGTCTTTTTCCTAGACCTCAAGGGCAAGGTAAGCTTTATAACTCCGGTCCTCCGAGGGCGGGGATCCCTCGGTATCGAATACAGTTCGCTTTCTAATCCTCTTTGCTTCACATTTCAGACCCTGCTTGCCCGAAATTATAGGGGTGATATCCCCATGTCCGCCGTTGAGCAGTTCCCCGTGCTGCTCAGCGAAGCGGAAGAGGAGTCTTCTGCCGTCCCTCCTTGCTTCTCCCACGAAGGCATCAACGTAAGATTGGGCGTCCCAACTCCGCCTCCCTGGATAGCTTCGCTTGCACCAAGGAGAGGCTGGAGCCTTCCATCTCTTTGATCATACAGCTAACTCTCCCGGCCCTCCCCCCTCCTTTGTAGTACCTCTACATCCGACACAACAACCTTTACCTCCTTGCCCTCACAAAACGAAACACAAATGCTGCCGAGATCCTACTATTCCTCCACAAGGTCGTCGAGGTCTTTACAGAATACTTCAAGATGTTGGAGGAGGAATCGATTCGGGACAACTTTGTCATCATCTACGAGCTTCTCGACGAAATGATGGACTTTGGCTATCCCCAAACCACCGAGTCCAAGATTCTGCAAGAGTACATTACGCAAGAATCCCACAAGCTCGAGGTGCAAGCCCGACCCCCATCGCCGTCACAAACGCCGTGTCTTGGCGTTCCGAGGGCATCCGCTACAGGAAGAACGAGGTCTTCCTCGACGTCGTCGAGAGCCTCAACCTGCTGGTGTCTTCCAACGGCAACGTCCTCCGGTCCGAGATTCTCGGCGCCATCAAGATGAAGTGCTACCTCAGCGGCATGCCCGAGCTCCGGCTCGGACTCAACGACAAGGTCATGTTCGAAACCACCGGCCGGACGACGCGAGGCAAGGCCATCGAGATGGAGGACGTCAAGTTCCACCAGTGCGTGCGTCTCTCGCGCTTCGAAAACGACCGCACCATCTCCTTCATCCCCCGACGGCGAGTTCGAGCTCATGAGCTACCGCCTCAACACCCAGGTCAAGCCCCTCATCTGGGTCGAGTGCGTCGTCGAGTCCCACAGCGGCTCCCGCATCAGTACATGCTCAAGGCCAAGGCCCAGTTCAAGCGTCGCAGCACCGCCAACAATGTGGAAATCATCGTCCCCGTCCCCGACGACGCCGACTCCCTCGCTTCCGCACAAACATTGGTGCCGTGCACTACGCTCCGGAGCAGAGCGCCATCGTATGGAAGATTAAGCAGTTTGGCGGCAACAAGGAGTTCCTCATGAGGGCCGAATTGGGCCTACCCTCCGTAAGGGGCGACGACGAACACGGCGGTGGCATGACCGGCGGCTTCGGCGGTAGCATGGGCGGCGTGGGTGGCGGAAAAGGTGCCAAGAGGCCAATCCAGGTCAAGTTTGAGATTCCCTACTTCACTACTAGCGGTATCCAGGTGCGGTACCTGAAGATTACGGAGCCCAAGGTACGTTACTTGCTTTTCTTCCGCCTCTTTTCCTACTCGTTCCATTCTCTCTTCCTTTTCTCTTTGTTTTTTTCGTCACCCCACTAGAAGCTAATCTGTCCTTTTTTTTTTTAGTTACAATACCCATCCCTGCCTTGGGTCAGGTACATCACACAATCCGGAGATATAGCAGTCCGGCTTCCTGATGCGGTTTGAGAAGGCTTGGGGAAATAAAAATGGTAGTTTTATAGCGTGTTTAATGAGAAAAAGAACCGAGGACTTATAACATGATGAAATGACTCTCTCTGCGTCCCCTTTTTGAAAGAACCTCTTTGTTTCTCTTGGAGGTTCACCAAGTCGTGCGACGAAAGAGAAAAGAAATTAGAGGACGCAGGCTTGGCGAAAAGGCAAGGCAAGAGCCTGAAATGCGAGAGCCAAAGAACAGCAAACAATAGAAACAGAGAAACCAATAGTTGAGGGGTGAGGTAGGAATGGCAAAAGTTTCCTTTGCCACTAGTAATACACTTACATTTGTGATGCTCTCGAAAAGACTGGGAGCACGCCAAAGGGGTATCACACGTACGTTAACAAGATCTAGTCAGAACAAGCCACTCCAACGAAATCTAATCAGACAATCCCACCCTCCCCATACGCACCGCGAATCAAAGCCAGCCCCAATTAACCCTTCACAAGCGCGCTATCCTCAAGCGCCTTGAGTGCTTCCGAGGTGGACGCTGGATTCTGGTCGTCGAGGCCGACATGGACGAGGAAACCCCTCGGCTCGTCGCCGGATCGAGGGTCTAGGAACCACCAATGGGATACTGTTAGTAAATCAAGTACGCCCTCGTATTCTACACCAGGATGGCATATCCTTTGCCCCAAACTCTTTTTTATTTACTTTTCGGAGGGGAAAGGAAGGAAAGGAAGGGAACAACCGCATCGGTTGACTTTTGTGTGCGACTTACAACCTTGGGGTTCGGTCTCAACTCTCCACTGGTGATCCCGCCAATGCGCGTTGTCGCCGATAAAGGTCTTGGCCATCCGCTCTTTGTGGGGTATGGACGGATGCTCCCAGAACGCCATGAGCCCGAGCAGGATGGGGAGTTCTCCGCCAAGCCCGCGCGAGGCCCGGGCGGTGGAACATGTGTTTGCAAATACCGACGGCACTAGACTCGGCATCCAGCTAGGATTCTGTCCCGCCACGTATTGAAGCCCGCGGGATTCGTGATTAACAAGGCTAACGCCAGCGGGCCGCGCAGAGTGTCTAAAATGGAGCAATCCCCACCGGTAATCGCAACTGTTCTCGGGGACGCCCGCCACATCGTGGGCCGTGGGGTCAACCTTAGAGATGATGATTGGCAGGAGGGGCTGGAGGAGAAGACGGCACGCTCTTTGTAACGCTCGATTTTGTTTGAACCTTGGGCTCTCTGTATGGTCCCCTCCTGCTGCCAGACCTCGCGGGACCAGCGGTACTCGGGCGCCGTGGTAACTCGGCCATCCCGGTAGCGCATAACCACGCTTTTATCCTCGGCCGCGTAACCACCCTTGGTCTCAGGCGGGACCACGTTGCCCCAGTAGTCGGGGGTTGGAGGAGGCTGTCCGGGACCAGCCACCTCGAGCTTATTCACTACGAAGAGGAAGCTCGGGCTCTGCTCTTGGCTTGGGCCCACCCTGGGATCCTTGGGCCGAGGGCGATTGCTCAGGCGCATGCGCTCGTGGCTTTCGGAAGGCTAGTTCACGGCGACTATTAGCGTGCGCGCACCAAAGACAACCAAGGCTCTTCACACCTAGAAACCCGAATGCGGGACCTACCATTGTAAAACTAGTTTGGTGTGCTAAAAGGGAGATGCGGAAGCAAGGACCGCGAGGAAGAGGCAAAGATGCACAATAGTATTCGTTCAAGTGGAGCTATACAGAACATTTGCGGTGTAAAGAATTGAGACATCGTCTTCGAAAGGACGACGGGGGTTCGGTGGAATATAAACAAGAAATAGCCGGCGCGGTTTAGGCTCGCGGAGACGACGGGCGATGGGCTGGAACCATACGTTCTCCTCGCGACGGCTTCATTTTCTGCCAGCCTGGGCCCTGAGCCATCAGACGTATCCAGCCAGCCCGCATCTTAGGCCGCAGAGCCCAGAATCCCAGCCTTTGTGCCGCGATATCAAGCCCGGCCATGGCATCTATCCCTCGCTGATCATGGACTTGGCGGCCCCAACCCAACCCACGCCTCACCTCTTGGTTGCAAGGCTTAGAGTGTTTTGATGCCATTCTCCTGCCCTACGACACCCTTTTGCAATGCAGTGAGACGCGTTGCAAGCGGAGAGTCAGTCCTAGATTGGCGGCCGCCCCGACGGCTCGCAGCCTTCGCTAAAAGGGTTACCGATCTCCAAAAGACAAGACACAGCTGTGGCTACATAGGTGGCACAGAGCAGGGGAAGAAGAAAAGGAAGCCCAAAGGGAGAGCCGAAAGCACCCACCAATCTATCCTTACACATCCTCACATCTTCGGGCAATCTTGCGGCCCGGCCTGGCAACGCTGTAACCACCAAGTCACCACACTGCAGCGCCAACCGTGCGCTTTAGATTGGCGCCTAGCTAGACGACATTGAAACGCTGGAAAAGTCAGACCAGGCTACCGTTAGTTAGTACTGTTGGTTGCCTCAAGACCTGGGTCATCGGCCGTCATGGTGGAAATCTCGGGCCAACCTCATCGGGGGCGGTTTTGAGGGTGGGGGCCAAATCCACATCTTCCTGCACTTGGGCTGAAATGCAGAAACGGCTCCCTTTCGATATCACAGTTAATATTGCCGAAGGTCACTCATGGGAGCCTCGCCTCGCAGCTCGTGCTTACCAGCCTACCCCACGGATGTTCTCTCTATCGTCCACATACGGACAGCCACTAGGTGATCCTAAGCAGATAGAAGCACGGCTGGTTGTCCAGATCAAATCAGATAAACTGCTCGCGCTTAGCAGAGCCACTCGTCGGAAGAGCCGAAGAGCGCAAAGCAGGCTCCCCAAGGACGGGCAGTTGGGCCATGAGTCTGTGGGGGTTGAGAAAAAAAGAAGCAGTGTTTTGCAGCAAATCCATACAAGTGGGTGGGAAGGGGCTTCCCGTAGGTTATACTGGAGATTCTCGAGCCCGGACAGGTTGGGTGAAAACCTACCACCCCCATTTTGTGAGTTTTGAGACCCAAAAACAGTGGCTCTTGGGGTGGTGGGCTAGGTATGAGGACTTCATTATCATACATGGTGGAAAATTAAGAAGGTACTGATGCTTTAAACTCGGTGACACCAGCCCTCGTGATAGGCCGTCGTGCGGGCCCAGTTCCGCTTCCCTGTTTCGAGCAAGAGTTGGTGTGGACGATGGTAATGGAGGGGGATGGAACGCCCCTTATTCAGGTTGATTTGTCCCCCGTTCCTCGAGTCGAGTTCGAAAAACTTGCCAAGCACAATTGACAAGGAAAAGAAAACGCGGATAGGTGTTCGAGATCAGATAGCTGCAAAGCCGCGGCGCACCCGACTTGTTAGCCCCTCGACCCGCAGCGTATTTTGTCCATTCAAAGTAGGAAAAGAAAGCTCCTGCAGGGTAGTGACGTGATCGCCTTTTTATTTACTTCTCGATTCCGCTCGTCCTGTCGATCTCTCGCCAAGCAACCAGCCAGATGCTACGAGAAGCGACAGCCTCGTGCACTAGATAATAGTGAGCCCAAGAGCGGTTAAAGCATGCGAGGCCCAACCAGAGTGGTGCGTTCTCACATATACATGATAGAACACAGCAATGTATCAGGGCGGGAGGGAGGAGATGATGGGCAGTGCGTAGCAAGAAGCGGGAGAGGCGGAGAGCTGGTGCCGGTAGTTTCCATCCATCCATTCAACTAGCAGGTCTCCTAGGGATCCGGACTCGACTCTCGCCAAGCTGGGACGCTGTTGGACTGTTGGGAAATTAATAGACGCTGAGGACAGAAAAGATGGAAGGTTTTGCTGGTTGTATTCAAGCACCCTGCGGCCACCAAAAAAAAAAAAAAAAAAAAAAGAGCCTTTAGTCTCTCCAGCTGCCACGCCCTTTTTTTCACGGCCACGATGAGTGAGGACTCTGGGAAACAGTCAGTCTCCGACCTCAAAGCATTCTATTTTTCTTAGCCGGTCTCTCGCCCATGCTCTCGTCAAGGGACACGTCTGCAGTTTTAATCGCAGCTAAGGCGAGTGCTTCATGCAGCAGCCGCTTTTCCCCAGCCCGAGCTTCGACCGCCATGCGGAATCGACCCGTAGTTTGAGGGTCGGCAAGGATCAGCTCGTCATCGGCGAGGGTAGTCGAATACTCCGACAACCTATTGGATAGAACCAGAGGCAGTACCTCCCTGCACGTTTCTTCCCTCTTGCGTTTATCGGCCACGACAGAAGCCGACACCTTCCGGAACGCCTTGAGAATTGCTATCGTCGCCTCCTCCAGTTCTGAAAGTAACTTATCAGTCCGAATAGGCGCTATGAGGGTCCCGTCCGAGTTGGGTTCTCCGGCGTCCCGCTCCAGGACGATTGGGTCGTCTACCTCATCCTCGAAAAATGGTACCTAGAAGCGGCTGGAATTAGGATGGGCCCAGTTCAAACAGCCTCGTTAGAAAGAAAAACATACCGCTTTATCTTTGAAAGCCTCCGAGACTTGAAGTGAGACTTGCACCTGGGTGGCCACCATGGAGCGAGGGATCTCAACGATATCGTATCGTCGATGAAGGCTACTAACGTACCCATATCGTCGCAGCAGGTCCGAGTTAGCGAGAGGACCATAGTAGTTCAAAACTTCCTCCCCTTGCCGTATGATCCGAAGCGAGGTAACAGTAACCACATTGTCGTCATGATCAACATGAGCCTTTCATGAGAAGGTCAGCTAACAAGGCAGCCAAGCCGCCCGCATAGGGGACGAACCCCTCAGGCGATGTTTGAGAGCACTCACGTTGAATTCCGCGTCGGAATTGAGAATATCAGCCATTGGAACCATGCCTAACATGGAAGCCTCCTTATCCTCAACCCACTCCTCTTCCGAGTTACCGTCCTGCTGTTCCTCGTCGTCGTCCTTGTCTAGGTCAAAGGCGTAGGCCATAATAAGGCTTGCCATTCGATGCGAGAGCTCGAGAAGTTCCCCATCACTCAAGCGGACATTGCTATCAGCGTAAAATACGTCGGCATTCGCGTTCACGCAGGGTAAGACCTTGGTGATGAATGTGGCATTGGCTTGATCCTTGCCAATCTTGGACCTAACCGAGCTTGCTTGCAACTGATCGAGCTCCGGTTCAGACCAGAACATTGGAGTGTCGAAGTTATGGGGTAGCACATCAAAATAAGGACCCCATAAAGACTTTTGGCCCTGAAGATACTCGTAAATGAGGACTAGCACTAGACCAATCCACGGATCCGGATCCGATAGTTTGGATTCGTCATCCAAGCTGACGGGGAAGACGGCGCCGTCCTTTGTTAAAACGTGCGGTAGCTTTTCGCACAGAGTAGAAGTCGTCGTTGTAATCACAGCAGCTCTTGGCGTTGTGAATAGAATGGTGTTTGCCGGAATATCCTCCCTTGCCACTAACGGATGCATGAGTATCTAGATCACCCATCTAACCATATTGGTGCGCAACAATAGGGTAGCATGCTATGGGCAATGAGTGGGCATTCCACAGACTTACCGAGACCTCTGCCTGAATTGCGAGATCTGAGATCAGCCATGTATAAGCTGTCGTGGAAGGTTGACCCTGGAATGGCTGCGAACCATGCGAGAAACCTTTGGCTCGCAGCCTCGAAATCAGGCGACTCCATCCTGGATTTTAACTATCTCTCTTTCTCCCGTTGATTCCTCAGGGCATACTATCTCCTGTTTAAAGTGTGGGAAGTTCAGAAACGGTTGAAACCCAGCCCTATCAGAAAAGGAAAGAGGGAAGAGCCGGCCCTGTTCTTTTGGGGGACTTATACGAAGGTTGAAGCAAACGTGGCTAGAGACCTGCCCAGTCTCCCAACTAGACCTGTGGCTGTTTCGTACTAGATTACGGGTGCTTTTTGATGCGGCTCCTATTCAGTAACAAAAAAGAATGAACTCTGGAATCGCTCGAGATATGCCACCAGTTGCGCCTGCGACTACGCTGAGCAGTCTTTTTCAAAATCACACCCTACTTCTGAGCAAAAGCACGATGCAGTTAGTGCTGGTCTTTTGGGTGGGCATGTTTCAATTACATAATCTGTTTTCTGTATCACGTGATTGTATAGGGTCTCGCGGATGGTAGAAAACTCTTCGCAAGATCGTGGCCGGAAAAAACTTTTGAAACTTCACAACCACCGCGTCCTATTAGACAGTGCAGCTCATTGCATACACACACCTTGCCACAGCATTCTGCTTATGAGCTAACCGTGTGCCATCGATGAAAACTGCGATTTTGTGACGCGTAGAAGGAAACCATGGTTCATATAAGAGCCGGCCGAGCAGTTTCTTGTTGCTTGGACGGCGTCAGAGGAATCGAACATATCTTGTGTAAACCCTTGTGTGTGTGTGTGCGCGCGTTTGTCGGTCTGTCTTTTTCGGCCTGTATCCAAGCGCTGTGCCGGCCTCAGTCAAACGTAGGGGCAAGAGGTTACGAGAATGCCATCGCTTCGATGGCGAAATGCGTCCAAGAAATCTGTGCGAGTTGGCTGCTGGAACACGCAAAGAGCCTGTGCCCTCGTGGGAACCCGATTTGAAGGATAATTTGAACCACCACGGACTGGTACGTCCCGTCTAGCCATCCCGTCAAGGGCTTTTTAGCCTCGTCCTCAGGACGCCTGGCCTGTTTAAGACATGGAGCAGGTACAGATCGTACCTTACAGAGGGCCGGTTCAGGAGCTCTCGTCCGTCATGGCTCGGGTGGTCCTTGGGCAGCAGCCGCCATTATATTCCGGAAGAGCAGCAACTCGGCGTGCGGATGAGGCCTTGTCAGCCCAGAATTTCCCCTCGAGCTTCTGCTGAAATTGAGAGGAAGAAAGAAAAGGCAAGAGTTCAAGGCCGAATGCCGACTGGGCGGTCTTGGCATTCGAGGAAAAGTTCACCTGCGATAACGCAGAGGGTCTTCATCGTTAAGATGAGCAGTAGTGGGTGTAGCCAAATCGGTAACAGAATTTTCGGCCCAGGCTAATGACCCAGGTCACAATCACATGCAACGAACCAGACCCTGAGAACCCTGGTTCAAATCCCTCCTCCGCAAGCGAGGGAATTAAAAATGGGGCAGGGACAATCAACAAATGTGAGCTCTGTGCCGGGTTTGACACGTGCGAGGCGCTCCTAAAACACGCCAGATCCATGATGGGCAGGAGTGAGCGATAACGGCATGACTTGCTGACTTTGTGTTAGCTGCTCCCCACATTATCCACATGCTTTGAATCTTTCTCCTTGTACTGCACCACCTTCGCATCTACGCCCGTAGGTGGGCTTCTCAACAGAGGCAATTTTTTTGATTGTCAGGCGTGTCCCGTCCTTTCGATGATTTCTCTGGAGCATAATGAGATGATATTAGCTGTCTGCGACCCCGAAAGAACCCCTTTCAAATGAGTAGTGTCTAAAGTGGAAATCGATCCAGCGATCCATCTTCGGTTGGGGTGGGCCGTGAACCTAGCTCAAGCCATGACGCAAGAGTGTATGCTGGCTAGATCTATCATGACGCAGAGCTACTGAGAATGGATCAATGGAGGCTCTTCAAAGCTTCGACAAGCCCTTCGATTACAATTCCCTATCTTGGAAGAAAGTTCTCTGGGCTTCACCAGAAACCCGTGCATGTTGGTCGGCATCGTGGCGCACAGAACGGTATCGATACTTGTACGAGGCGAGGCGCTTTCGTGTCTTTGCGTCACAGTCGGCTCAACCGACCCGAGGTGCAAACAAGACAGACCTTGCCTCGCCGGCGAAGCATTAGAGTCCCGAAAGGAGTGGTGGGGGCGGGATAAGAAAAATTACACTGTATGAGATAATACGGCGTCCTTTGGGCCTAGGCTGGCACGGTCCAATGATCTAACAAGAGGCGAGCAAACAAAGAAATAGAAAGAAAAATACACGGAAAAAGTAATAGTGGCGATATGGGCTCCCGGTCAACTCGGCAGCTACGGATGACCAAGAGATCGGCACACCCTCTGAGGAGAGCCATATGGAGGGGACGAAGCCTCTCCTCTCACTAGGGGCCTTGGAGGCGGAGGTGATGGCAAAGACCGTCGTATCGACCTCCTACCTCTCATGACTTCAGGTTACAACACGTTCGCGAGCAGACGCTGACTTGGAGATATCAGACGATGAGCCCCCAAAAGGCGCTCTCTGGCTACGACCCTGACATTGGGATCACCTCCTCGGAGCCCCCATTTTGACATTCCTATTTCTTCTTCGTCCTTTATTTTTTTCTCCCGCCGAGGCAGACAGGTAGCTAGCCAGGGTAGGGTGCGCATGCACAGGAAAATTGTGGTGCCTCGGATTCGACGGCGAGCTCTGGTCGGCTTCAAGGACCGGCTATTATGCACCACTAGTCGAAAAGGCACCAGTTTGACTGACGTGCCCTGCACACAAGTTGGCTCCGGCAGAGTCTGGGAGGCTGGCTCCAAGCATTGAAGCTAGGGCTAGGACGGTAAAGGGAAACAGATAAGACGGAGGGACTACCAATAACTAGCTTGGGGCTGGCTGGCCATTGGCACAAGAAGTCTAGAACTGGGTGCTGTCTTGCCCAAAATTGGGGCTGGAACAGAAAAAGTACTTTGTTCGCCGGCGTACCACAATCGCGCAGAGAAAACGAGGGGCAGCGCAGCGCGGCATGGGAGAAGTGTGACCGTCGTTCGCCCCAAATTGGTTTTGCTTCGGGGTTCAAGGATGATACCACCTGAATTTTGTGAGTGGAGAGGCCGGTCACAAGAGGAGAACTTCTTAGGCCTTCTATTTTGACTTTGTGCTTTCATGAAGGACAGCCCCACGGACGATGCCTAGCGCCTCATGCCCTCGATTGATGTGGATGGCATTCGCGAGGCTTTCAAGATGACTGGAAACTGGTGCGTCTTTGGGTAGGGAAAGGGGTACATGGAGTGACCTCTTGTGATGGGATACTGTGGGCTGTGAAGCAGTGAACAATGCCGGCTTCTTCGCTTCGATCCAATGGATCCAACGGATGGATGCTGAGGTACTCACTTCCTCGAGAAGTTGGCCCCCACACCCCTCATAACGCCTGAAAAAATCCACATTTTTCCCACTAGTCATCCACCATCACTCCTGTCCTGGGTCCCCGCCCTCCCCCGGCTCAACTTGTTGCCATTTCACATGTGCTTGCGCTCTGTTCCTCTCATATCGTTTCGCTGTTTTTCCCATGTGCATGGCTTTCGTCGTGAAGCTTGGCCATCCTAGTCATCACACCATTCGCCGGTCCTTGCTCCCCTGCATCCGCTAAAGGCCCAGCACCACGCCGCTTCCCCCGTCCCTTCCCTTTGCCTCCCTCTAGTGCAATTCAACAACCTTCATTGCGGTTTCCCCCTTTCAGCCCAAAACCCACTCGCCGGCTCATCCCTTCTCCGCCAGCAAACGACCCAAAATTCTTCGCTTGCTTTCGCGAGTGCTTCAAGTTGAGCCCGTCGTGGGCAGACATACGCCAGATTTCGTTCCTCTCCTTTCTTCCAATCTTCTCAGCAATCATCGTTTATCCAAAACGAGCGCCTTAGACCTTTACTGGTCTTTGGCTTTCCATCACCGCGAGAATGGAGCAGAATCACATGCTTCCTCGAACCCTCGAGCCACGGGGCCGCGCCGCCGAGTCGACAGAACCATGGTCAAAACCCTCCCACGCCTATCCTCCCACGCATGCGACTGCGACGGCGGCGGCGCACCAGAATCCTCCGCAGGCATCCCTCCAGTCTCACGATCCCGCGATGCTTAAATTTCCAGACGTCCCCACCACCGAATTGCCCCCGATCCAACCCTCTCACGAAACTGACAACACCTTGCCCTCGATATCAAGCCTTACGGGCCAACGCTATCGGCGCTCGTCATCCCAACTGACGGACAGCACCCACAGCCGGCAGGCTTCTGCGGGGCCTCAGCAGCCGTGGATGGCGTTGAGCCCTCGGTCAAGCCACTACTCCCGTGCCGCAGACTCTCCGGCGAGAATGGATCTTGATGCTGGGAGCAATGGGGCCGTCGGCGCTGCGTCGCCAGACTATTTTCATGACGGCAGGGCATCTAGCGTCAGCTTGGATGACCCCGATGTCCGCCTAGCCGCCGAAGCGCTCGGTGATTTACGTGCAGGTAAGGTTGCTTCCCAAGCAAATCTCGCATAGTTGTGATCTTGGAGCCATCGCGATTCTTCGGCTCTCTAGCCCTTTTCTTTCCTCTGCCTATAAGTGCATGTGGAGGCTAATCTAGGTGACATGACTCCCTATAGACTTTCTCTCTTCGCCACCAAATTCGCATGCTTCTCTTCCGCTGCGGTCGCCGTCCCACAGCTCCGCATCCTCACACACCCGAACTCAGCCTGAGCCATTACTGTCGCTGCTCACGACATCCCACCCTCTCATAGCTACAACTATAGGCGGGGCCGCATCGGCCTACAACAGCTCGAAAAACTATTCTCCCCGTTTCAAATCTAGCGCGGAATACGTTGAGGGCTACTTGACCCCAATCGCCGGGGCCGTAGGATCGGTTGGCCGCGTCACCGGCGTAGAAGGCTCCGTGCGATGGTTCCTTGGTGGGCGCAAGCAATCGCAGAGGTCTGATGTCGAATCCGGCGATAGCGGCTCTCACAAACGAAGGAAAGTCGCGAGGGAGCCGACCTGGACGCGGCCGTAAGGCTAGATGAGAAGGCGCTCGAGGCGTACGGCTTCAAGGCCGAGCGCCGAATGTCCCAGGCAAGTACCGTCGACACCCTACCAGCTTATGAGAACTCGCCCGATTACACGGAAAACGCGGAGGGTTCTACCACTAAGCGTGGGCCTGGGAATGCGCCATGGCAATCGCGCCTCATCATGTCGACATCCGGCCTGAGTATCGCGATGAGCGATGAAAGCTTGCGCAGCCTAAAGTATTGCCTCACATGGCTTAGATGGGCGAATCGTCACATCGCCAAGGTCATTGCCTCATTGAAGACGACGCTAGAGCAGTACGAACAGGCCGAACAGGCTGAGAGAGAATCCGCCTCCGGCGACGAAACCGCCGCAGGAGATTCCTCTGCCAAACACCAGGCCAACCGGCAGGAATTGGCGGCGAAGATAGCCTCTCTCCGAGATGATGTCTTGAAGACTCTTCGTGACGTTGTGGAGACCGTTTCCAAGTATACAGGTGGTGCCCTCCCAGAGAATGCGCGTGTTCTCGTTCGTCGTCACCTCACCAGCCTGCCCCGGAAATGGCAACTTGCGATGGCCATATCGTCTCAGCAACAACAGCAACAGGGGCAGCAGCTTGGCGATGCGGAAGATGGTGGCAGGCCTCGTGAGAGGAACATCAAGGAAGGCGCCCAGCGGGTCCTTGTCCTTGCGATGGAGGGCCTCGACATGATGGCGCAGGTGAGCGGTGTCCTAGACGGCACCATCGTCAGCGCCGAAGAATGGTGTGAGCGCTTGGGAAAGCGGAGGCGCCACGACAAGGACGGCCCCGAAGCCGCGTCTCCGTCTCAGTCTCAGCCTCAAGACCAAGTCCCAACTGCGGCCCCGCCCACCGATGGCGATGTCAAGATGACTTGAGCAGCATCTGTGCTTCGCCCACGGCAGTTTGACACGAAACTAAGCCGCCCAGCACCAGCACCATATTTCATATTTCCAACTAAAGAAGCAAATTAACGCAAACCAGAGGACAACTGTCAACATGTTTTGTTTGCATTATTTGTTTCTATGTTTTCTATGTCCTGAACTTAACGGTCAGAAAGAAAAATAGGTTGACCACGACTTAGTCCTGTCGCTTGCCTTGGTTTTTTTATGCTCGATGTGCACTCCAGGCTTTTCTTCTCCTTTGTCCGCTTTTTGATCTCCTTTCTTTTTTCTTCTTCTTCATTTTGTGGTCTCTTCTCCTTGGACTCTGAGTCTCTATTGTTCTTCTCCACTTGCTCATTCTGTTTTCCGATTCTTGCCTTTCTCCTTCATCATCAATCTCTGATGATGAAGAAGATGAACTCTTTTTCTTTTGTTCTTTTATTATTTTCCACACCCTTGTCCTTGGTTTTAAAGGCGTTTGAAAATCTTGATATACTCGAGGACGGGGCGAACCGGGAACCTGTGAAAAGAGGAAGACAAAATCGGGAACCTGTGAAAAGAGGAAGACAAAATCCGATCTTGGATTTCCCCGAGATCGTAAGAAAGGAAAGGTGGCTCCCGAGCCTATTTGGCGAACATACCTTTTATTTGAGTATACCAGCAAGCCGAGCGGTACTGTCGTTTTTGTTATTTCTTTGAATCGAGCCCTCGCATTTGAGTCGGGAAGGTATTTGCAGTTGTTTATCCACCTGCCTGGCTTAGGATTGGGCGGGGAGGAGGTTTTCCAAAATTAAGATACCGATGATACCAATTCCAACCACTCATCTCCATCCGCTACCATTTCGCCCGTAACGCACGACCAGTGACTCTGCATGATTAGGCGTGGTGGACCGTGAAGAACAATGGCTCGCCAGGGAAAGGGCCGCGGGTCGCGTGTCGCGTGCTGCGACTATAGTCATAGGCGTTGTGAGAACGAGTGTCCTCTGAGCCACGTCGACACAGTGCAGAGGAGGGCTGGGAGCCGAGCATGAATATCATCTAATCACTACGAGTGTTTACGATGTGTCAAGTTTGAGCGAAACTGTGGAGAGAGAGAGAGAGAGAGTGAGAGAACAGAATCAAACTCTTTTGCCATAAACGCCGAAGAACACCGGTAACCCACGAGGGGTAAAGGCTGACATGCCACCGGACCGCATGCAATATTTCAACACGCCTTTAGAATACACCATGAGGGAGCACACTGCAGTGAGCCCAGAGCCAAAAGGGGGAGGGAAGGAGTAGAGAAGAAAGCAAAACCCATGACGAGGTCAAAGACATAAAACACCTTAAACGCCACCCGGAAGAGCCCTCTCGACCCTGCAAAAGAGAGGGGGAGGGAAACGGAGTGAAAGAGAAAAAAGGCATAACGCGCTCTCCCGGCCGCCCTCAGACCTTCAAAGTGCCAAACGCCCGGTCTAGCTCCGCGCCCTCGTCCGTGTCAGTCGCCATCTCGCTCACGCCTTCCGGCAAGGCGGCGCCGGCGCCGCTGTCCGGGGTGGCGTCGGCGTGCTTCCTCTCCGGCTCGAGGACCCTGACGTCGCTGTCGAGCCAGCCGGGGGCGATTCTGCGTTTCTCGGCGAGTTCTCTCTGGCGGATGCTGTCCTTGAGCTGGGCGAGGTCGCGCTCGGCGTCGCTGCGCATCTTGTCTAGGTGGGACTGCATCTCGCGGCAGGAGGCGATGATGTCGGCGGGGTTGGCGGCCTGGCCGGTGGCGGAGACGACGTAGCGGGGTTTGGGCGGGCGCCGCCTCCGGGGGTGGTGGTGGAGGAGGAGGAAGAGGCGGAGGCGTCGGGGTTTGGGCCGGCGGCGGCGGCGGCGGAGGAGGAGACGGGGGTGTTGAGGATGGAGTGGGGGAGGGTGGAGGGCATCGCGGCGTAGTTGTAGGGTAGGGTCGGGGCGGTTGGGAGGACGACGAAGGGGAGACCGTGAGGGGGACTTGTTGGAGGAGGGGATGGGGACCTGGAAGGCGCAGGCGGGGAAGGCAGGCGAGGTGTTAGCGAGGATTGGGCGCGCGGGGGGGATGTGGTCGCTAGGCGCTGGAGGGCGAGCAACGAGTGGGTGGGGACAAGGGGGAGGAAGAACGTACGACTGTTATACATGGTAACGGCGGCGTTGTGAGAGAGGAATGGGAGGGTTTGGATTAGGCGATTGCGCGGTCCGTTTCAGTCTTGGGGAAATAAAGAGATAGGAAATTGGTTGCGATGTTCAATCAGAAACGTGCATTTCAAGCAATTAGACACCTCTTGTCCCAGCACAGCAAATGAATGGGCAAGGTCGCACGAGTGCTACGTCAGCCGGTCGCAGAGGAGGGGGGTTGAGCTTCGTGGGATGACGGTTAGAGCTCGGCGGCCATGGCACGGATCCGAGGATCTAGGAACTATTGTTGCTAGTATGGTAAGTGCTAGCAGCTCTCGAGGCTCGAGTTTAAGGTGAGGATTCTATTCTAAGCATTGATGATGGGTGACGTCCATTTCGCGGGGTCTAGTTCAAGGCGTCGATCAGTGCACGTGCAGATAGCGACCCGATAAGAATGAATGTACACTCGGCGCATGGCTTGACTGGCGCCCAGAGCAGCAGAGCTCTTGAGCAGCTCAGCTCGCAACCCCACCAAAGAATTGAACTGATTGATCCACGCAAACGTGAATCGAGTCAAGCTCTTTACCTAGGTTTCTCACCCCGAAAATTACCATTGATGAATTAAGAGGTCTTGAAGCATATTGTACACCTTACCAATCCCCTACCTCCCCTTCATTCAAGCCATTGGGACCTCCCCTTCCATCCGCGAGCATGCCGACAACAACCATCCGGACCCCACCCTTGGAGGCAGACTTCACACCTCTCACCGAGTACCAGGCGCAAACCCCAGAGACCTTCTTCGGCGGAAAACCAGTGTTGCACTATCATGCGGCGGACGCAAAAGCCTTCGTCCCGATAGACGAGTGCGACGTTCTCCCAGTCTTCCCCAAGGATTCGTCTTCGAGCCCGCCCTCGGGCCCGGAGGCTGCTGCCTTGGGTGCAGGCGCGGAGGGGCTGACGGAGAAGAGGCTTGGAATTTGGGTAAACTCCGAGTAAGTTTTTCACAAAGGAAAAAAAAAAAGAAAAGGCCCTTTTTCTTATATATGGAAAGACTTGGCCAGGGGGGCTAACTTGGATGACAGGTTTTTACGATATTCAACCAAGAGGCGCAAGTCGGCGTCACCATTAGTTACCCCACCATCTCCATCCACGCGCTCAAGACCATCGGCAGCGGCGACAACCAGATACACACTGTATGGCTGCAGATCGAGATGGGTGACGGCGGTAGCGACGACGACGACTTTGGTACTGTGGAGCTCACCATCGTCCCTCCGACGGCGGGCGACGCGGCGTCGCAGCAAGCCGAGGCAAAGCGACTCTTCGATGCCATCTCCACCTGCTCCAACCTGCACCCGGACCCGGTGGAGGAGGGCGACGAGGAAGACGAGGAAGACGACCGCATCGTCTTCGAGAGCAGCCACGAGTTCGAAGCCCTGGCGGGTTTCACGGGCGTGATGAGGGGGACGGACAACGGGGGTCTCCCGCCTCCCATGCCAGGCAGCTCAGGTTGGATCACGGCGGATAATGTGCACGAGTATTTTGACGAGGAGGGCAACTGGATAGGAGAGGAGGGCACCAGCGGCGAGCTCGGGGACGGCGCGGGGAGGGTCCGGAACCGAGACGAGTCCAACGGCGACAATGTAAATGGTGAGGGCGCGGAGGAAGACTCTGAAAACAAGCGTCCGAGGGTGGAGTAAGTACGTTTAGGTTGAAGAAAAAAGAAGAAAAAAACGAAATCACAAAAGATAGTCTGTCTACTCGACACTTTGACTAGGGAGGTTTTTTCAAGCAGGACCTCTCTATTTCTCGTCTATCGAGGTGAGATACTAATGATGCCACGAGAAATCATACATATTGATAGCTAATAACAAGAACTACGCCATCAGAAGAGGTCTCTCCCAGCCTAGGCTAAGGAAAACAAGAATGCAGGTGCAAGTCCAAGCGCAAGTAATGCCGAGACGAAATTGTGTACAGCTATCATCAGAATCTGCGCCGAGCTGCAGAGTGACCGGTTGTGGAACTCCAAAAACAATGCTTCCTTCCTCATAGATGGGGTATACGAGTTTCTCCCCAATTTTTCTGTTTCTGTCTTTTGATGTCTAGATCGTCTCCAGCCCACAATGGCTTGTTATATAGCGCGTTTCGATGATCACGCTGGCCGGACGAGACATCTGCCAGGCCTCAACTTTTCTCTCCAACCCTGCCGTTTCAGCCAGGCATAACTCCGTGCATCGCCACCGACGACTCTGACAGCGCCCGTTTCCTCAAGCTGTGCCGTAGTGCAGGGTCGACGGGATGCGACCAGAGAGGGCTATGGGGTTGGGGCGGGTGGGTGGGCGTGATGTTAACCTTGGATTGGTCGAGTCTCGGTGGCCAGGATGCCACCCGGGCGTGCTGCGTCTGGAGGCTAGGGTCGCTCAATTTAGGAGGGACGCGAAGCCGGACCATGGATCTGGGTGAAGATATAGGTCGTGCAAAAGGCGTGGAGGTGTACACCTCAGGATCTGATCGTGCCGGTGTCGTAGGGAGCCCGGTTCTGGGGCCGCCTGCTTCAGTGCGGCGTGGAGTGGATTGAATGGATGAGGGGTTGTAGCTGTAAGTCGAGGCGCTATCCCTACTTCGTACCGACCTATGGCTGGCGGCTTTGGGAGGCATGGTCGGCACCCGTGGCAAGGATGTGTGTTCTTGGCCACCGGATGCGGGCGTGTTATCCCCGTTTGTTCGGCCTGGGGAATGTGTACGGACGTAGGCTCTACGGCACTTTTCGGCCTTTCTTGAGTCTTGGTCTGGAATTTGTTGTCCCTTGCGCCGGCTCCGGAGGCTAACCTTTGTGCAGTTGAATGGAGGATATGGTTTAGGTCCTCTTCGGTAGAGGTACGCCTATGCCATGAGGTAGGAGGCGTCCGCGGGAAGCGTTGCGCCACAAACGGGAAACCGGGGGCAAAGGATGTGGTTTCCGGCGGGGGTAGGGCTGCGGCTGTCCCTGCTGATACAAGTCTCGTGGCAGATTGGGCGATGAGAAATAGTGGTGCGGCGGCGAGATCGGCAGCCACGCCGGTCTAGCTTGGTAGTGCGGGTCTTGGCTGCGGTCTGCTGCCCCGGACATGGTGGCGGCTGTAGGGAGAAACAGGCCATCTCGTAGGTATCCAAGCCTGGGTGCCTGTGGCATCTGCATCTGTTGCATTGTGTTATTATACACAAGGCTCTCCCTCTCCTCTCCGCGATAGTCGTCGGTGTTGCGCCATGCCTGGCCCCACTGCCTAGCGGAGCGGATGCTCCAAGGAGACGCGGCGCGCGGGTCTACGAAAGGCCGTGGCCGGACGAGTCGGGGCCCGTGGGGGACCCTCGGGCCCGACGCCCGCGAATTTCGACGAGGACCAAGCCCAACGCCAGGAATACGATGGTGCTCACGCCGAGGCATATGACGAGGACACTTTCCGTCGAGAGGCCCTTGTTGCTTTCAGAACGCGCGGCTGCAGGCATGGCTGCACATGAAAAGCTTGGGCAAAGGTGGCGGCGAGCGTTCCCCGGGGTTGAACAAGAACAGCTCTTGTCTCAAGCTGTCCGAGACTCCATCGCTTCCTCGGCCGCGGGTATTGGTAACGGTGATGTGCTGCGCTAGCTCTGCCGAGCGAGTTGGCGATCAATCTTGAGGGTGGTGGATGCAAGAAGGGAGGAGGAGGGGATGACAAGAATAGAAGCGAAGAGCGAAGCAGCTCTTCGTTGTTGTTGTTGTCTTCTTTTTCTTATTCTTTCCTTTTTTCGTCCCATGAAAAGAAATCATGCAAAGAGCTCGCTTGTGGGAGCGAAGACGAGACGGCGCGCTTATCTTTATATTCGATTGCGACGTTTAGCTCCAGATTCACTACCCCCGCGCCGAGGAAGAGGAGGAGGGGAGGCGAAGGAGGAGGGGAAAAGGAAGAGGAGCTGGGGGACAAGGTAGTAGCAGCCTTGGATGACGCTTCTTCTCTCTTGCTCCCATGTTCCCCATATCTATCTCATATGCGCATGCACACAGACACACCCATATCCCACCCCCTCCAATGATCTATCAAACGTGAATTTCTCCGACTTGCCGTACCCCGTCGATGGGGAAATCTTGGCCCACCATGCGAGGGCGTAGCTTCTAGTAAGGGTACGTTCTGCAATCTCCTAGATAGCTCTTGTCCAACTCTGCCTGCAACGAGGGAAAGGGGGTGAGCCTCGACGGGCAGCAACGAGATGGTTCGAGTACCCCCTCATGACTCCTTACAGCGTGAACCTGGAAAACCAGGGCGGGGCGCCGATCGCGAACAAAGGAACAGTGGAGGAGGGGGGCAGGGGGACGATTTTGGCAAGAGAGTGAGTTGAACCCTGCGACGAAGATGCGAGCGAGCGGCACGGCAAACCGAGAACGAGCCTATGGCGTCGTCTTTTTTTTGTTGCAGTGCGCTTTTAGATCGCGGAACGAAGCGATCGCTTCCCCCTTGCACCACGCTTCTCACATCACCCCTCCTTCAAAGTCCCCTTGGCCCGTGTGCCCACCATCCTCTCATGCCTTCCCCAGGAAAGTGGATCGAGTGTCTTGGAACCGAGCTGCGTGGTGGGCATACTGCCTTTGAACTCGTTATTACTTTGAGCTCCCGGGTTGGCTGGGATAGCCTGGGCAGGGAGCAGGCTATCAACCGGTTACCAAGCTCCAGCGGAAAGGAGCAAAATCTACATTTACACAAAGAATAGACCCCCAAAGAAAGAAAGTCCCTCTGGCGATAGTGACTTTTTTGTTTTCTTTCCTACCCTGGGAAAAAAAAAAAGAGACGAAAAGAAGGACGACAAGTTCGTAGCAAGATGGCGGCATGAAAGAATCTTGGGATGGGATCGAGTAAGAGTTGTATTCGTCCTTCCTTCGCCTCCTTCCCCATCTCTCTTCTCGCCCTGTCAGCGTCGGCTACCAGGGCCGAAGACGGGGGCACGCAGCGGTGGTAAGCTTGGGCTGGGCTGCAGGGCTGCGCACCACAAATCTTGGTTCGCATCGAGCATCTCATTCATGCGTTTTGTCTCCCCTCACCCCCAAATCTTGCTGCGCCAGGTACGGCCTGCTGCTCTTTGCGTCTGGTGGCTTGCTTCTGAAGCGCATAAGGATTGCTGCAGCATCCTAAAGGGAAGAAGGACCCAATCCCGCAAGGCCTTTTCATCCTTCCTTCCCTCTTACAGCACGACTGGGGAGATCTCCCCCGCCCCCGATGGTCATTTTGCTTTCTTCTTCAAAACCTTTGCGATCCTCAGAGCTGAAGCTCCTTTGTGCGCCCGTGCGGCGCGACAGCCGAGAGATATGCACCTGCTTTTCGAGCATAACCTTTTGATTGTTTCGCCAGGCCATCGCGTTCAATGCGGCGGATCCGTGCAAAAGAACCCCCAAGAAGATGATGATACAGGATAGAGACCATTTGTAAAGGAAAATAAAATTCACGGCAGATGCCCTTGAGGGAAAGACAGAGGGGGGTAAATCAGAGATTAAAATGCTACGAAGTAGGTACTACTGGCTGGAGGCATCATCCTCTACGACCGGCAATGCATCGACAAGAGTCCAAACGGTGGGAGAGAAAAAAAAAAAGGAGAAGAAATAGACAAAAGAGAAAAAAGGGGCTAGATCTCAGATAACTGCCGAGCTTCTTGCACGCTCTCATCCATGTGAATTCCATAGCAGCCAAGAAAAGAACAGGTGTCAAAGGTCAAAATGGTGAGACAAGACTCTCGGGGATGGTCTAAGATTCAAGACACGGCGCTCTGGACAGGCGGGGAAGGCCAGGACTGGATCCGTGGCTGACAACTATTTTACAGGAGTATGAAAGGCAAAGACATATCCCGCGAATCTCGCCTAGAATAATAGAGATGAGTGAATACGTTGTATTGCTATTCAATGCGCAAGGAAACTCAAAAAAGGTCATCTCGGCTGTTCTAGCACACCCGCGGGACCGAACCAGGCGGGCTGGGGGACCGGGCGACGGAGGTCGTAATGGCGCGCGAGGATCTTTGACACAGTGGCTCGAATTCCTCATTTCTTCTACGGAGCTAGAACAACCCTACAAATGTGATGCCTTTGAGTTCCTGCGCCGTCAAACGCCCTTGTAAAACAAGTTCCTTTTTCAGAACTGCACCGTAAAGAAGAAGAGAGAATACAACAAAAGGAAGTGGAAAAGATCAGAGAACAAAAAAGGTGGGGGATATCCTCCGCTTCATGAACCCAACATGCCCGAGAAGATGATCAACTTCTTCATGCTACAAACAAACAAAGATCCAAAGATCAATTGATAGCAACTAGCTACGCGCTCGCCTATAACCTAACCATCACCATCGCCTCACGCAACACACGGCTTGCATCAGATCTACTGACTTGAGCGCATGCCATGCCCTAGTGGCGGCGGTGAAGATGGCCATGCGCGTGGCGGCGGGAGCGCTTGGCCTTTCGCGCCGACCCATCTACAGTCGCGGTGGAGACTTCGGCGTCGGGAGAATACTCGGTGACCCAGACGACTTCCTGAACCCAGAGAATCTTGCTCATCACGTTGCCGTCTCGGACGTACTGGGTGCTGATCACATTTTCAAGGTTCTCCTCGACAACGGGCTCCGGGGCCGGGGTAACGACCGGTTCAGGCTCGGGCTGCTGGGTCGTCGGCTCGGGTTCGGGCTCGGGCTGGGGCTGGGGCTCGGGCTTGGTGTCCTCCGATGCAATGTTGACGGGGACGGGATCTTCCTTGAAGACACCACCACCGGGGCTGGCGTCCTGCTGGGCGTCGTCACCTTTGCCAAGAATGGGATCAACGATATCGGCAATACCGTCGGTGATACCGCCGATAATGTCCTCCACAATCTTGCCAAGTCCGGGGAGAACTGCCATGGGGCCAAAGACATTCTCCGAGGAGAGGAGGCTGGGGGTGTTGAGGTTGCACTGCGCAGCATCGTTTTGGCTCTGGAGCTCGAAAACGGGGCAATCATCAATCCTTCCGCTCATGTTGGTGCACGTGTTGACCGCCTGACGTAGAGTCTCCTCGTCCCAACCCGAGATGAAATCGCCATGGTAGCCGAAGCCTGTTGCTTGGTTAGAAAACTGGCCTGGCATCTCACGGGAAAGAAAATAGCCTGGGCAAGGCTAGAAAATGCATCCAAGGGGAAAGAGAGGAAGGAAGAGCCCGTGGGATAAAAATCCTACCTTGAGTGTCGTCATTAGCAAGGACGTAGCTCCCGCTGCGACCCTTGAACTCGACCGTGTTGTAGAAACTTTCAAACATGAGGCCGGGCAGGCGGACGGGGAAGTCGGCAGGGCACGGGCCGTCCATGACGGTATCGGGATAGGCGACGTGGTCCTGGTGGTTGGCCGAAGTGATGACGTTGTTGCCGACCCAGCACGAGGGGAACATGAGCTCGAATCGGATGCCGTCGGGGCAGTTCTCGTCGATAAAGGCCTTGTCGGGGAGGTAGTGGCGCATCAAGGTGGGCTCGCCGGGCTTGGCGTAGTTGAGACAGTTGACGCCAATGGCCAGCTGCTTGAGGATGCTCTGCTCAACGTAGCCCTTGCCTCTCCACGTAGACTTTTCCGGGTCCGGGCCGGTGTAGTCCCAGGGAGCGGTAAAGTCACGTCGCTTGGTGTCTCCGGCAATCATTCTGAAGCCGGGGGAATGGCTGAATGTTTTCGCCATTAAGGAAGTAGTAGCTGTTGTCATGTGTTAGCCTTTTTCGCATTCCCTCTTCGGGGCCAATGTCGAGAATAAGACCTACGCAAGCATGCCGCCGAGGGCTTGACCTCCTCAAACTCGCCAGTCGCCGCATCCTTGAAGTAAAGCTGCGGGTGCCAGTAAGCAGACTTATCCTGCTTGACACGGCACGAAGTGCAGTCACCGCCGGCGAGCTGGTCGAAGCCAGAGGTAAGACTGAAACCTGCAGAGTCATGTTAGCGCCAAGATTCCAGCTCCCCAAGAGCCATCGCAAGGTTGAAGGACATACCATTCGATCCGTAGATGGCATGGGCGTGCGCAGAGGCAGTGCCGGGGTTCACCAGCGGGTCAATGCGTGCTAGACCGAGCCGATGAGGGCATTCCATGCGCCAGAAGGCATCCACGCCAACGGCGCTGAGAAGCGCGGCGATGTACGTCTTGGTGAGCATTGTTGTTTGGTTGAAAACTTAGTTTGACTGCTAGCCAATCTTCGGAACCAAAACACGACGCTCGCAAAGGGGAGAAAAAAGTCGGGGTCTCGATTCGATCAGGACAACTGCCTGGTGCACGGGAAACAAAAGGCGCGATTCGGTGTAAGTCGGGCGTCTAAGCTAGTACCAGACGCTTTACGGGCTTCGTTCGAGGTGGGTCTGGAAAAAAATCGAATGGCAGTCCGACTGTTCCTGAGCCGGCGCTCTTTGGTGCTTGTGCAAGTGGGTTGTGGTTGGGAGCGAAGGCGTTATAGATCGACGGCGTCGTTGTTGGATGGCTTGTGTAAGTCGCGGATGTGGGATAGCGGCCAATTGTCGAGAATCCACCCAGTGTCCAGACGTCGCAAGGAGTCCGAAATCCCTCTCGTTTGCGTCTAGTTCCCCTTTCTTTCTTTCTTTCTTTTTCTTTTCTTCTCCTTTCTTCTTCTCTCTCTCTCTCTAAGTCCACCGGGAAAAAGAGGCCCTGGTCAAGAAACGAATGTGATCAACACAAATTTGGTTGTGCGAATGAGCGAATGGAGGAAGTGGTGGAGTTCCTCGGAAAATGCGAGTATAAAGCAGGCCAGAAGCAAGACGGTAAAGGAGCGTTTGGAAAAGGATTGTTTGCAAAGGAATGACTGACAAGCGGCCGAACGAAGCTTGACGAGAGGCTCGCAAGTTGGAAAGGAGAGAGAAGAAGGAGAGAGAAAAGAGAGAGAGAGAGATACCACTAGGGACGAAGGCAAGGTAGTATTAAGGAAATGGGGGAAAAGGAAAGGAGCACAGCACTAAGACGAAGAGTGGACGACGGGAGAGACCAGGCCAAGAGGTGGGATGGTGTGGTCCAGGTGTGGCCCAGGTGTGGTGCAGGTGCGTCCCGGCAAGACCATCAATTGATCCAATGCTGCCAGTCCAAGCCAGTCCAAGCCAGAACCAGGGCCAGGGCCAGGCCCATAGGCCCACTCGACAAAATGCAGGTACAGCCAAAGTTGGGGTACTTGGACCACACAGTGCCGCACCTTGCCTGGCGTGGGGTCGTTCTTGCCGGCGCTTTATTCTGCGACGAGGAACGAGCCAATCTAGGAACTGGGACACCGAACTGGCTAATTAGCCAGGGGGACCTTTGGGGATGCTTGAGATGACGGTCAGTGTCCAAGCCAAACTCCAAGGCAAAGGGGAAGAAGAGGAAGGAGAGGGGCACGTCTGTTGTTTTGGCCCCTTGGCTGTCTGCTCCGTCCGGCCTCGTCTACTGCATAAGAAGGGGTTGAAGGCGGAGAGATAAATGACGATGTGGGACAAGCGATTACTATTATCCGACTCAAGAGTCCACAGCGGCAGTGGTTCATCCACCTGTTCTCGTGGTTTTCTTTCTTTATTTTTCTTTTTTTCTCCAACCCGTTATGGCGTCAGGCCTCGATATTCTTTTCCTTGCGCGTGGCTGAAGAGGTCAAGGTGAAGGGGCAGGATGGGGGAGTGATCGCAATCAAGACCCGCAACTCGCATCGCCGATCCTAACCTGCAAGAAGCCTGGCTGTTCCAGATGCTTTTGGGAGAGGCCGGGGCGGAGGCGTATCAAGGATCAATGGTGGCCCAAGGGATGGAGAGGGTTGGGTCTGGCTTTGGGTGATGATATATCATCTCCGCTTCACAGCCTCATTGGGTTCTGTTCCATGATATTTCATGTATGCTGTATGTAGTCCCCAGGTTAGGATGTCTCTGGGAAGCCAAGTCCCATCCATCTTGGAAGACGAATCACCCGCGTACAGGGGATCTGCGAGGAAATCACAGATGCCAGCGATCCCTATCTCCCGGCCACACACGTCTCCGATGACCGCATAGTACGGTTCTTGGTAGGACTCTCCCCGTCTGTTCATCTTGGCGGTGGCTCACCATCCATCTCTGCTTGCTGCATGAGCGAGGAGAGGAGCTGGGCCCGCGCGATTCATCCCCATCATGGCTAAGAAGCAGATGGCGACGACATTGCCTCGGTAGACCGGCACTCTTTTCTTTTCTTTTCTTTTCGTTTTTTTCCCTTCCTCTTTATCTTGTGAGGTCATGATCGCAACCTGTGAAGGCGTGGCTGAGCAGCATGTTTCGAAGTTGTAGAAATTACAAAGGACCACGCGCGAACCACCATCATCGAACAGCGTCCAGACTGAGGGGCTTGAGGGGCAGGCAAGCGCGGACCAACAGTACTTGAGTAATGTCAGCAATGTCCGCAGGGATCAATTAATGGAATGGGTCAATTGGGATGGGCATTGTAGGCTTTGGTAGTTTCAATGGTTGAGGATTTGACGACGACACGGAACACGGCAAAGGGCCACAAGGGTAAATGGTCGCAGAAACTGCAAGGGACACAGGACACAGCATCCATTTACATTGGAGGGTTACAAAGTGGGGTCAACTGGTGTCTTGGGGGCACACAGCAAGAAGGGGCAGCTGTCCCTGTGCTGGCTCTGTGCTCTGTGCTACAGACTCCATGGATGTTGAGCGATTGCGTTTGACCTCTTGACGGAGGTGGGACAGCTGAATTGAGGAAACAAAAAGGTTTTCAAAAGACTTCAAAGTTACACATCAATGATCAATTGTCCTTGGAATTGACTTTTCCGACAACTTGCACTCTTGAGTGGAGCAAAGGAAGGCTGGACGCATCCGCTCCGATGGATCAACGGAAAGATAGTGCGCATGTGCCTCGGTCGGCGTCTGCGTTTGAATGCGGCCTCGTACTTGTAGATAATAATACAATAGCTCAATTGGACCATTTTATGGGGATGGTGCAGCAATGATGTATTTCTTTGAGTAGCGGATTCAGTGAAATGGATCCAAAACCCCCATCCTCGACCTTTTGCGGTGCCTCAAGCTGGGACAGGGGCCAGAGGATTTTCGGCAAAGGATCGACCCCAGGAACGGAACGTCAAAGACAGTTAATACCAAGGTGGGTTGGGTTAAGTTGGTGGGCAACATGATTGAGGTGCAAAATGGGGACCGTACCAGGTTTTTCCCGCCCTTTTGCTAATCATCTCTGATGATCCTTCGCCCTCCCGACCTTAATGCCGCCGCCTATCTCAACCATGTTTCCCAAGTGTGGCACCAGGCTGTGTGCATATGTGTGTCCCGGCATGCTGGTCGCACGACACACACACACACGCAGCCCGTGGAAGGCGTAGCACTTGTAGCACGAAGCACTACCGGGGAGACGGTCACGTTCGACAGTGTGTTGTGTGTTTGTCAAAACGAATGGGCGATGGGAACATGATTTTTGTCCGATGCAAGGAAACTCTTATGAACTTGGTTGCTTTATGATCTTGGTTTGGCCTCCTCCGTCGAGAACTGAGACGAACAGGCCAGAGGGCAAAAGGGCATGTTCATCTCGAGACGACAGCGATATACTACTAGTCTAGCTAGCAAATAGGCAAGAGAAAGGAAAGGTGAGTCAACGGTTTCTTAGACAAACGAAAAGTAGAAGCGCAAAAACCAGTCATAGCAACCGAGCTTCCTGCGTTCAGCCATTGAGCCATTGATTGATTTGTTTGCTCCTCCAAGTTTTCCACCTTCGCCACAACCGCCCGTTTGTTACTTTTTTGCCCAAGGCCGATCAACGCTCAAATGCCGTCTGAGAGAGCCAAAGAGCGTCAAGGTTACGAAAACCGTCTTGCTTTTTCTAAACCCCATTTTACCATCAATGTGGGTAAAGCAGCCTTGGAAGGCTTGGAAGGCTTAGAACAAGTGAGACCTTTTGGACCGCCGCTTCGACCCTTGACTCTCCGTGACAAGAAAGTGGGAGCGCAGGTGCCAAGCGCTGAGACGGACGATGAGCTCAACTGTTCTGGTGTCGCTGGCCTCTCTCGGTCTCTGTCGTGACATATGTCGTCCAGGGCCCCAAGCTAACACATGCCCAGCAAAAACCCCGCGTGGGTGTCACTCACTGACCCAGCCAGACTCCCATCCCCGTCGGTGGCGTTCTAACGGCAAAAGCCATCGATGGATCAATCGATCGATCCCATCAAGCCCATTCAGTACCCCTGGAAGGGGGACGGATTCCTGACTGGCAGATTCCTTACTGCCCCACTGCTCTCTTATCACTAATAGCAGAATAATAGCAGAAATCGTGAAGAGGGTTGACAGGACTGACTGACCTGGGCTGGGCCCTCTGTCTAGCCTGTCTGGCTCATTGCTAACCAAAGTCTCCAGAATTTTCCATCTCCGTGATGACCACCACGGCTCTTCCATTCCGGTCCATCGGTCATTCACTGCCCATCATGCCCCCATTTGTGATCTTGCTCGAAGCCAAGGGCCTTGTGAAATTGCGACAAATGCAACAAAGGGGGAACAAAAGGGGAGACAAGGGGACGCACGGCGGAGCCAAAGGGTACCCGGCCTCGGGGTGTACAACATCGTCACAGTAAGACCTCCAAGATATCTACTGTGACGGGAACACTGAAATGCGACCGCACAGAGGAGTATCCAATGATCCGGGCGCGACCACCTGGTCGAACATGAAACGAATTTCAGGGTCAACCAAGAACCAATCACCGCCCCGCGCTTCCCGGCTCCCCAGAACGCCACAATCCAGGCCCAGTCACGACTTGACGACAAGCCCTCGATGCGCCCACCCTCGAAGACCCCTTGCCCTCATCTGAGGCTGAGCTTGACTGCCCGAAGCGCTGGAATAGTGAGGTATTATACGTTGACTTGACAAGAAGAACAAGATGGCCTAGGCCACTCCAGAAGTAGTATTTTTTCCTCTTTCTTTTTCTTCAGGTTTATATCAGGCCGAAGCGCCTGAATTACTTGCAGACAAGCACGTCATTGACTCTTGCAGACAGTCGTTGGAATTCAAAAGTTATGTGATTGAAGCGTAGTTTGATAAAAGCCAATCCCCTGCATGTGCCTCATTGTATCCTCAGTCGAAAACAAACCATACTCAGTGCGTAACCCCAAAAGTTAACGGCTACAAACGAGAAGGGCCCCTCAACGGCCGCGCAGCTCGTACCGTTGAACCATGCTATCGCTATCCTCTGGCCAAGACGTTGTACGATGCTGCGTGGGCAAAAATGTGCGAATAATTCAAGGCACTTTTCACCTTTTCTTCTTCTTCTTCTTCTTCTTCTTCTTCTTCTTGCTAGCATTTGTGGGCTTTTTTACCCCGCCCTGTTATTGTCCTAGTAGACAACGTGCGTCTCCTGCCCGACTTCATCCCGGCTCGGCACCTTGCGGGTGAAGAGGTAAAATTGCTTTCAGGTGCATTCAGTTCGGGGGAGCAGGGAGCCTTGTTGTAAGTGGCTGTGGGGATTTTGAATTGCTACTTGGCGGTGTTAATACCAAACGCAAGAGCTGGAACCGTTTAAAGCTTGACCACCACGTCTATGGTGAGCTAGAGTAAAGATGTGATCGGCGGGAGCAACGTGGGATGAACATTAAACTATAATCCCCGCATACTAAATCCCATTTATACAGGAGAGAATCATCCATTGTATGAAGCAGCTTACCACATGTACTTATCAGATGACAAGCCTGATGTAATGTGGAGGAAATTCTGGACCCTGAAACATAGAACCATTTGATACTCTTTCGCACCCTCCGCTTGTTTTAAGGTTAAAGGTCTCCTTTGGTGGAAGAGGCGGATGAGTAAGCCAAAACCACGCTACCAGCACCCATGCTTCGATCGCGATTTGACAGCTGTTTTCCGGAGGATTGTCAGCTGGCGGAGGATGCCATAGGGGCGCTCCCCTCGTGTCCGTCTACTTCGTAATTTGGGCACCCCTGGGTTTGGAATGCGGGTTGGGAAGAGCTGATCAATGGTCGAAGTCAAGGTGTCCCTCACTGCAACACCTGCCTGAAGGACCTACCCCAACCTCTAGCCCCTCATCCACCACCAACTCTCTTTCAACGCTTTCAACGGTCAGACAACCTGTCATGGTTCAATGATTTCGGAAACGCTCCAAAAGACAGTCTAGTGTCCAGTTACCTCCCTTGCCCCCGCCATGGATGATCTTGCGGGTCTGAGCTGGACAAGTTCCAGCCAGAGTTCCAAGCCAGCCAACCCCACACCGACGCCCGCCTACAGCTCCTATCCGTCCCTCCGGCCATCGCCGTCCCCCTTTGCTTCGGGCAGGAACACCCCAATCTCCGCGCAAGGGTCCGGCGCCTCTGGCCCGAAACCTGCGGCAAAGGCTCCTCAGGATAGCTTCAGCAACCTCGTCAATTTCGGCTCCTCCTCCAAACCGAGCGCGACCCTCAGCTTAAAGGAGCAGCAGGAGCGCCTCGAGGCCGAGAAACGCAAGAAGGAGGAGGAGCGCCGAAAGCAGGCCGAATCGCAGTTCGGCAGCCATTTCCTCGACTCATTGGGCTCTGGGGCAACGTCACGGACCTCTTCACCGGCCATCCCTCCCCGTCTAACACGTCCAGACCAACCCCGCCCGGGGCGATGATGATCTGTTCGCCGCTTTCCGAGCTGACACAAAAGTCGACAACGCAAGCCACTACCCCCACCGCCTCAACCAAGCAAGCCTACGCCCCCGCCTGGCCTGGACCTGAGTAACCCCACGTCGTGGAACGCGACAACAGCGCCCGGCGGCGGTGCCTCCAGCAAGTCGGGGTTCCCCGGCGTCGACGACGACGATGACGACCCGTTCGGCCTCAACCAGCTAGCGAACCGGAAAGCTGCAGCCAAGCCGAGCACGCAACCTGCCGTTGCCAGCGCAGACGACGATTTCTTAGGCGACCTTGGCTTACCGGTCGAGCAGGTTCGGCAACGGCAAGAGGCGTCGAAGCAACCCGAGCCCGGCAAACCCATCGAACTGTCCGAATCCGATTCCGATGACGACGACGAGCCGCCGGCACCAGCCGCACCCGCGCGCGGTCGGCCGAGCGGTGGACGGTCCGATCCGTTTGATAAAGCTGTTGCGCAACTCGTAGATTACGGGTTCAGCCCCGAGGATGCCAGGCGCGGACTCACAGAGAGCGGCGCCGGCTTGAACGTGCAGTCTGCCGTGAACTGGCTTCTCGATGACGCGCATCGCCAATCCAAGGAAAAGGCCAAGGGGAGGCGCCTCGCAGCGGCCAGCCAGGGATACCCGCGATGCTTCTCCGGGACAGGCGCAACCTCCATGGTCCAAGGATACGTCGCGAAGCAGCAGCCGGCCGGCAGCCGGCGGAGACGACTTGGCCAAGACGGCTGCCGCAATGGGGACCAGCATCTTCAAAACAGCCAATTCGCTCTGGAAAACGGGGCAAAGAAGGTGCAGCAGGCAGTCGCCGATTTCCAATACGAGGGCGATCCGAACCAGCCGAAATGGATGCGCTCGGCGCAACAAGATATGGTGCGAGGGTCCGAGAAGCACCCCGAAATTACCGACGAGGCCGGGATGCTCGCGTCCGGGTCGCGTCCGAGTCGCCGGCAGCAGGCTCACACGCAACAGCAGCCGTCTTCCTCCCGGGAGCGGTCGCCCGCACACCCTGCTCCGTCGAGTCGACAGAGCACAGCGACTCCCAAGTGGCAGCAGCAGTCGCAGCCTCTCGACCCGCGGTCCCGGCTCAACAAGCTTGCCGCGGATGATGGTAATTTCACTTCCTACGTGAGCCCGAACCGAAGGCGCAAGGCGACCCCAGCGGCAGAGGAGTCCAAGCCCCCACCACCCCCAGCAGAGGAACCCGATCTTCTCTTTGGGACGTCTTCGACGCCGTCCACAAGACTACCTCAACGACCGGCCCAGAGGTCGCCCGCACCGGCAGCGTCGACTCCCAGGCCGGCACCCGCCCCCGTGCGCAAGGCCACGCCTCGGCCTACGCGCCAGATCCCAGCCATTTCGCCTGCGGCCTTGCAGTCATCCACCAAGCACCGACTAGAAGGAACAGCGCATTTCAAGCGCGGCGACTTTGCCTCGGCCCACGAATCCTACTCCGCGTCTCTCTCGGCCGTTCCGGCGGCCCACCCTCTCGCCATTGTCTTGCTCACGAACCGCGCCCTGACGAGTCTCAAGACCGGAGAGCCCAAGAGGGCGCTCGAGGACGCAGACGCAGCCGTCAACCTCATCGGCCCTAGCCTCGGCCAGGGCGAGACGGTCGCTGTCAAGGTCGAGACCGGAGGCGAGGAGCACCGCGACATGAAGGACCTGTACGGAAAAGCGCTCAGCCGCAAGGCAGAGGCCCTCGAGCAGATGGAGCGGTGGGCCGACGCCGGCACCGTCTGGCAGCTTTGCGTGGAGGCCGGTGTCGGCGGCGCATCCGCCATCGCCGGTCGCCAGCGATGCCAAAAGGCCCTAGCACCCAAGCCCAAACCCGCACCGCGCCCCGCCGCCGCCGCCGCGAGACCCACCCCGCGGCCCTCGGCGCTCGCCGACCTTGGCCCCCAAAAGAGCTCCGAGGCCGTGGTGAGGCTGCGCGCGGCCAACGAGGCGGCCGCGCGCGAGGACGAGGAGAAGTTTGCCATCTCGGAGCGCGTGGACGCCAAGTTGGCGTCGTGGCGCGACGGCAAGAAGGAGAACCTCCGCGCGCTGCTCGGCAGCCTGGACCAGGTGCTTTGGGAGGGCAGCGGATGGAAAAAGGTGGGCCTTCACGAGCTCGTCATGGCGAACAAGGTCAAGATCGTGTATATGAAGGCCATTGCCAAGACCCATCCAGACAAGGTACGTAAACCAGCCATCCCTTGTTTTTTTTTTTTTTTTCAGTTGATGGGGTGAGAAGACGTATCTTGTGTAGGCGACGTGTTGTTTCGCTCAACTCGTCCTCCCCCTTTGAGAGACACAACTCCACCTTCCCCAGGACCAATACTTCACCTTGACATGGATGAAAAGCTAACCCAATGGATCAACGTAGTTGCCCCAAAATGCCTCGACAGAGGTCCGGCTCATCGCCGGAACAGTATTTAGCACGCTCAACGAGAGTTGGGACAAGTTCAAGGCAGAGAACGGGCTGTAGGCAGGAAAAGTGACCCTTTCGCATTTCCCTTTTTTGTTTCTTTTTGGTTGACCCTTCTCCATGTATTCCCAATTCCCGTGCATTTAGCGGCCGACTAAAGACTTTTGGGGCGTTGATAGAGAAAAGTCGCGGCGAGCATCTGAGTATGAATAGAGCGGCGAGGTTCTTCTGCCTTGAAACATATTGCCATATTTAACGATAAACTACATGACCATTCTGCGTGATCGTAAAGAGCAAAAACACCAAGCAATGCGTGCTGACACGGGACGAATGTATCTCTACGCTATGCCCGCCATAGGATAGAAAAGAGCCATCCTGCCCTCAGGTACTCAGGTGCGATATAGGGAAGGGAGGTGAGACGCGCTGATTGTGCATTACTCCCACTGCCCCCTTTTTTTCCCTCGCCATCGCTTCGCGAACCAGTTTATAAGCCAAGTGACTTCCTGACATCGTCCTTCACTTTTGTTCGTACTCGGCCCTCCTATCTCTCCACATCTTAGCGGCCTCCACGTTGGCAGGGCTCTCATCGTTGGGCTCGGCAAGCATGCTCATGACGCTGATGAGAATTTTCTCGACAGATTGGATGGGGGACCAACGCTCGGAGGCGTGCTCGTAATGGTTCGGGTCGTCACCCGGGGCGTGGAGGATGGAAATACAAACAAGGCCACTTGCGTAAACTACACAGGAGGAAAGTGGAAAAAGTCCATTGTTAGTTTAGGAGAATTTACAAAGTAGCAGAAACGCGGTGCTAAGGAAGGTGTATGCGACGAATGAGAGGTGGCGCTTCTCTCAGGTTGCGGGTGGTGCGACGACGAACAGAGGTGATGCGCGGTAGGGTCACGCGCGTTGAGAAAGGGGTGACCAAGATGGAACAAGTGTGGGAGGAGAGACCTACTGTTGGGATGCCACATGTCCGTCAGGAATCGCATGGTGGGCGGCGCCAGGGGTAGTCCTTGGGAAATTTAAGCTCCGCGGGAAAGACACCGCCTTCGAAGGGGGTGCCCTCGGGGCCTTGAATCAGAGCCTCCCAGTGCAACAGGTCGTCCTCGGACACGGGACCGGCAGTAATGCCCTCGGGAGGGTTGTTGGTGAGTGCGCGGTACTCTTGCAAAAGGCGGCGGTGGGCTGTCGACTGCGCCATGGTGAGGTAAGTTCCTCAGGCGGGGGAGGGAGGGTGAGAAGGAGACGAGACACAGGGGGCCGAGGGTAACCTCAAGCAAGGAATGGTGACGAGTAGGAGATATGTAACTTTTGGCCAGCAAAAGGAATGGCTTGTCGAGTAATTTATGGTGGGATATTGTGGCCAGGTTTTGGGAAGAGCTGAGGGATCAAGTCTCGGAGGACGAAGTCGATATGAGGTTGATGGTGGGGCCAAAAGTGGCCACGGGCGGGAGTTGGAGTTCTGCTGGGAAGGCACCACCGGCCCCTAAGTGGGGCAAAGAGTGACGTGAGGTGAGCGAAGGAGAGAGAAGGAGCAACTCAGCGGAGAAGGCAGGAGCTTGACAGAGTGTACATCAAGGCACGTACAAGTAAGGTATTCTTTCAGTCAAGGAATAGTATTAGTAAATCTTCATGTTGGCCTATCACCCTCGCTTGCCTCGACGAATTACAAAACCCAGGGTATCACATCAAGTTTCCTAGAAAATAAAAACATCACATCTATACACTAGGAAGTATAAGAAATAGTGCCAAAGGTATACTAGAATGTTTTTTTAAAAAATTGATAAACGACCCCTCCTCTGGCTCTCTCTAAGGCAACGATAGGTGATCTGCGCAACAGAAATTCAAAAAGCCAAGTTGATAGATTAGGTAGAATATGTAAAATATAAGATCAAGGGAAGGGAAGGGTAAAGTAATGCCGCAAAAGCAAAACAGGTCGCAGGTTAATTCTGTCATGGCTGGCGTTTTCGACACCTCCACTCATGCCATCATGGTAAAGGGTGGGCGCCATTCCCAATGTCATTTTTGACTAAACTAGTGCCTTCTAGGAGGCGTGTCTCGGCAACATTTTAAGGTACATAGAGGGAAGACAGGGGAGGTATGGAAGGCATCTGCCTCCGTCGCAAATGGAATTTCCTCCCACCGATATCCGCGCCAGGTTGCACAAACGAGAGGTAGTGAGAGAGTGAGAGAGCAACCCCCACCTCTCTCTCTTTCCCAAGATTCGGGCCAACGAGATCACCTGGCCCTTTGACCATCTCGGGCGAATCAGAATCAAAGTTCAACCTCCATCACCCGTGGTCTCGACATCAGCGCATCCAAAATTGCATCCCGAGACTAGGTGGAGTTTGATGTCAGGCACCATTCCCTTGTCCAAGATGGGAAGACGAGTGGCGCCTGATACAGGCAGCACCTCTTGCTTGTGCCGAGATTCCACTTTTTATCCCCCGTCCCTTATTTGGTCCACACTCTACCAATCGCCGGCCTGGCTCTTCTCCACCCCGCTCCCATCAGCTGCGAGGGATGTCAGCTATCGCTGCGGCGCGAACCGAAGGACCTCAGACTGCACCAGCATCGATTGATGGTTTCGATCTTTTCTTCGGGGAGGGAGGGGAGGTCATGCTGATGCTACTGCCAGCAGCATCAAGAGAGGGTTACCCCTCGATATGGGGGCCACCCTGGTAGAACAAAACAACGGGCCTTTCCGAGTATGTTGTATGGGTGGCCACCCTTCTTACTTTCCATTTCAAGATGAGTCCAACATTGGAATTACATCCACGTCCACATCATCGCGGTACGATTGCAGAAATGGCAGCTCTTATTCTAGCTAGTAATCGATGACCAAAATTTCACTTCCGCGAAATCCCTTTGACAACCAAATACAAAAGCTGGTTCGACAAGACGACTTGGTCTTTCTACTTATAGAGCACGCCGTCACCATCCTAGGTCTACTCAACTATCGCCATCTACCGCCCTCAGTAAGCTTCTAGTTTTCCTCAAAGCTAGATAAGACTGTAACACCAAGCAACTCTATCTAAATCTCGGAACCAACTCGAAACATCTCCCGTCATTCTACCATGTTAGTGCGCATCGTTAACAGGTGTTTCATCTGCGGACACACGCAGTGCCCTTGCTGGAATCTCCCACCAGATATGGACTACTTCATGACCTCGGCGGGGACGGAGGCTTTATCCGAGTGTCCGACTTGTTTGCGTAGGGAGTGCGACTGTGAAGAGATCTCGCACGTGTACGACGGTCATCGCCCCAGTAAACGGCAGAAATCTTCCTCGAAAAAGACCGAAATCTCGGACAGTGAGGGGAGGCAGGCTAGCAGGCTCGCGAATCTGCCGGCACTGGTGCCAACAAGCACCAACACGAGATCGCAGATACTGCCGCGTGGTCTGGTTCTGACGCGTATTGGCTCGAAAGAGCCGTTTCGGCACAGCTGGTCGCAATGGGTCGGCCACACAAATGATCCTACACAGCTCTACAAGGCGTGCTTCTGGTCTAATGGTAAGTTCAATACGGGAAGCGGTGTGTTTTCGAGGAGGCTATGAGACGGTGCTGATAACTTATTTCTACTCTAGGCGTGCGCGAGTATCTACTGTATACACCAGGCAAGGGCATGTACTCAAACATATTCATGTGGCCTACAATTCCAAAGCACCGCAGAACGAAAGCGGAGAGGAAAGACTACTGGGAACAGTATGAAATCCCCCTCCCGACGGCAGCGCAGAGCAGAATTCCCACAACCTACCAAGAATTTGCGGGTGATGAGATGGGATGGGACGAGAGGCATAGCTACAGAGAAGCTCACGAGTGGGGGCTGGGGGAAGACTCGAGGTATAGATCAAGGTCAATAGAGGCCAGGGCGAAAGGCGAGAGAGGCCGTCATAGGGCTTCTCATAGCGGCCTGGAGAAGCTGAGAACGAAGATATTCGCACTCTCGGCATGATGGAGGCCTTTCTAGTGCAGCAAGCATCGTGTTTCTTGTTTTTACTACCTTACATATATTCCCCAATGTAAAAGAAATAGAGTAATTCTTAGCAGTGCCCAATATGCCGTGAATAATATGCACTGTGAGATAATGATGGAATGAGTGCCTCTTTTAGTTTCGCTATTCCCCACGACATTCGAGATGTATAGCTCGATTAGTGTATGCCTTCTCATCAAACAACGCTAGAACAAGATTGTCTGATTATAATAAAGAATAAAAAATAAAAATAAAAAAGGCCTCCGCCAATGGCCCCCAGACAGGCCGCAAAGACCATCGTATGCCTGCTTTGAAAGCACTACATCCACGAGAAAGGCTGCAAGTACATTGGATCTATTGTATCTGGCACTTGAAGCTTGGGAATAAGAGGGAGCGACACGGATGGTGGGGCACGCACGTGACATGAGTGCACACCACCACTCCAAGGCTTGACGGGATTGATCCAGGCACTCCACGCCCAGTTTGGCGAAAGGGAAAGTAATTGATGAATCTTCAGCGGATTTGAAAGCTCCGACTCCCAGACCTGCACCGGCCAACCCAAAAGCGTCAACCTCACCATTTCCCTCCAGGTCGACCTTCCCACCCCACCCACCCGCCCTTCACAGACCTCCCGACACCATGACTTCCACCATTGGCATTCCCATCAAGCTTCTGAACGAAGCCCAGGTACGTTGGAAGCGCAGCCTCCGCAATTTGGCGGGCGCCCGCCGCTTCTCAGCCCCGCGCTCTATCCGCTGCTGCTAACTTGCTACCAATTGACAGGGCCACATTGTGACCTTGGAGATCACCTCTGGCCAGACCTACCGAGGCAAGCTAATAGAAGGTGTGTCTTCCGCTTGCGCATGCGCGAGGGCCATCGTTGTCTTCCAGCGCGCCTTGCCCCCCTCCCCACCGCTTCCCTTGCCTTCGAGCCTCCACTCCCAAGTCCGTAGCTAACCATGCCCCTCGTTTCCCTCGTCTGCAGCCGAAGACAACATGAACGTTCAGCTCAAGGACATCACCGTCACCGCCCGCGACGGTCGCGTTAGCCATCTCGACCAGGTGTACATCCGCGGCTCCCACGTGCGCTTCTTCATCGTCCCCGACATGCTTCGCAACGCCCCCATGTTCAAGAGTAGAAATGTCCGCGGCAGGGGTGTCGGTCTCGCGAGAGGAAGGGCTACCGTCAGCAGGGCGCGCGCCAGCGCCAGGGGCCCGAGGTAGAGACCGGTTCGGAGCGCGAATGGAAGCAGAGAAACAAAAGTTGGGAGCCACTTGAAGGATTTAGCATGGCCAAACGGCGAGCCGGGGAAGGAAACCGCGGGAAACTATCGAAGCGGTAAAAGGCCAAAGGAAGAGGAGCGACGGCACGTTCGGCACCTCCACTTGCCCCTTGCCTATTACCGAGATCCTGGTTTGCCGACGAGGGGAATAACTGGCGCCAACACGCAGGCGAAGAGAAGGCTTTTTTTTTTTTCGATCCCCCTGGCCTTCTTTCGGGGTCAGTTTACGTTGATCATGGCGTCAAGGGATACAAAATGAGCATGTCTATGCTCAAGAGCAGCGTTTGAGAAAACTTTTCTAGAGATATGAATGCCAATCACCGTATAATGGATAGGGATGCTGTGGTTGCCGATGGGACAAGCAATCTGTACCACAATTAACGTGATATAGAACCGCCTCTGAATCGAGATGCGCCGGTTGATGGAAGATGAAGTCTTTTTAGTCTATCATGATATGTACGCCATCGTACATTCCGCCCCTCTCCATTAATATCTATCTATACACATACACCTCTTTGAGTAAAAACAAAAGAAAACAAAATGAGAAGAGAAGTCACACACAGCGAGAGGTATCCACTATTTGTTGAAGCGCTTCGTTTGCGTCCAACCCTTGTCTTCCCCCTGTTATGTTTTTCATCCCGCTCTACTTCAACCTAGCCAGGGCTTCCTCTGCCTTGGCTACTAGCTCGCGCACCCTCTCAAGCTCTGCCTCGCCCTCCCCGGCGAGGGTTCCCGCGCCAGATCCGCCTTCGACGGCCTGGGCTATGCTCTCCTCGGCACCTCTCACCGCCTTCCTACCCTCCTCGCGCACCTCGCCCTCCCAAAAGCCGCGTGCGGCTTCCCACTTCTTCTGCAGCCGCCGTAGGCTCCATACGACACCCAGAGCAGCGACGGCGCCTGCTTCGTACAAACTAGAGACCCCGGCAGAAACGTAGAGGAGGCCCGACAACGAGGCGGTCAGGCCGCAGGTCGCGTAGCATTGAAGGACAAGCTTCTGGGCCAAGGCCTGTAGTGCGGGGATGGTCTCCTCTTGGAGGTAGCGGCGGGTAAAGGAGATGTGGGTAGGCCAGCGGGTCTCCCGTTGGGGTGGGACCGTGGCGGGGAGGAGGGTACGGGTTGGGGGAACGAGAGGGCTGCGGGCGCGGTGGGGAGGCGGCGCTGATGGAGCCGTGGGCCTGGCCGGAGAGGTACACGAGGTTCTTCTCGGCGCTGGGGAGGAACTGCTGGTTGAGCATGTCGTTGGTTAGCATGGTCACGTCGTCGACGCGCCAGAACAGCTTCCACCACCCCAGCTTCTTCCACCGCTGTCCGGTGAAGGCAAGGTCGAGCTGCTCTTGGAGCTCGGCGTGCGCCCCTGAGCCCATCGGCCGAGTCCGCGCTGTACCGCCAAAGCGGAGGGCGACTGCGTCGCGACGGTAAGCTTGCCGGCGAAACGACGCGACTCCGCAGCCTGGATGGCGGCTGCTGTCTCCTGCAGGACGGAGGAGACGAGAGAGAGAACGACAGGCTTTGTGGTGCCGGGCTGCTGGGCGATGCCCGTCTTGAGCCAGGCGGCCAGGGCTGGAAGGTTGCTGCTGAACCAAGCGCGCTCGTAGTCCATTGCGTTCCTGATATCCTGGCGGATGAGGTCGACGCCCTGGCGTGCGGTTGCGACGTCGATGGGCTGGAACGGCAGACTTGTGCCCTCGGGTGGGTGGTATCCGGGGATGTTGACGGCGGAGTAAATAACGCTGGTCTCGTCGTTCGCCGGCACAGATGCCAGGGAGCGTAGACTAGCGAATCCATCTGCCACGACGAGAGCCTTGTGTACCGGCGTCATGATGGGGCTAAACTTGCCCGTGTTCGAGGGGATGTCGACTGGCAGGTCCAGCAGCTGCTCCTCGATCGAGACGTCCTCCTGGGACGACGGCGGGTTCACGTCCATCAACAAAATCTCCAAATTGTACGAGTCGTAAACGGGCGAGGAGACGTGCACCTCCTCAAACATGCCCCTCCGCTCCATCACGACGCCCGTGTCGGGGCCGTCCCTCTTGCGCCCGACCTTGACGATGACGGGAAACCCCGGCCGACGCGCGGCCAGCTGCGTCTCCCACTCCTCGGCATCCTTGAGCGGGTCCGCGAGCAGCAGCTGCAGGACGGCCTTGGCCGTGGTTGCCGTCCCGGAAGCGTCGCCCTCGTTAGCTACCCCGAGCACGGCGACGCGGATGGACTCTTGGCCGGCGGGTTGGCCGAGGCCCAGCAGCGCGAGGTGCAGGCGCGAGAGGTTGACGTAGCTGCCCGCGTGCTTCTTGAGGTCGTGCAGCGTCGCTTCCAGCTCTCTTCGCGCGTCAATCGATGACTCGAGGGCGGGCGCTGTCGGCGTCGTCGGCGTCGTCGTTGGCGGAGGGTTCGTCGGGCTGACGTAGCTCCGACGGGGAGCTGTCGCGGCAGTGGCGGTGCGGGCCGCGCCCGGTCGCGCGCCCGGGTCGAGGGGTTCGAGGCCGCGCAGGCATAGCAAAGGACGATGATGAAGGGAGGCGGCCAGCGGGTTGGGCCGGAGGCCAGAAAGGGGCCGCAGGGATCGCGGCGGTGGCATGGCCAAGGATGTGCATGCGCTTTTGTGAGGTTTCGATGGGGTGGAAAGTTGGATGACGGAATTTGCCGTGGTCGGGAAGCTTATTTTCATTACTTGCAATTTTTTTGGTCCTTTTTCCGATGGGCCGGCGGGAGCTCCCTCTAGGGCGGCGTCAATTGATCAATGGAGCTTGAGCGCAGGTCCAGTGTTGGCCTTAGCGTCAATGGGGCCCTGAGGTACAGCTAGTGTTCTCTGGAAGAATTGCACGGATTTGAGACCATTCAATGAGCGTCTCAACTCTGCTACCAGATCAATTCGATTTGAATAGAACTTAGGGGCTAAAGTCAATTATCATCAAGAGCATTGTGTAAAATAGATAATAAGCGTGCGTAGCCATCTATAAAAACTTCTTAAAAATAAAATATGATTGATGCAGTACACAAAAACGCCAGGAAACCCCTAAATTGTTTAAAAAGCCTTCAATGCATACATGGAGATGGTATCGTATCTACTAAGCCTTTCCCTTCTTTTGCTTCTTCTTGCCATGGACCTGCTCCCTCTTTAGGTTTTTCCGAGTCGCCTTGTCTAGCGCACCGATAATCTCAGTTTCCTGGCCACATGGCCATCTCGCGAGGGCCGCAGCCTCTTCCTCTTCGGACCACTCGCGGGGTAGGACGGCGAATGTGAGGTATGAAGTATGAGTCTTGAGTTCTACTTCTGGTCGATGCACGAGCCGGCCTTCGTTCCAAGGCTTGGAGGATGCTGCCGAACCCTCGAGGCCGTCCGTCTCTGAAAGACGAGGGCCCTCCCCATTCTCAACTCTGTCGTCACCTTCCCCTGGTGCTCGACCAGACTTAGCATGGTATTCCGCCGCACGCGCATTGATGGCCTTCAGCCTCGAGATGGCCTCCGAGATGTCACTAGGAGCCTGAAGAGTGCCTCGCTCCATCGGCACATTTAGGCCAATCCTCTCGCGGGTAACGTGCATCTTCTTCTGGGCTACTTCCACCATCTCGATGCCAACCCACCCCAGTTCCCGGAGTTTCTCAATCGTCTTTGTAACCTGCTCTACGCATGGCGAGAATGTGCAGATATAAACGCTTTGATCCGGGTCGAGAGGGGATAGCCAAGTGTCAGCTTCTTCTGATCCTTCTTTAGTCGTATGGGATCCGTTCAGCTGGGGCCGGCGACGAGAGAGGTGGTGCAAAGCTTCCCAAGGTGCAGGTAGGTCTAGGAAGATAGCGTTGGCTTTTGGGCTCTTGCCATCGATATTGAAACCCTGCGTGTATACGTCGCGGTGCGTGATTTGTACGACACCTTCCAGGCCATGCTCGGCGAGTTCTAGCTGCATCTTCTGGTAACGTTGTTGGTGGTACTCGAAGCTGTACACCTTTCCCTTCTTGTCCTCGGGTCCCGAAGAAAACCCGTTGAATACGGCGCGCGCTGCCGCGTGGCTGAAACTTCCACTACCAGCACCCGCCTCGATGAGGGTCTTTCCGGGAAAGGCGCGAATGCGTTGAAGAACATAGCTGTAATCCGGTGTGTAGACCACCTGCGTCCTATGGGGTAACGAGATGGTCCAAAGCTCGGGAGACGGCTTCAAGATGTGTACGAAGCCGCTCGACGCTGCGATTGCGGGCTGAACTGCTGGCGCGGGAGAGCCTGCGCCATTAGGACCATGGCCATTTCCAGCCGAAACAGCGTCCGACTGCCTTTGCCTCTTTGCCTCCGCTTCACTTGAAGAGTCTTCGGCACCTTCACGCTTGCGCTTCAGGTCGGATACTAGTTGGTGGTCCAGCGCAGCGCCATTTTTATCGTCCGCTTCAGCGGCGAGGGCTGCCTTCTTTCTCCGGCCTCGCGAGCCCGTATCGACGGTAGAGGCGCGAATCTGCGAACCCCACGGGACGTCTATGAGGGTGGAGTGAGGGAACGAGCCAAATCGGCTATTCAAGACTGCGCCCTCGGCGTAGCCATCCGTGGCAGTAGCGGGGTCTTGGAGTATGATCGGAACTAGATTGTCGCGCGACAAGTGGACGATTGCTAGTGAATTCGCCTGGCTCCGCGACGTCGAGTGAAGGAATGGTGAAGGCGCCGCCATTGCGGCTGGAAGAGATGGGGGAATAAATTATAAGAGACCGAAGATGCCCGAATAGCGCTGAAACAGAACGAGAGGGTGAGGACTGATAGTTGATTTCGAGTCAAAGTAATACGCCGAACTCTAGTTATCTCGCGATCGGAATCGGAAGGGTAAAAAAATCCAATCAAGGCCACACTAGTTCGCTTGATTGGCAAAAAAGCTCATGGAGCCAAATGTTCCTGCACAGCTCTTTGGCGGGGAAGGCGGTGAAGATTTTGTGCCGCGGGGTAGTTTAAACCTGTTCTCTGATACACCCTCGCCCATTCACCCTTTGCTGGCCCTTGCTCGTTTGACACCCACCATGCTATCTTAGTATGTTCTGATCGAATAGAAAAGTCCCAAGTATTAAATTGGTAGAATCTTGACTTCGAATGACAGCATGAGAGGACCCCGTCATGGGTTCAGGCAATTCGACCCTTCGAGCAGGGGCCTTTGAGGGGGAGTGGGGTGGTGGTGGACTGAGACTCGAGAACCGTTTAATGCCCGGCAGAAACCAATATATTGAATTGTTCCATGAATCATCCCAATTTCGTGGGCGGTGAAAACAGAGACAAACCTCTCTTCCCTCCCAAATCCAGATTCTCTAGTCACATCCTAAATCATCGAACCAGCACTTTGGACACATAGTCATTGCAGTTCTACAAAGTAAGCTTCCGTCAGATACACTCGCTTGACTCTATTTCCTCAAGAATTTCGCTCCCTCCTCCCCGTTACCTCACTCTGCCCCCAATCTCGCATCTCGTAATTTTATTCCCCATTCTTTCTGTCTTTTCGCATCCCCCTTCGCGTCCACCGTGATCCAGCCGAGTTAGTGATCGTCTGAAAGTGGGTGTGGTGTGTAACTAGCCCACCGTACGTACACCTATTAAAAAATAAGACTCGGCGGGCGGTGAGTCTTGAATTGGAGCATCGCGTCTTGCTAGCTGACTGTGATTCGTCCCGCCTGTCGCCGTCCCTCTTTCCCTTTTCATTCCCCTCACTCATATACATATACATATAACCGTGGTCCCTTCTGGATGACTCTTTGGTCGCGCTCCATACGCCCCTCCACCCTATACCTTGGATTCAGTATACGACCAACCCTTCCCCTATTGTACAAACAGCCCCGCCTCTATTGCTTCTCCGTTCGAGTAAAGCGGTCGCATTCCACCGCAATGGCCGACTCCCTCGCTAGCCTGAGGGTCTACAACTCCCTTCAACCCGGCGGCCCCGTCCAGTTCAATCCTAGGGACCCCGGCAAGGTGACGTGGTACGCCTGTGGCCCTACCGTCTACGACAAGAGCCACCTGGGTCACGCGAGGAACTATGTCTCCACCGATATCATCCGGCGCATCATGATGCACTACTTTAACCTTGATGTCAATTTCGTAATGAATATCACTGACATCGATGACAAGGTACGTTGAAAACACTCCGGTACACACAATACACCTACAGGCAGGTGCCGCCGAAAGAGTCCCGGCGCCCACTCCCTCACCTCAGGCAGGCAAAGATTAACACAACAGCTCGCATGGCCTTAGATCATCATCAGAGCGAGGCGCCACCGCCTTCTCGAGCTGGAAAAGAAGAAGAACCACTCAGAAGATAAGCTCCAAGAGCTCGCGCTCGATGCTTTCCGCGCCTATGCCAAGAGCAACCTCCCCGCCCTCGTCGTTGAGGGGTCCGACTTGGATGCGTCCAGCTACGAGTCTCGAAGAGATGCCGCCTATGGAAAGGTTCTTGCCGGTGAGGCGCTTGCAGAGGATGCGAGGCCGGGCGAGGCCGAGGCCAAGATCAAGATGCACATTTCCAACACCGATTCCGCTGCAAGGGCCATCAAGCAGGGCCAGATCTTCCCAGGAGCCGACGAGATCTTCCTGCCGTACCTGGACTCTCTCTACAAGGACACGTTTGATACGAGCGACCAGTCCGTCTTCACTGAGCTTACCAAAACCATGGAGGACCTCTTCTTTGCGGACATGAAAGCTCTCAACGTCCTGCCGCCTGATGTCATCACCAGGGTTACCGAGTACGTTCCCCAAATCGCCAAATTTGTCGAGCGCATTGTCGACAAAGGCTTCGCCTACGAAGCCGAGGGATCTGTCTACTTCGACATCGCCGCTTTCGAAAAGGCTGGAAACCAGTACGCGAGGTTGCGGCCCGAAAGCCGGAATGACAAGTCTCTGCAGGAGGAAGGCGAAGGATCCCTGTCCAAGAACCTTGGTGGCAAGAGGAGCGCTGGCGATTTCGCGCTATGGAAGAAGTCGAAAGCTGGAGAGCCTTACTGGCCCAGTCCCTGGGGCAGTGGTAGGCCCGGTTGGCATATCGAGTGCTCCGTGATGGCGTCTGAGATTTTGGGCTCCTCGATGGATATCCACTCCGGTGGCATAGATCTTGCCTTCCCTCACCATGACAACGAGCTTGCCCAGAGTGAGGCCTACTTCTGCGAGCCGGGTAAGGGGAGCATAGCTGGGTCCGCTACTTCCTTCATATGGGTCACCTCTCCATCGCGGGCTCCAAGATGTCCAAATCCCTGAAGAATTTCCAAACTATCGAGGATGCGCTCGCCACCACTTACACGTCGCGGAGCATGCGCATCGTCTTCCTCCTTGGAAAGTGGCATGATGGTGTCGAGATTTCTCCCGAGATGCGATCCCACGCGGATGGCTGGGAGTCCACTGTGAATGTAAGCCACACCTTTGCTTTGTTTAGCACAACATCCCAAACCGTCTTACCGTGAAGCGTTTCCGCTCCGTTGCTAACTTCTTCCCCAAGAACTTCTTCACCAATACCAAATCCCTGCTTGCCGAAGCTCACTCCAAGGCCAACACCTCTGGGGTGGAGGCCCTCTCTCCAGGACCAAAAGAAGAGCGAAATCGCCGCCCAGTTCGAACAAGCAAAGACAGACTTTACCGCGGCGCTCTGCAACTCTTTCGACACGCCCCAAGCCATGCAGGTTATCTCCGGAATAATAAAGGATGCAAACATTCATCTCAAAGCTGTCAAAGATCAGGCTGATCTCGTTACCATCGAGGCCATCGCCAGATGGGTTACCAGGGTCGTCGGTGTTTTGGGCCTCGATGAGAATGCTGCGCCACCGTACGAAGGCCTAGGCTGGGCTTCAACCAAGGTCGCCGCGGATCAGGATCCGGCCGACGCTATCAAGCCTTACACCGCAGTCTTGGCCAGCGTAACCGCCGCCGTACAGCAGCTTCAGCTCAGCGCGGAGCCAATCAAGCAGCTTCTAGAGAAGGTTCCGGACGCTGATTTCCAGTCCCTTGTGGACAACGGTATTCGGGACATCGAGCAACTGGCCTTGCCCTACCTTCGCTCGGTCTCTAGCCTCCGTGACGAGTTGCGCAAGCTTGTGGGCACCGTCTCGCCCGAAGTAAAGAAGAGCATTCTCTCCCTCACCGACAGCATCCGCGACGTGGATCTCACCAACCTCGGTGTCTATCTTGATGACAGGCCCGATGGCCAGCCATCCTTGATCAAATTCGTGCCGGCTGCAGAGCTCATCGCGGCCCGCGAGGAGAAGGCGGCGCGTGAGCTCGAGCGCGTTCGACAAAAGGAGGAGGCGAGGATAGCCCGCGAGAAGGCGGAACAAGAGAAGCTCGCCAAGGCGCGCGTAAATCCCCGCGACATGTTCAGGGGTGACGATCGGTTCTCGGCTTGGGACGAAGCGGGTCTGCCCACCAAGATGAAGGATGGGAGCGACGTGCCCAAGAGCCAGCTGAAGAAGTTGCAAAAGGAACACCAAAAGCAGACAAAGTTATACCAGGAGGCTGTAGGCAAGGAGGCGTAAACTTATTACGGAAGGGATATTCAGTTCATAAAAGTCGGGGGTGAGGCAAGTGTAAACCACAATAGGATTTTCATAGCGGGAGGTGGGAGCGATCGATATAAGTGAACGCGAGATAGGCTGATGGCCCTTCGTCAAACTAGCTATATCCTAAGTCCAGGTCCTTCCTCTGCGCCTACATTAATTGTGCTCAAGAAGGCTGGCCGTTCTTGCATATGGCTATGAAGATGATGAAGACACACGAAGAATACAAAAATACACCAGCCCAACAACAACCAATTGGGCAAATTAACTAGTGTCAGTTACGAGTTGTGGAGCTTAAAAAAGATAAAGATTAAAAAGAACAAAATGAGAGATGGGGGCCAACCGGGGATTGAACCCGGGACCTCTCGCAATCTAAGCAGAGGGTGTTACCCTAAGCGAGAATCATACCACTAGACCATCGGCCCTTGCTTCATGCCTTTCATCGTTCATCCAAACGATTATGGAGATGCCCACGATCAGGTTAGAATCCTCGGGGGTGAAAGGGGGCCAGCTGCTCTGGCTCTGGCTAGATTTAAACAGTACGTTGTGGTAGTACGTGGTGGGAGATGACGGAAGACCACAAGCGGTGATGATTCAGAACCTAAGCACCGGGCGAGGCGTGTGTTCTCGGTGTCGTTGCCCGACCGAAAGGCCCAGCCGCTAAGCTACTTTGTTCTTGATCTCTACGTATCGTCGGACTTGACCACCGCTAGAGGTATTGCATCGGTGTAGAGAGAGTGGATGTTAGTCGGGTTTAATGATGGTTGATCAGCTCTGTATAGGCTGGAGCTTGACTAAGACGCGAGAACCATCAGTTTTTGCCTTAGAGGCGCCAATATTTAACCTACTGGTTGTGTTTTACTCTGAGGTTGCTTAGGAGGTTCGAATTCCAGTGCCATTCAAAACATCTTCGGAGCAAAGTCCGAAGTATCCCTGTTGTATCCTCCTTCCCATTGTTGAGGTCTTCTTTCCTTCCTTCCTCTTGTCCACCGCCGGACCATCATCACCCACGGCCACCTTCCACTCAAGCCCTGTGATGACTAGACTGCATATATGAGGAAATTGAAGAGATTCACTGCCACCGGTCCACTGCGGAATAGCTGACGAGTCACTCAAGTCCCACACAACGTCGTCAGCTCAAGGTGTCTCCAGGAAGCTGGCCTGGGGGACGTGAATGCGGCTGTTCTTGCACTGAAACAGCTAAGCTACAAATCGGGTTTATGTCCGCGGTATCACGACCGACTCGGGCCTTTTCTTTTTCTTTTCTATCACCATTTCTTCAAAAGATGATCTGGGAGTCTCTTCTATCAAACCACCTGGGAGTTTGAAACCCCAGCTCTCAATAAGCCCCATGTCATTGCTAGGCCACCGGGCGTGGCCGCCACGCTTGGATGTTGGCTGGCGGGCATGCCTAATAATTGCGAGCAAGAAGAGGCCAATCCAGTTACTATACCTATTGGAGGGATCCACAGATGGGATGAACGGATGCCAGTGCTCATTGTTAGCGTCTTCTTCTGTGGGCTGCGAAGAGGGTGAAAGACGGCCGCCGTGGCCGAGTGGAGGCTCTTCTCGACCCTGGGAATGATTTGAACGGTCCTTGATAATATCAGCTTCCAGGTCTTTTAATCACCAGGGTCGCTAGCGGGTTTAGTGGCTGTGGGTTCAGAGGGACAGGTGACGAGATCTATGGATACATTGATATTCTCCTAGCGCCTTCGTTTGAAACAAATAAACCCACGGGCTCTAATATTAGGGGCATCTTGAACTATGTGGTGCTTTTAGCATACTAGATCCGTTCTTGAGTCCCCGCCACTAAATGGACTCGATGTCTTGAACCAGTTGCCATGTTACGTATTCAGTCCTCAGGAATGTGGAATGCGGAGCCTGGAGCTTTCCAGTACACGCACAACTCCACGTGCCCCCTTGGCCTACAGCAACCCTAATATATCTGATAAATCTACATGTACATGTAGAATGCATGTAGAGATTGTTCGCCATCTTTGACACTAGAAATGGTCACTCCTTAATAGTGTCGAGAACCCTTTGAGCTCGAGTGAGTGGACCCGTCTCCTCCATCCCCCACCGCATTGAGGGCCGAGGGGTGGGTTCGCCAACTGAGACTTAGCTGAACCTCGGGTGGGGAGCATGTTCGCTCTTGTTTCTGCTCAGCCCGAGAAACTGGGGCACAGAGTTCCTGAGAAAAAGGCACTGCTTCACAATCTTGGGACACGGCATAGTGGGGGAGGGGCCTTGTTTGTGCCTGTGTTTCTGGAATGCTGTCCTACGTGTGGGATTGATCAATGTGATATCTCGCTCGCGACCTGTCACTAGGTGCCAGATAGGCAGTGTTGCGGACATTGTCAACCTCCTAATCTTGTGCTCCGTGCCGGAGAGTGGGGAGGACACCACCGTAGCTGCGGAATCTCGATCAGTTGCACCATCCCTTCGAGACCAGCTTTTGAGTCTCAAGGCCGGAGCAGAAGCTGAAGCGGAAGCGAGTCACGGGGTCCGTACGAGGTGAGAGGGATATATATCATCATATGCTAACTTCGGTGATGGAAACGGGGAGAATGCGGCTGGGCCCACGAGGAATTTTGCAGCCCCCATCCTCCATCCTCTATTATCCTCCATCCCACATGCCCGGACAACCTCGGGCTCTTTGCCCTTTCAAGTTATTATATTGGGCTGACTGTGACTTCTTGGTCGAGCCGTTGCGCTGGCCAAGTGGCTAGCTGCACGACTGTAGCCGTGTGCATTTATCCACAGTTCAAAATGCAAGCACTGCGCGGCGGTGTGTAGCGCATCTCCCCCCCAAAACCGCTCTTCCGCGCAACCAATCGGTTGTGGTGACCTCGAAAAAGAGAATCGCTACTTCTCGGTTGGCATTCTTCAACTAGTGTGACGTTGGGTGCCCAAGTCGTATCTATCACGGAAAGGAAATGCAGGCACAAGACTCTGTCTATTGCCAGCTTGTCGTTCTTTGAGTTCTCTTTGATTCGTCAACGTAGCAGCTGACTGGTGGCTTTCTCTGCAAGTGCTTCTGTATTACTTGCTTGATCGAGCTGGCGGTCCTCGCCTCTATCAGGTCCTTTGCTCAGTCGAGGCTTGTTTGCCCAAAAGGGTGCGGGACGAGCTAGTCCCAGCCGTGGTGATTCTCTCGGCATGAACCTGTTCCTCGGCCACATTAATTGTATGACAAGATACATCAATGGATGTCTGTCCGAATGAGTAGCGTTTCGTTTTCCCTGTTCCCGTCTAAGTGATTTATTTTTAATCAATAGATCGTGAATGAAAGACATGTGTCGCTCCCTAGACTCTTTTCTTTTTCTTTTTCTTTCTTTTTTTTTCTTGGAGGAAGAGCGATAGGCATCTATTTCTCCGATGGCCGCCTCCAGGCCGGGGTCAACTTCCTCGTAATCTATAGCCAAGCTTCTGAGCCTCTTGATTTCATGAACAATTGGGGCTGAGTTGATCATTAGCGGTTTTGGGAGACTATCGGTGGTGGAATGTTGGCAGGTAGGGGACAAGAAAAACAAGTTCTGGACACCCGGAGGCTTGCTTTGGTCAGTCAGCACATCAATGATCATTCGAGAAAGTTGTTCCTTCGCAAGCTCAGGTATTGGAGCAAGTCTCACAAGCCTTGAATTGTATTCTTCTCTATTATTTTCTTTATTCTCTTTCTTCCTTTTCCCATCTCCTATTTTACTCAAATATCTTTCATCATCTTTTTTTCTCTCTTCTTTATCAAACCCCCTCGCCCGTGTGCAAGAACTTCTGGGGTTCTGCGACTTGTAGTGCTTTAATTGTTGTGTTCATTGCAAACAATGGTCGGGAGTGGATCACTCGACGGGTACGAGATCTGGTGCAGCAAAGTTGGGGGTTTGACGTCGTGAGCAGCAACCCGCTGCCGCTCGTATCGCAATCCCCCAGTGAGCTTCGGCCTCGGATCTGGGTTCGATGGTGAGCACGGGCAGGATTGAGAGATCAATGATGGATCCAATGAAGGGAGAGAGATTCATTCGGAGTGCATGCGGAACCTGCGCCCAGGCTCCTCTTTTGGACCTCGGGCGATTTACACTGTAACATTAACATGATCTGCAGGTACTTGAGCTAAAATTATCCGCGGATCACCACTAAAGCTTGGACAGAGTAACCTCTGGTGTAAGATGCCATACAGTATCAAGCTCGTGGCTGGTTAGAGATCGGTCCACCTCATTTCCAATTCCACAGAGCTTCCAACCTGTCAGGACCTCTACCAGGCACTCCGGACCTTGTGAACCAATTCCGGTCCCCGCTGGCAATGACAATGGCGATTGATTCTTCCAATTGATTCAATGTGTTAATTGGGCCATATGGCTGCAGCACAGTGTTCTTACCGTTTTTCTTCTTTTTTTCTTCTTTCTTTTTTTCTTTCTTCCGGGCTCACTAGTTGCCTAGAGGATGCGGGGCTTTGGCCTGGCATCACGCTCTGCTGGGTGATTGTGAATACGAGGTCCCCGCAGCCGCGATCGATTTCATTGGGGAAGGTGCCCTGGAGGAGTTAGCCAGCACTGAGTTGCCGAATCTCTTTGAACTTGACTCTGGAGGAAGGACAACCCGATCAAAAGACATTGGCGGGAGATCGCAGAAGCAACAGAAACGAAACTACAGGAATTAGTTCGCGCGATAAACCGCTGGGTTGATACCTCGGTACTAGCCTTGCCCATTCCTGTTCAAGAAAAATCATGCGAATAATACAGCCAACTCTGGAAGAACATGGGTTGATGTGATGGCTGCTCTGTGAGCCTGTCCACGATTTCAAGGCAAGGCGGACTGCAACTCGAGCCCCCTTTAAAGCCCTCACGGCTCATGGTGCCTTTGAGGGCGGGAGAAGCAAAGCAGGGGAGGGGAACTGCCTTACTCGTGGAGTATAACTGAGGAGGATCCCTTCTGCTACGTTGTGATGTCAGTTCAAAAATGCTTGTCGAGGGAATGTGTCCCTCGTATTTTCCCAAGGCGGCATTCTGACGGCTGCTCTCCTCATTCAAGGCCAAGGCATCAAATCTTGTGCCTGTCTTTGGCTGTTCGTTTTTAATGAGGAGGCTCGACTCCACGCACGATCAATTGACATGTTGATCCCGGAGTGATAACCAACCCACCCACCCACTCCGTCCCTTCTTTCAAATTGATGTCCTGTTCTCCAGCCCTTTCTTGTCTTTACCACGATCTGAGGCTCCTCTCGCATGACGAAGGGGACTTGTTGTTGGTTGTAATAAAACGGAGACTCCACCATCTCGCCGAGGGATGCATCAGTGCCTAGGATCCATCGTTCCTACCCCCAAGCGATTTCCCGAACCTGCGCTCACAAGCTCACGTCCCAGCTGCAAACCAACCATTTCACCTCCATCGACGCCCGATTCGACAACGAAAGAAGAAGGAAAAAGAGACAATCTGTGGCCTGAACCGATCTCCCTCGATAGCCCCTTGCCGCGAAAATTCCACCATCTCTTTCGGGGTGGTGCAAAGCAGGCTCCCCTCTCCCTTGAAGCAACGAAGAATACCCGCACCTCCGCTGCCGCGCTGTGGTGTTAGCAGCCTGGTGGAGCCGGTCGGTTTGCAGAGTTGCGTTGCACCTCAGACTGCAATCCATTCTCGGACATCAGAGTCAAAAACTGGCGACTCTGCTCCGTCTGACCATCGAGGCCGACGATAGCAATTATTAGACATCCACGTTGACACACACGCCTCGAACCAGACACCATTTACGTACCCTCATGCACTGGGGCCCCATCACACAATCAGCGCCCCGAGAGCCAAGACCAGAGCTGATTGGCCAATCTAGGCCTGGGTACCTGGCAAGCCACCTTGAGCTACTCCATACCCATGCTGCAAGCGAAATTATCCCATCTTCTGTCTGCGTAAGTCAAGTCCATGTCAGTTTTAGTGCGTGGTTGTACATTTCCCGTCCGAAAAAGGAACCCGCTCTGGTTCATTTTATCCTTGCTTGCCCTTGTCACTCGAATGACTGGGATGCTTGGGCACGTCTTCATTTCTGCCGCTCTCGAGTGATATTAGCAATTGCTACGGTACCTTTGGCCCAGTGGGCTCGACGCGTACTTTCCAAGTCACTCGTGCGACTTTTTTCCCTTTGCTGCTCTGGCGTGTGAGCGCCATCAAGCCATACCTACCTCCCTTCAATATTATCACCCGGCTTTCCTCGTCCCTGGTCCGCCTTCCTGCCTGTCCCCTTCCCCCTTCACCTTGACACGAAATCGCCTTCGGCGCCATGCGATCATCACCAACGTCCGTTTCTCGGCGTGGTTGATGTGAAGGGTTCCTTTTGAGACTTCCACCTGCGTTGCGCGTTGACGCAGACTTCGCACCAAACGACGAGCGACGACACTTTTGCGATTCTTCTGGACGAGTAGCTTCTCGGAAATGGCCTCGTTGCTTCAGGACATCGAGGTATAACACAACCGCCATGCCCCAAACCAACCGCAATGCGGCACACGCGTCATGCCTATACACACACACACACACACACACATACACAGCACTCCATATCACTCGGGGAAGAAAGAGAGGTCGAAGTGGTCGAGAGGCGGAGTAATCACATTGATGGATACGGCTAGAGGATGAGAAGGGAGACGAACAACCGATTGGGTTTCCTCTCCGCACAACATCTTGATGGACATCGATTGCTAGATTCTCGACTCTTCCACTCACCTCTTTTTCCCTTGCGTGCCTATCTCATTCCCTCTACATCTCGAGCTATTCCTCCGTCCACCGCCTCACCTCATAAATCTTTGCTTTGAACGTTGCGATGCTTCTAGACTATATTCCCCGGACAAGTTGAGCTAATCTTTACTACTATGAAAGCTTATTTCCACCCACGTAACCACCACAGCGGCGCCCGCCTCCCGTTGCTGGTAGCCGAAACAAATCAATCATGGCCGAGCCAACGGGGGTCCTTCACTCGTTCAGGACCCCGAGATGGTGACCAACTCAGACGATCCTTCCAATAATGTTCTAGATACAACTCTCATTTCAACTAACGGCGACTCGTCGGCTTCGGAGAAGCGACAGTCGACCGATTCAAGCAACACACTCATTACCGAAATCCATCGAACCGTTTCCCTCATTCACGTCTTTCGGCCTGATGGCACGCCCGTTGAAATCAAAACCGTTTATTCCCCTCTCACCACTGTTCTCGTCGATCCCACGACCGGTGCCATCGTCGAATCTATTACGGACAATGCAGGCGCTGCCGCGGTAGAGCCTGTCGTCCCCACCCCACCCCTAGTTACCAACCTGCCAAATTCTGGCGACCTCACATCACCAGGCGACGAAAGTATCCTCCCCGTCGACCCCGATCTCCTTAATTCCCTGTCGGATCCGTTCTCCGAGGTCATTCCGGACCCGACGTCCTTAACCACACCTAGTAATACCGATGGCCTTCCCCACTCGAGACCGATGTCACCTCTGGCACCCCCACAGTGTCCTCATTTACGCTGATGCCTACAGGTGAGTCTGCATGGGCGGGTGGGAAGCGACGCGCAACCGCGGACGAGTCGTACTAACTGTATCCTAGGCTATTTCAACGGTACAAGCCAAGGCCACGCCAATGGAACTCTTTCTTTCCACATTGCGAATTTCCGCTCCTCAACCCTTCGATCCTCGAGTAGTTCGACATCGACCACGCTCTCCCCACGGTTGTTGTTGTGACGGATAGTGGAGGATCCGGCTCCGGGGAAGTGTTTTAGAAGAGGGGCCGGCTGTTAACGACGCAAATTCCACCAATGATGGGCCCACGCCGACCAGCACCGTTGTTGGTAGCGTTGTTGGTAGCGTCGCTGGTGCGGCCTTCATCATCTTCGCAATCATGGCCCTCCTGCGCTGGAGGAAGAGGCAATCCGGACGACTGCGACTGGTAGACGAGCCCGGTTCGGGCACTCGTGGCCTGGTTACCGACGGTGGCAACGGCGATGGCGGAACTGGTGGAGGCGGAATGATGCAGCATATGAATCCGTTCGCCGCCCCCGCCGTGCTCTCAACGCTGTCAAGCTACAAGGCTGCCGCGGGCACGTCCAAGTCCAAGTCTCAAAACACTGGATTCCACCGCATCTCAGGAAAGAAGCTTCCCTCGGTTCTACAGTACGGCGGCGATGGATTTACGGACCCTCGGGCGAGCACCATGAGCGGTGCTTCATCGATGTACCACGATCAACCTCCCCTAGTAGATGTGGACGGGAGCGGCGCGCCGATCCTCGCGCTCGGAAATCCCATGAGGCCGGTGAGCGGCGTTGTCATGATGAGATCGAGCCCCGCTCGGACACCTGTCACCGAGCAAAACCCCTTCATGGATCCGGCCCGAGATCCTTTCGCGGACCCCCGCCCTCCGCCTGCCCCTCCGACCCGTACACTCCGGCCCGACGCCGTGGGTCGATCTCTCACAGCGCAAGACCTTTCGCGTGGGTCATCTTCGCGCTTTATGGAAGACGTGTGATGGAGGCAATGCGCATCCGATTGGCCCCCTCCACCGTCTATGTCGGTGCGTGCCAGTGCTTCGACTAGCGCGTTCTTTGTTTTCTTTGTTTCCCCTCTCCATTTTTTGGTCACGTTTTGCCCGCCCGATACTGCCTTGCATTGTTTGCTTTTACACCGCATCTGCAATCTCGTTAGGCTCGCGTTTATTACAGCATTCCAAAGAGTCTCTAATATGGAGAGCGGACAAGACAAAAGAAACAGCACTTCATTTTTATAGTCATCACTGCGCCCGCCTGTCCATCAGTCTCTTTTGGGCTTTTACTCTTGTTATTCTTTTTGTCTTGTCCCCTATTCGGGTCATTTACTTTGCATCTTGTAAATATTGTTGTTCGGGCGCTAAGCCCAACTCCCTCGGTCTATCATCTTGTGACTGATGAGTCCCAAGTTGGCCGGTTTATTGGGGAGGTGGAATCTGGGATATATAGGGTTGGAGGATCGCGCAATAGGGGACCGGGATAGGTCCGAGACGGATGTCGAAAGCTTGTAGCCTCGATTCTTTAGACCAGAATATATCCACTAACCTTCTGTGGAAAGCTATTCTCTCCGCACACGTACATCGAAGGCTGTGAAGAAGTTTTCTTCTCAACATCGCACATACGCACATAGTTCAATGCTGCTCAAACGTGCATCGCAACTTGGCCGTGTACTCACGGCCGGTTCTTGAGTCTTTTTCTTCCGGATCTAGGAAGATTTTGGAGGCTACATAATTGGGGAAGATCAGGAAGGCGTGATCGGCCAGATTCGCTAGAACCACACTGAAGAGCCCGCCTTCAAGATCTTCATCATTCTTTTCGCCTACCTGTGTTCTCGCCACTTTGATCCGTCCGCACTTGATCTCTACCCTTCTATTATGCCCCTCACGCTTTTACAGGACCCTCCCGAGCTAATCAGATCACTCCTCCTTCTCGAAGATTGCCCATAACGCCTAGCACGACCCCAGGGGGTTGTAAGCTGGGACGAACCAAGCGAGTGGGCTGATGATCTTCCTCCAACGTCTATGCATTCGGGAGCTTGACGAAAATGATCGTCCACTCCAACAGGCCCTGGGTCTTGGATGGGGCCGTTGCGAGATTGTCGAGATTACAGGATAGGTGAGCCTTGCACCGGAAAGAAGCAGCCCGAGGGGGATGGGCAACCCTGAGTGGAGGTGTCAGGAGGAGGATATGCTTTACCACCTGCGGCGAGAGAGCCTTTTTCATCCGTCTCCACGAGTTTACGAAAGAGAGCATCTCAATGAGCTCTGTCCGTACATGGAGGAAGAAGCAGCCACAAGAAGAGGATTATGCGTCTGCTTTAGCAGAAAGGAATATTTGTGACGATGATTCGAAACACTCAACCAAGGGAGAGGGAGGGAGGGTTTGACGGGAGGGGCTTTTACATTTCGCCATTCCCCGGATTTCTTTCGCTGTCTTCTATCTTCTGCCTTTGATGTGGGGTTTTCAGTCTCCGTATGCCGCTTGAAGATTCACGATGATTCACGGGGCAAAAACCACAGGGTAACAGGTATGTCCTCATAGGTGAGCGAAGGGACGGCTGGGGCAAATGGCAACGGCGGGATGCAAGAGAAGGGTAAAGATGAAGAAAAAAGCAGACGGTGATAAGAGGGAGCCAACTCGTTCTCACCCAGTAGGCGGGTTGAGTCTGAGGATATTCTCTTGAGACGCTGATGAAACAGCACTCCTCTTTTAGGTTTGACGGTGGCCGGCGACGCGCGGGCCGGAGAATTGGCTATCGACAAGGGGCGCTCTCTCGTCTTATTCTGCAATAGTAATACAACCCGTCTCGTTCCTACCGTCTTGCCCTTGCGTCGTCTCACGCTGGAAGATGCGATCTGAGTTTAGGAAGGAGACGAGTAAGGAAACAAAACAATAGCCGGCACACGTCATCTTCGTGAGAAGCAGCCACACTAAGGTGCTACTCGAGAATCCTCATGGAGCAGATTTTCTAGTTCGTCTGCTAATTTTACCATTGGCTATTTTTTTTTTTCTTTTTCGCTTTGCTCCTTGTCCTTTTGTAGCTGCCTCCAATCCGAGCTTTTAGTCCATTTTTCGCAGTAGCTTGGATATCAACGAGGGTTATTTTTGGGGGAAGGGGGTGGGCGTTGAGGAGGTGAGCTGACTATTATTATGGAGCTTCGGTTTCCTCGGATAAACGATACGTGCTGCCTAATAAAGGTACAAGATGGCAACAGGCCGGTCTAGAAGAGCGCTGGGTAGGGTCCATTGTTTCGTTCAGCCCTGGCCACTATCATCCGGGCATTGATGCACCGAGGAAATGCGCGGGCAGATTGATGGTCGCCGTTTGTCGAAGCGCATGAATGCGTTCACCCACGGAGGGCGCTGGTCGCAGTATTACTGGTGAGCGGCCTCCTGTGTTGCTTGCCAAGAGCCGCAAATGGTGGCTTCCATAATACCATTGGAACCTCTTCGGAACGTTCGGAAGACGTCGTCATGTCAATGAATGCCTCTCAGACCGCGAGGATTGCTCGATTAATACTAGAGTCCTCCCTTAAAACGTCAGGGCGAAAGTGGGGATGGAGAAGGAATGGCATGCTCCAAGGAGCAAGATTTCTCGCCATTCAAGACGCTCTAGAGAAGACAGGCCCTGGCTGGCCTCGCTATTAGCGCACGGCAGAATATATTGGGGTACCTCACCAGCAAGCTCAATTCAAACCTACTCGTTTCCCGCTATCTCTTGCTGACAGCATCCGCCCACGATGAAGGGCAACGGCCAAAGGGGGCAGGATAAACCGGTTCTGAAAATGAGTGATCAGCGACTAAGGCCATCCGGGAACTGGACTGGAAACAGCCCGATCTCTCGTCTGATATGCTGCCAAGCCTTACAGACCCCTTTTGGGCTGTGCGCTGCGTTTCCACCGAGGCCGATAGATCAATTGATACAGTGCGATAGTGCGAAGTATTAGGCCAACGTACCTGTTTGAGGAAAAGGAAGCCATGCAACATGCAACAGCGCTTATCTGGGCGAAGATCGAGACAGAAACAACGCTCCTGATATTATCTTCCTGCGACGCAGATTGAAAGAGTGGATGCACTCCGTGAGAGAAGGCAAAGTAAGGGCTTGTGCTCCACCCAAACTCATTACCGTTTACCTCCCAGCCCTCACGTCCCGGCCTACATATAGGTATGGAGGTATTGCGTACTTGGCTAGGGCTATCTTTTGTGGCTCATCTCTGGGACTGGACCCAAGTTCAAAAGTATTCGGTACTTCCCTGTCAGGCTGTTTGACAGCTATTTGTGGCTTTCCATTTTTGTCGTCCAGGAAGCCAAGGCAGCGCAAGCAGTGGTGATTTTATGCTCAAGATCTAAATGATGAGCATACACTAGAATCGAGAGCTTGAGTGACAAACGATTGATGACGAACTAGGCACCACGCAACGCAATGGTGAGGATACACTCGTTTCCTAAAGTAGGGGTCCTATAATAGGCAATACGATTATAATATTGAGCTATTACCAGCATCGTCTCTGACATGAGATGGATGAAGATCACGTCACAATGCCTGGTCAGTTGGTAAAGAAGCAAGAGAGGGTAGGCTATGCCGCTCTACGACATAATCGGGCATTTCATATGAAAGCTTTACGGGATCTTGCCCACCACAAAACTGACGTTATGAAAGAGCACTAACTGTACCAATCTTACGTCCATACTTGCCATCACAAATGGCTCCGCAGGTAGGCCTGTGGTGTCTTCACACGACAGAGATGGACGCGGGAAGTGGAGATCGAGTGAAAATTACAAAGGATTGGCCTTCAGGGCGGATTCAAAGGAGCTAACTCTTGAGAGGAGAGCGGAGGCAAAGTTGCATTGTCAACGGATCGGAGACAGGTTGGCGTTGATGCCGGATCGACGCCGTTGACGACACTTTTTTGATTTCAAATCCGAACCCCTAGCTAATCCAACGCTCGGTCCACGTAAGGCCTTGTCTTTACGCTAGATTTTCTACCGGTGACAAAAGGCTCGGTATTGATAGCGAGTTTACATGTATGATTTGATGACGAGCTGGCAAATTGATCCATTGAATTAAAGCTTTGAATACTGAGAGCGACACGGCGGAGATGCGAGGAATCGGCTTTGGTTCATGTAAACTTGAGGCTCGAAACCTGGAGCCTGGAACCCGGGGCTAAAAAGCTCTACTAGTGTCCCTCAGAAGCAGCCAGCTCAGGTTGGGAAGTCGCTGGGTGTTGCTAGCGAGTTGGGGGCGATGGTTTGAAGGTGACTGGTATTAATTCGTCCCCATCATTCAATGATGCCCGTGCACCTCGAACGCCCCTTGTAAACAAAGTTTGAAGGAGGCCCTTCGCTTCTTTTCAACCACCAAAATTCGTTTCTGCACGAGCAACTGAAGACGTGCTGAATTCACCCGCTATCAAATCTATCCACCCCCTCCGTTTCCCTTTCCCCCAGCCTCCCGTGTACCTCGTCCCTCTCCTTTCCCCGGAGCCAGTTGGCGCATCCATCACCATCAATAGAGGAAAGAAGTGCTAGGACCAAGATAGAGAGGGTGACTCGAGTCGGAAATTACTGATGGTTATACCAGATATGTCTTCTTTCCCCTTCGTGCTCGTGCGAGTGAAAGAAGATGTCTTCAGGAAAAAAACACCTATAATGAGTGTTGACTCGCGTTCGCCACGAGCGGAAGAACAGGCCGCATGTAACATGTGGACCCGCACCGTGACGGCTGCAACGGCGAGAGTAGCTTCGTGGCTGCAGACACGCGGCAGTTTTTGAGGCTTTTCCCACTGCGTAATCCAGCGAGGTATTAGAGCGTGGCCAAACAGCGCAGTTGACACACTCCGCACCTTGCTAACATTGCCAATTGACGCCTCAACGCCTCACTGGACGCTGGCTTGGCTGGCCCTGTGCGCTCCGCTTTCTTGACAGGATCGCGGGCCACCATCTGGACCGTTCTCTAACCCGTTCAGTCACCGGAGACTACTGGTAGAGACTACATGGTATGGGCAGGGCCATTCTGCCACTATCTTTACGTTGGTCCGCTGCTGGCCAAGAACATGGTAGATAGGACAAACGTCTCGTTCGTTGAGATACGAAGTCTGGACCGTCTCGAGCTGCCGCCCACCACCGTGGCCTGGCAATGGATGGAATGGATATTATGGATGTATTAATAACAGAAGCGTGTGCCGAGCAAGATGTTTTCAGTCGCAGCCTCCTGAACCGGTGCCCCGCGGCTCGACCGGACTCTTCAAAGAAGCCGCCCATCCACACCCCTCCCCTACCGAGTGCCAAGGCACGGCCATTGGTGGCTTTGTCGCACTTATAGGGAGGGACGGAGAGAGAGAGAAGAGGGAAATGTTGGCATCTCACTTTGTCACAACAGCCTGTGCCTTTCTGGCGGTGGCGTTTGAAGGGTTGGATCCTACGGTGTCCGGGCCCTGGCTACTAGTGTACACTAGTGAGCTCGGGCACCGCAAGGGGCTTCACCCAACGCGATTGCCTCAACTTGGAGATCAATGGATTGCTTGTCCTTTCATGAAATGCAATAATCGTATTGGCAAATTGAGAATCGAGTCGCAGCACAAGGGAAAGAAGAGAAGAGCTCGTGCTGGATAGGGAGTCTCTCCGGTGGGGATGGATATGGGCCAGGCGTTGGCCTAGAATCCATCGTGTATAACCCGCTACGTTCTCGATCTATCAAACGCTTCAAGTTGACACTGACACTGACACCAGCCAGCGCTGACACCGACAACTTGAGCATTGAGCCGATGCTGCTTGGGATCTCATCAAATGGATGATGAGGCTGGCTATCAAGTGGTCCATGACTGGCTCTGCGCCTGCCTCCCTCAGGTGAATTATGGCTAATTAGTGGCTTTGTATCACCCCGTTTCTTCCACCGACTTTCGAAGCCCGCCCCGATATCCAGATGCAGTGATCAATGGTGGATGGATTCATCCTGGCCACGTCGACGTTGAAGCGAACATCGGGTGGTGGTTTTGCCTCCAACGGATTCCCCGCTTCCCCATCTGCGGAAAAACGACTAAAGGTTGTTCGAAATGTTTCTCGTTCAATGTGTCTCACCATCTCTCCCTCTTGCTCCCGAGCCCACCCCTTCTCCCACCTTCTGTCGCCATCCCGAGTTTTGTTTCCACCGAACAAAAAGCAGTGCACCAGGCTGCACCCCGTTTCTTCCCCACACGCCCCCCTCTTCTTCCCTGTACCTTGGCGCACGAGGGCCTAGCCGTCTTTGCCTCCCTTTTACCGTGCAGTCAACCACCCATCTGGTCCCGCCATGATGTAGTCTCAATTAGGAAAAGCTGCTCAGACCCTCCGACAGCCTCGAAACTCGAAACTCGGACGTTTCCATCAACTGAGGTGACTCGCACTCCCAATTCTGTTTCCCATTTCTTGCCGTCCTGTGCATTGCTAGGCTCCGCTTTCTGTCCCTCATTTGCTCTGCAATTTTTCACCTCCCCGTCTCCGCGCTCTCCGAGAGTTTGCTCTCTTGTCTTGCGGGTGGCCACACCTTCTCTCCCAGTGTTCACCCCGGGGCCAGCCATGCTACTTTGCAAAACAGAGTTGGTTCTCGTGTGGCTTCTGGCTTGCCTACCCGTTCAATCTATTTCGTAGTCGTAGCGATCTTGACCAGGGGTGGCCAAGGGGTTCTGGAGGAAGAGCGTCTTCACTTCAACACACATCCGTTGCTTCGAGAACATTGGAAAGAGATATATATAAAAAAAAAAATACAAAAAGAAAAAGAAAAAGAAAAAAGAACAAAAAAAAAAGAGGGCCAGGGTTGCTTGCACGCCTTGTTCAGGGTGTGTGTGTTTCGTGTAGCTTCGGCGCCAAAGTTCCTTTCTAGCATGCTCCGCCACCATTTCCCCAGGAGTCAGCGAATTAGGGCGCCCAGTGTTACAGAAAGGTGCCCCCGGACCCGGTACACTTGAAGCAATTACAAAGTACATTGATTGATCGGATTGATCCAATGGATCCATAGTGGAATCCATCATCCTTGAGCTTGGGACTTCCATAATACTAAGCTTCATCCCACCTTTTACCAAACCCCATCCCCAACCACTAAAACCACCGCCCAACGACATCCCACTACCGCAGTGTGAGCACACCAGCAAATTCAACCCTCTTGACCACCACTTCCCCGCGAATCCGACCGTCTTCTTTGACTCCCGTCTCCTCAAAAATACGATCTGCGATCGATAAAAATTCCTTCCAAGCCGTAAACTACAGCAATATCGAGGTCCGCTCTTTCCGGAAGACGAGGGATCAAGCAAGAGCAAACGGAACGTGGCACTCGCTGCACTAGCCGACCTCTACCTGACGACTGAGCCCCAAGCAACGCATTTCGGCGCCTTTTTAGGGCTTCACGCCTTTCACGATGGCCCATATGGGTTTTCAGATGCCCCCTATGGGGCACCAACCCATGATCAACCAACCGCCTCAGCTTTTCGGTCCCTACACTCACGATGGCATGCCCATGGGCCACCTGCCTCCCGAGTTGGCCGCTCAGATGTTTCCGGATCCCACAACCCTGCTTGACGATGCTAATGAGGCCAAGAGGAGGAGAATCGCTAGGGTAGGTAGATATTTTTGTGCCAACAGCAACATGATTGCGATAAAGCGCCCTTGGTGCTGGAGGGAATAGTGAGCTGACTTGAGTTGCGGAACTCCGCCCCACAGGCCTGCGACATGTGTAGAAAAAGAAGATCAAGTGCGACGGCAAGCTCCCCGCCTGCACCCATTGCATCAATTACAAGACCGACTGCGTATTTACGCAGGTCGAGAAGAAGAGGAATCCTCCTAAGGGGTATGTCCGCGCCATCCTTCCTTGCCCTGCACCGCAATGTTTGCTCCTGCCGCAGACCCTCGTGCGGGGACTTGTATTCGCGGAATGCCAGCTTGTGGCCTTTGGCTGCATTTCATTGCTTGGACCGCAGCGACAACGTATGGGGATGGTCTTTGCTAACTGTAGGTTTTAGGGCGAAATATATCGAGGGCCTGGAAAACCGGCTTGGCCGCATGGAGAGTCTCTTGAGGCTCTCTGGCCTTCTCGGCGATGACGACGGCGCGACTGACCTCGGAACCCTGGAAAAGAGGCTTGCGGAAAAGACCCAGCAGGTCAAGCAGTCGCAGTCTCTCTCCAACCCCACGTCTCCCTCGCAGGCTACATCTGGCCATGATGTAGGGTCTTCTCCCAAAGCGCTTTGACCTCTCCCGAGCCTATCAAGGACACACATGCCGAGAGCCGCGAGTCCGTCACGCCCGAGGATCCTCCGGTGGAAGAAGAGGTTGAGGCTTTGTCTGAGATGATGTGTTCCCTTGTAACAAACCAGAGCGGGGAGACTAGGTATATCGGTATGTTTTAATCGAGGAAAGACCTCTTCCTCGCACTTTGGGCGCCCTCCACCTCGCTAACCTTTTTTCACCCCCTCTAGGTTCGTCATCTGGCTTCTCCATCTTCTCGCCCAAGGGTATTCAGTGGGTCAACGAGAAGACTGGGGATGAGTCTTTCCAGCAAATGATCTCCGATGTCTCTCTCGATGACCACAAGTGGACGAACTGGAAGCCCGAAATCTTCTGCGACCTGTTCCAGCGGCCCATCTTCCGCCCTCTCCCGCCCAAGGGTGAAACTCTGTCTCTTCTCAAGGACTATTTCGAAAACTTCAACTGCATGTTCCCCTCTTCCACCAGCCTACTTTCATGCACCTTGTCGAGAGGCAATATTCGGACAACCCTTACCAAGGGTCCGGATGGTGGGCAAGTTTGAATATCGTCCTCGCCACAGCACATCGCCTTCGCGTGATGAGCAACCTCGTTCCGCCCGAGGAGGACGAGAAGTCGTGGGCCTACCTTAAGAATGCCATGGGTGTCTTTTCTGAGCTCATCATGAGGAACAACGATCTTCTGAGTGTGCAGGCCTTGCTTGGCATGGCGGCCTTCATGCAAGGGACCCCCAACCCCCAGCCCTCGACCCTTTTGATCGCCACCGCTATTCGATTGTCCCACAGCATCGGCCTGCACAAGAAGGGCACTGGCTTCAATCTCAACCCCATTGAGATCGAGCAGCGAAAGCGAGTCTTCTGGATCTCGTATATCCTCGACAAGGATCTCTGTATCCGTTCTGGCCGCCCCCGCGCAAGATGACGATGATATGAATGTTGAGCTCCCAAGTGAGGATCCTGAGGATGGCATTGGCAACATCCCCCTTGCTGATGGCAAGGGCAAGCTGAATCTGTTCAGGGTCATGTGCGAATTCGCCTGCATCGAGAGCCGCGTCTACAAGCGACTTTATTCGACCAAGGCCACGCGGCAATCTGCTGGCGAACTTCTCAACACCATTGGCGAGCTGGACAAGGAGCTCGAGGACTGGAAGGACAAGATCCCCATTGATTTCAGACCCGAGCATGAGATCAAGGCATCTCACACGCCCTTGATCCTGCATGTCGTCATGCTCCACTTCGCCTATTACAACTGCCTGACCACCATCCACCGCATGTCCGTCCACCATGGGTACTGGACGAGCCGTCTCTCGAATTATGCGATCCAAGGGCTCAACTCGAAGCCTCTCAACCCCAGAATCTTTTCATCGGCAGCGCTCTGCACCGCTTCCGCCCGCGCCTCCATCTCGCTACTCAAGTATATCCCGCAGGGTGACTTCTCCTGTGTTTGGTGAGTTTTTCCGCAACCCTAGGTTCGGCCGGTTTGCCCAGGCCGAATCGGTTTCGTCGTGTATTGGTCGAAACCCCGCCCGTGTTCCTACTCTAACATTTTATCCTCTTCTGCTTCTAGGCTTATCCTCTATTTCCCAGTGTCGGCTCTCATGACTCTATTTGGAAATATTCTCCAGAACCCGCTGGACCCGAGGGCCAAGTCTGACACGAAGCTGCTCAACCTTGTTGTCAACTTCTTATCTATGCTTGGGCAAGAGGCAGAGACCGGTGGTGTGCATCGTATGTTGGGAGTTTGCTCCGAGTTCGAACGCATCGCCAAGAAGGTGATTGAGAAGGCGGAGAAGGACCAGGCGTCTCGTCGCAAACGCAAGAGCCACGAACCCAGCTCGGCATCGGCGGCGGGTACTCCGACGCCGTCCGCGGCAGCGCAAACACCCCGGCCGAGCGCAGCCACTCCCACAACTCATGGAACCCCGATGACGTCGAGCCATGGCGGCCACAGGTCGCCGCCACCGACGGGCGACATACCGGATAGAAGAGGGGCCAGGAACCTCGCACCCATGAAGCCATCGATGGCGAACGAACCCTCTCCCGCTCTCCCCTCCGCCGGTTGGCCCCAAGAGTTTAACCTACCCGACGGCGACTTCAACTTCAACGACTTTACTGGTTTCCCTCCCCTGGCCTTCAATCACCGCACATGGCAATGGCGTTCCAGCAACCTTTGCTCCCACATGATCTCTACGCTCTACCAATGTCGCTAGATTGGGAGTTTGCCGAGATGAGCGGCGGTGCGTATCCTACGGTGGAAAACGGAAATTTCGGTACTGGTCCCGGGCCGATGTAATATGATTGGGGGCGACTGGGTGCCGGGTGTTTTGGAACCGCACCGTTTGGAGCCAGGGACAACAATAGAAAGACCACCTAATGGGAACGGGCGTGATCGCCGTGGTCGAAGGTTGACAAAAGCACATGCATCAAGACTGGCGACATTTATGGGCATCGAATTTGCATGGCTGGTAAAAAGGATAGCGGATGGGCGTTGGAGATATGACTGGATGTAATGGCTAACGATTTTTATTTTCAACGTTTTGGGATAGCTGCTTCCCTTGTGTTCTCTTGATCCTCTCCTCTACTTTTGTGTTTTTCTCTATGGGAGATTTCTTTCCCCATTTTTTTCTCTCGCTGCTCCGACTCGTTCTTGCTCTTCCTACATGTACCTTCTTTTTATGTTCTCGCCTCTCATCGCCTGTCGTTTCTATCTGTTCTTCTAATTAGATTTTGATGCCCGCGGCTAGTCGTTGGCTTCCTTGGCCCTTTGACCTGCTTGACTGGAGATGTAATTGAATGGATTATCCTTATTAGTCGCTCTCGTTGCTTCGTACTGGAGCTCTTGGGTGCTGCACGCCTAGCAAATAGTAGATGACGAGTTGATACCCGCTCGTTTAGCCTTTCCTACGCATTTCTTGTCTCGGTTTAGTTTCTATCTTTACAGGCCGGGGAACGCCTTTCCTGCATTGTCTCAGTCGATGCCTCTCGGAGCGCGGTCCCTAAAGCGAGCAATGCTGGAGCTTGAAAGGCTCAGGGCCAATATCCTGGGGGAACGTTTAATTAGTCCCATCTATACCTCGGCATTTGTAATGCTCGACGGCAAGGAGGCTGTTGGCTCCGCTGAGAGAGTTTCTTCAGGCACCAGGAGCGCTGACATCACCTCCATCCCCGGATGGACCGGACTTTGATCCCACGGACCTGACCTGTTGAATTGGTGAAGGAACTTGAGTATTCTGCTGAGGAAGGCATGACAAGGAGTTAAGGAAGTCGGACATAAGCAATCACGTGATACTGAATACCGCAGGGGAAGTGCGCTGGCAGAGGTCCTTCGTCCAGGCTTCCCGAGTTGTTTGTGCAGCGAGGCTTGCCACTCGCCCAGCACCATTGGCTAGCCTCCAGCGCCTTCCCTAAGCTTCCAGTCCTTTAGGAAAAAGCTCGGTCAATTGGGGGAGCTCCGTCGTCACGAGTTAATGCGTCACGAATTTTCCCAACCTCAGCCGAGCACCTTTCTATCATTCCACTTTTCACCACATTTTCCATCCCCTTCCCACTCCCACCGTATCCGCCAGGTTTTGGAGAGCTTCCCCTGGCTGAAGCGACCTTGTCAAGAGGAAGACTAGGAAAATTCCGTCGGGTAACGCCCCGGCCTTCTCTTTATTTTTTGATTGAGTCGTCCCATTGGCACGGCTTGATTTTTCTTTCCCTAAACGACCAGTCGACTCCTGCTCGATTTGCCTCGAAAACAACCTCCAACGACCGCCGCCCACGACAACGAACGGAAATCCCCGCGCCCATGTCGAGATTAATTCGGGCGGGCCAATTGGCCCGCCTCACGAGGACCTCTACGTTGTCCGTTTCGACGTCACCATTCAGAACCCCCTCCGCTTCGTTTGCGAGAATACCGAGGGGCCGCGTCCTTGAGCGGGTGCCTCGGCGGCGAGCTTGCATTGCCGGACGAGGTGTTTTTCCACCGCTCCTCCTACGCCGCCTCCGACACCGCCCCCGAGGATGGAAAGAAACCGGAAGAGAAGGGCAAGAACGAGGAGAAGAAGGATCTGAACGGGCAGGATAAGAAGGCGACCGAGACCCAGCAGCAGCAGCAGCAACAGCAACAACAACCACAAGAAGAGAATGCGGCGGAAGAAGGGAAGTCGAACGCGACAGAAACACCAAAGGCGGAAGGAGAGGAGGAAGCGCCTGTCCGAGAACTCCCGGAGGGCTGGGTGAGGCTCACGGAGGAGGACAAGGAGGCGCTCTTCAAAGCCATGGAGAACTTGCCGACGGGACAGAGCAGCTTCTTCAAGACCCTCATTGCGGACCTGGAGAAGTATGGCGCGCCCAAGGAGCTGATGGAAATGATTCGATCGCCTAAGCGCAAAACGCCAACGGTTAAGGAGATGATCAAGTTTACGCGCATTGTGCACAAGACGGCCATCAAGATTATGGAAATGCAGGCGAAAGAGGAGGAAGAAAAGATCAACGGCCCCAACGCGCAACAGCAAAGCGGCGACAAGCAAAAGTCCAAGGAGGACAAGGAAGGCTCGGAGGGGCAAGGCGCAGGCTTCTCGAAGAAAATCGGGCCCTTCTCGATCAACGACTATATCCTGATGGCGGTCACTTGGTTCATCCTATCGCCTTTTATCGACAGATTCTTGTTTGGCGAGAGCAAGGAGATTACGTGGCAGGAGTTGCAGCGCATGTTCCTAGACAAGGGCCTGGTTGAGCGCTTCGTGGTGTACGAGGGCCGCGTCGAGGTCCAGCTGAACCGAGATGCGGTGAGGTCGGTCTACCAGGGATCGCAGTCTGTCGACCCCAATGTCCAGTACTTCTTCACCATTGGGTCTGTTGATTCCTTCGAGAAGCGCCTGGATAGTGCGCAGGACGACTTGGGCATCCCTACTTCTGAGCGCATTCCCGTCAAGTACGGCCGACAGAGCCCTTGGCTGAACCTCCTCGTCGCCTTTGGGCCTACTGTCCTTTTGGTTGGTCTTCTCATGTACTCGACAAGGCAGATGGGTGGCCGCGCGGGCAACCAGATGTTTGGTTTCGGCAAGAGCAAGGCGAAGCAGTTCAACCACGAGACGGCGATCAAGGTCAAGTTCACGGATGTGGCGGGTATGGACGAGGCCAAGGTCGAAATCATGGAGTTTGTCAGCTTCCTCAAGAGCCCAGAGAAGTTCCGAAGGCTGGGAGCCAAGATTCCGCGCGGTGCCATCCTGGCCGGCCCCCGGTACGGGTAAGACTTTGCTTGCCAAGGCGACGGCGGGAGAGTGCGAGGTTCCCTTCTTCAGCGTGAGCGGCTCCGAATTTGTGGAGATGTTTGTCGGCGTGGGACCATCGCGCGTGCGAGATTTATTCGCGACGGCGCGCAAGAATGCACCTTGCATCATCTTTATCGACGAGATCGACGCCATCGGGCGAGCGCGCACAGACTCTCGCATGGGTGGAGGTGGCAACGACGAGCGGGAGGCGACGCTAAACCAGATCCTCACGGAGATGGACGGATTCAACACGGCAGACCAGGTGGTGGTGCTTGCTGGCACGAACCGAGCGGATATCCTGGATAAGGCGCTCATGAGGCCGGGGCGATTCGACAGGCACATCTTCATCGACCGGCCGACGCAAAAGGGTCGCGAGGCCATTTTCCAGGTGCACCTGCAGAAGATTGTCACGCAGGAGGACAAGGAGCATCTCACGGGCCGGTTGGCGACACTCACTCCCGGCTTCTCGGGTGCCGATATCGCCCACGTCGTCAACGAGGCTGCACTTATTGGTAAGACTTTTTCCCCCTCTCCCCCTCTCCCCCTCTCCCCCTCTCCCCCTCTCCCCCTCTCCCCCTCTCCCCCTTTTCCCCTTTTGCCCCTTTTCCACCGCTTCGTGTTGCGGATGATTGGCGTGATTAGTGGCTAACAACTGGCTTATAGCTGCGAGGGCAAATGCGGACTCGGTGACTCTTCTGCACTTTGAACAGGCCATTGAGCGACACATTGGTGGCTTGGAGAGGAAGTCGTTGGTGCTTCGACCGGAGGAGAAGAAGACGGTTGCGTACCACGAGGCGGGTCACGCCATTTGCGGATGGTTCCTCAAGGATGCGGACCCGTTGCTCAAGGTTTCCATCATTCCCCGAGGACAGGGTGCATTGGGCTATGCGCAGTATCTTCCTCAGGACGCGTATCTCATGTCGGTTCACCAGCTGATGGACCGCATGGCGATGACGCTCGGAGGACGAGTTTCAGAGGAGATTCATTTCCCGACCGTGACTACGGGCGCGAGCGATGATTTCAAGAAGGTGACGGCGATGGCAACGCGGATGGTGACGCAGTGGGGCATGTCGGACAAGGTGGGACCGATCCACTTTGAGAACGAAGGCCAGCAGCTGCAGAAGCCGTTTGCAGAGGAGACGGGCAAGCAGATCGACGCCGAGGTCAAGAGGATCGTGAGTGAGGCGTACAAGATGTCCAAGGACCTGTTGGTGTCGAGGAAGAAGGAGGTTGGACTGGTGGCGGAGGAGTTGCTGAAGAAGGAGGTGCTCACGCGAGACGACCTGGTGCGCTTGTTGGGCCCGCGACCATTCGCGGACAACCACCAGGACTTTGAGAAGTACTTTGGTGGCAAGCCCGGCGAGGTATCGCCGCCCTTCCCTGCGGAGGAAACGGACACACCCCCGCTCCTTCGGCTTTTGAGAAGAACGACTCCTCTCGGTTATAGAAAGTGCGATTTCATGACGAGCCTTACCAACCCGCACATCATCGACGGCATAAGGCGCCATGGCGTCTACGGGGTACAGAGGCAGGCGATGGAGATTTCTAAGCTTCACTTCACCCAGACACACACACATACATTGGAGCCGGCTACTACAAACGAATAGCCTTGTTGGCTGGTTGGATCCTGAATCATCATCGCCTCGATTCTGTTTCGCCTCGCTTGGCTGCGGGCTCTCTTTGGCATCGACCGTTGGTTGTTTCTTTCGTCTTCCTTATTATTTCCTATCTCCTTGTTTTTTCTCTCTCTCAAGTCATTTTTTCATTGTTCTGTCACGGCGTCTTCTCTTCTATTTCTCTCCCTCCCAACTCTTTATGTGCTTAGACTCTGTATTACTATATGGGAGAGGGGTTTGCGAATGGAGGAGCAAAGAAGCGAGTAAGGCTGCGAATGAAAGTAGCGAGCCTAGGCCAAGAAAGGTGGACGTGGCGCGTTGGGTGAAGTAAGGGGAGGAAGCAAAAAGGAGGGGTTGTTGGGGATCAAAGCAAGGCAAACAGCCACTCTGTGTGAGGTATACGCTGTCGACCTCTGTCGGGCTAGCTGGGGGAGGTGCTGATGCGTGGACGCATGGACGCAGGAGCAAGATAGAAGACTTGTTAAGATGTTGGACGGAATTGCATAGCCAAGCCAACTTGGAGTAATAGAATTCAGCAAAGCTTCCTGCTGCTTCTAAACCCGGATGTACGGAAGTCCGAGAGCGGAGATGGATGTGTGAAGATGCATGTGTGAATATGTGTGTGAAGCTGTGTGACGGCTCGGCCTGCCGTATTATGAGGTGACTGACTCGACGGGGCGGGCTCCTTCGAGGCGGAGGCGAGGAGCTCTTGGCTTGGCATTGCGGCGAGGAGCGGACGGTTTTAGCTTTGGGGCTGGTGGGCCCGTGGGAGCATGTTTTCTGGGTGGAGACAAAAGGAGCGGTCGGGGACGGCCAGCCAAGACCGGGCGTCGATTCTCATGTCCTGTCGACGAATAGGAATATCGTGGATTCTTAGAGGGAGGATGAGTCAACGATGTACATGTAGCCATGCATGCATCTCCATTGATGGATCTCGTCAAGCGGGTGCAATGGCGGACGGATGGACTTTGATGTCTATATTCGGGTTGTAGTCTTTGAGGTCTTTGAGGGTATATGGGGTCCAGCCCATTTCCCACTTCCTCAGGTCGACAAAGTATCTATGGATCAATCTTGCTGGCGGCTGGACATTGGACGACGACAGCACGTGGGGAGAGCAAGGAGACGAGGTCTGGATTCTTGTCCCCTCTACCTCCACTCTCGACTCTGTTCCACCTCAATGACTCTTTTCGCGCCGATCCTCAACGGTCGGGGAGATGCAAGGATTTCCTGTCTTTTCGTACTCTCTTAGATATGCCCGAGGCGGCACGCACGCAAGCACAAGCACAAGATACTGGCGGCGTGGTATGCGGGGTTGGCGCTAATAGGGCCTGGCCGTGTTTCCGCGTTTGCCCCTTGTCTTCCTCGATGACTTGACTGCACAGTTTTTAGCTTCTGCCTCTTGGGCGTTTGGCTCGCGTCATTCAATTGCCTTTTTGCCCTCTCTTCCCTTTTGGGTTGGCGACGAGAGTTTTTTTCCCCCTTTCAATTTTTTTCTTTTCTTTTTCGCCTCTCGCCCGCCCGGCGGTGACTCTCCAGACTATCCAAGTACTCGTCTAGGATCTCCACCCCGTTCTCGTCACGGCACTTTATTGATCCGCGGATTTCCCGTCAAGTCCCGCGTCCTTTGCTCTTTCCCTCCCCGCCACACACCGCGTCGTCTCCGGAGCGAGGTTTCGGTGCATCCTCGTCCAATCCGTTAGCACTCTCGTTATTCTTCCTTTTTTTCTCTCCCTTTCTACGCACCAACCCTTTCCACCTTGATCTCGTCCGTCTTTGTTTCTTTTTTCTGTTTCCCCTTTCGGGGTTTCCTTTCCTTGTCTCGCAAGAACAATGTCCACCGTCCACGAGGCGCCACGAGGTGCTGCCCCGGTCGCGGCCCCGGCTCCGGACGTAGAGGGCGCCGGGACCGCCCCGGCGAAGAAAAAGGACCCTTGGTGGAAGATTCGGCTCTTTAGCGGCATCGTCAATGATTTGCGCCGCCGTGCTCCCTTTACGCGAGCGATTGGAAGGACGCATGGGATTACCGCGTCGTGCCCGCCACCGTCTACATGTACTTTGCCAAGTATGATCTTTTTCTTTTCTTTTTTCTTTTCCTTTCCTCACCTCGCGACTTTCTTCCCCACACGTCTCTTTTGCGCATGAAGTCTATCTTGAGATCTCCTTGAGTGGTGTAATGTCTTGCCTTTATGTTCCCCCTTGCCTGCCACGTGGAAAGCTGCACATGCCGCTGTCCACGTCAAACCTAGTGCTCTACTCGCTGTACATTATGCGCTTGCCACATGTCTCAGATATTTCGTATCCATCTCATCAATATCAATGTTCTTTTCTTCATCTTTCTTCCATCTACGCCTCACACACACACACACTCTCTCTCTCTTCTTACCCGACCGTTCGCATACATCTCGCTCCGTCATGTCTCGGCACAGACGCATAGCAGCTGTTCCCTCCAACCGTTGGACACATGACATGATCCTTGTTGAGAAACTAACCAAATCTCTGCCATGGCCCCTTTGCGGGTCCTGAGCTTGGCCTTATCATAGTATTCTACCCGCCTTAGCCTTTTCCCTTGACATGTTCACGAGTACCGACTCCAACTACGGCGTCAACGAGGTCCTCTTAGCCTCCGTTCTCGGCGCCGTCGTATTCTCCCTCTTCGCCGCTCAGCCCCTCGTCATTGTCGGTGTCACGGGTGAGTTCTTATCCCTCCAACTTCTCCTCTCTCTCTGTCTCTCTCTTTCTACTGAGTGCTAACTCGCCTGTTCTCATCCAGGCCCAATCACCGTATTCAACTAGTAGGTTTTCCACCTTGCCGGCTCCTGGGCTTTGTAATTTTGGCCGAGACACCGCACTAACACGCTTGCCTTGCCCTTTTTCTTTCTTTAAAGCACCGTATATGATATCATGAAGCCAACTGGTGTCAACTACATGGCTTTTATGTGTTGGATCGGCATGTAAGTCTATATATCCTACTTCATAGTGTCCCCTCCCACTCTCCTCTCGTCCACCCCGTCAGAACCATGCACGACAGCACTTTGACAAAACAAAAGGGTTGACCCCCATAACTAACTGTTGCGCCCCTCTCTCCTCTCCAGTTGGTCCTTGATCTTTCATTGGATCCTTGCCGTCACCAACTCGTGCAATCTACTAAAATACGTAACCCGCTTCCCCTGCGACATCTTTGGCTTCTACGTCGCCTTCATCTACCTCCAAAAGGGCATACAGGTCCTGGAAAGGCTGGAAAGCGGCGAATCCTTTTACCTGTCCATCGTCGCTGCCCTCCTCGTCTTCATGGTCGCCTACCTGTGCGGCGAGCTCGGGACCAGCAGCCTCTTCACCCACACCATACGCGTCTTTCTCAAGGATTACGGTACCCCGCTCACCCTCATCTTCTTCACCGGCTTCGTCTACATTGGCCGCATGAAGGACGTCCATCTCGAAGTGTTACCCACCAGCATCGCCTTTATGCCCACCACCCGCTCCGGCTGGATCGTTGACCCGAGGGACATCTCGGTCGGCCAAGTCTTTTGGCTGCGCCTTTTGCCATCCTCTTGACCATTCTGTTTTGGTTCGATCATAATGGTAAGCTCCCCCTCCTCGGTGTTTCGCTGTCCCTTTCCTTCTCCCTCTGCCTTTTAAGGACGTGTAACCGTGTCCTTTTTTTGGAACTTCGCTTTTGGCGCTTGGCGCTTAGCGTTTGTCGTCGTCCTCGTCGCCGGAAAAACCAAAACTCATGTTTCTAACGCGCTCCCCATCAAGTCTCTTCCCTCATCGCCCAAGGCACCGAGTTCCCCCTCCGAAAACCCGCCGGCTTCCACTGGGACCTCTTCCTCCTCGGCCTCACCACCGGCGTCGCCGGCATCCTCGGCCTACCCTTCCCCAACGGCCTCATCCCCCAGGCCCCCTTCCACACCGAATCCCTCTGCGTCACCCACGCCGTCCAGGACGTCGACGAAAGGGCGAGCACAAGGGCGGCTACCTCACCGAGACCACCCACGTCGTCGAGCAGCGCTTCTCCAACCTCGCCCAGGGCCTCCTCACCCTCGGCACCATGACGGGCCCTTTGCTCGTCTGCCTGCACCTCATCCCCACGGCGTCCTCGCCGGCCTCTTCTTCGTCATGGGCATCCAGGCCCTCGAGGCCAACGGCATCACCGCCAAGCTCATCTTCCTCGGCCGCGACAAGGCTCTCACCCCGCCTTCTCACCCCCTCCTCAAGATTCGCCGCCGCCGCGCCATCTGGTTCTTCGTCGCCATCGAGCTCGTCGGCTTCGGCGCCACCTTTGCCATCACCCAGACCATCGCTGCCGTCGGTTTCCTGTCTTCATCATGGCCCTCATCCCCATCCGGACCTTGCTGCTCCCCGCTGGTTCTCGGACGAGGAACTCGCCGCCCTCGACGAGCCCACCGCCTCCCCTTTACCATGGAGAGCTGCGGCGGTATCCACGGAGCCGGCGACACCGACACCTACGACACGGACGCCTCCAAAACCTCGCCGCCGGCTCCAACGCGGCGATGCTGGACCGCCCTGATCTCTCGAGACGGACGACGAGCAGGCAGGGGACCGAGCATGTCGACGGCGTGTTTGCGTACCCTGGCGCGCCGAGAAAGAGCCAGGAATCGTTGGAAGGGCTGGACCGTGTCGTGAGCGGGGGTCTGTGGGGACGGCCACGCGGCGGAGACAGGTGAGGTCGCCGTCGAGAGACGCTGCCACGACGAGCTCAACGCGGAGGGAAGGAGGGCATGGAGGGAAGCAGAGTCTGGGCCGAGCCATACGTAGGGCGGGCTCAACATCCTTTTGCGTTTCCTTGCCATTTATCATTTGCCATTAGCACGCCTTCACTCACTTCCTTTTTATCCCTCCTCTATCTATCCTCGCTTTTGATCTATATCCGTCATTTCTCTGTTGGGGTTTAAAAATATGGTTTGGTTGCTAGGTCTTATCACTGGTCTAAATTCGCACAAAAGAACGGGAACAAGGCAAGTCGCAAATTACATTCATTACACTGCTACTGGTTTATCTAAAGTAGCGCTACTAAATCCTGTGTCGTTCTTGGAAACGGAAGAGGGCATCTTAGAATTGAGGCAGGAAAGGCATAGTGGATGATAGAGAGAGACAAAGACCAGTTTGAAGAATAGAGATTTCCTCTTCAAACCAAGTTTACTAGATAATAGAACCATAAAGATAATCAGCTGAAAAAGGAAAACAAATGTACGGGCCAACAAATCTTGAATCCCCCTTCTAGCTTCCTTTGGCTGTTCGCTCTGGTGCTTGTATCTTAGAATCAGTCAAAAGAACTACTATCTGACTTGCCGTATCTCATGGCTATCTAGGCTCTGTAAGACTCCTACTACCAATAAATGACTCGACGGAGGTGGAATTCAGAAGGGAACCAAGCAGGTGGTCCTAGGCGGCTGCAGCTTTTCCCACCCTTACAACTATACTTACCATGTGCCTGCGCCAAAAAAATATAAAGAGACGGGAAAGAGGAAGAAAACAAAAAGGCCTTGCGTTAAGCGCGCAGCCACATCTTTTTCGTCTCCAGGCCGATCCACGGGCCGAGCGCCGGACTCTTCTTCCTCCTCCTGGCCCCGGCGCCCATGCCCTTGTCGGAGCGGGGGAGGGGGAGAAAGAAGAGAACATGAAAAGAAAGATGCTCACGGGATCACCGACGTGGCTGGTGCCGTGCGGGGGTCGACTTACTAGAGATCCGTCCATCCGCCCAGCAGTTTCCCCCTCTTCAGTACTCCACACCTCCGACAGGCAGGCAAGAACAAGAACGAGATGGCTGTCGACCGGGGATCTCGAGGTTAGTGGGGAAGAGTACCCCCGAGCTCGCCGTGCCCGGCCTCCCATAATAATCGAGATGGAAACACGCCTTATACCACAACATCCCAGTTGATAGAGAACGCCAAAGAACAGACTCAGGACTGGGGGAGGGGGCAGACCTGCCAGCACGGCTAGGTCACACGCCCCTCTGAGATCTCCCAGCTTTGTCCTTTTCCCCGAAAAGCCCACCGCAGGCCCGGGAAACCGCGCTCTACTACTGCACGTCCTCTACCTCTACCGCGCGTCTTCCTGCAATGACCATCTCGGCCTCCAAGGACTGAGGGGAGGGGCTGGTCGTAGCCAGCCTGGCACCCGGGAAAGCTAGTTCTCTGCCGTCGCTTGACCAGGGCTTGACCAGGCACCTCCCTGTTTCGACGGGCAGAAAGAAAGAAGAAACAAAAATGACAAAAGAGCCTCCGTGGCTGCCGCTCGGCTCACCGCCGTGCGTGTGCGTAGCGTACCGTATTTTTGAACCTTCGAGCCCTCCCCCCTTCCTCCCCGCCTCCCTCTTAGAACGCCGGGCCTTGCTTGCTTCTAGATCGACCCGGAATGGTATCCCGGGCCACAACTTGTAAAGGAAAGTGGAGAAGGAAATAAGACTGAGCAGCACTGACGTGTGGGGCTCACGCACCGTGAAGACCGGCTGCTCGAGGCGCGGGACCACCACTGACAACCCTTGCCCATCAGTCTTCGTCTCTATTGATGACTTTGATGCTTCTTCTTCTCGTCCCTTTTTTCTTTTGCTTGGTTGTGTATAGCGTCACCCATATTGGCTCACTCGATTCCCCATTGCTCCCTGGTGCGTCCATCTTCTTCCCACCCAACCTCGCGTGGAAACCCGGCCCATGTATACACCCCTCCCTTGCCCAACCAGGCCTTGAGGAGGGGGGATGCACACTCACTCGCGGCCTCTGCACACAGAATGCGGGAGACTGAAAAGAGTGAGAGACTGGGTATAGAACGAGGAAACCTGAGAGGCAGACCTAGGCGATTCCAGTCTTTGCTTCATCCTGGCCGACGATCCTAACGGACCGAACAAAACTTGGCTCGACACCGTCATCCGCCAAAGAGCTCCTGCCTCTTCCTCCCACGCTCACAGATAAGCGTCATTCGGCTGCATGCGGCGAAAGAACTCTTCACTCCTGGTAGTGGCAGGGTAGCGGGATCTTGACCCTCTCTTTCCCTGTTCCCCGTGTTGTAGGTTGCTCATCTGCAGAGTATCAGTCGCATGCTCATTCTCTTCTCTCTTGTTCTCGCTTCTCTTGCCCTTTTCCTCCTTTTCCTTGTTCCGATCGTTCTCTCCCTGTATCTTCCCCCCCAACTCTCTCCCTCTGCCCTCTCCAACCTCAACACACGCCCCCGTCCCCACCCCACCATTCCACGCTTCGCCAAAATCATGGGCTCACCGCATTGCATCCTATCAATACTCTGCAGCCCCCGCCCTCCATCTTTTCCTGCCGCTCTTCGATTGTTGATCTCGTCCGCACCGCACAGCACCACACCGCACTACACCACACCACGCCGTACCACAGAGACAAAGCCCCACCAATCCTATATCCTAGCATCCCTAGCACACCCTCTGGACACATGTACGCACTCTAACCCTCGCCAAAAGCAAAGAAAAAGGAAGCAATATACTATTGCAGCATCTGTCTCCGCACCCACACTCGAGCCCGCATCCATCTATGCACCACCCAAAGCTCAACAAACAAGGGCATGGGCTTGAACCTCAAGGCCTTCTTTCCCTCCCTATTGGCGCATACCATGTCCAGATACCGAACCTACTTTGGACCGGGAATGAAAACTAGGATCCAGCTCGTAGATTCCTTTCCCATCTCTTGCTCGTAATATCTGGAATGATTCCGGGGAGCGACGAGTAGGAGATTTCTAACATAGTGGACGACCGATCTGAAAAGATTGACCCCACAATCCCGTAAATGAAAACTAAATGGCAGTCTGTGTATACCATGCTGAAAATGGCCATCCGGTGGCAAAGCCATTTGCCAACTACCGATGGGGCTACCTCAAAACCATCCCCTTCATACAGCGCGAAACTTTGGGCGGGCGAGGTAGCAAAAGTGTCCGGGGGACGTAGAGAACAAGAAAAAGGGAACGGGGAACGGGAGAGAGAGAGGGAAGCGAGAGCAAGGGAGCGACGAGAGACGAGTGTGTAAGCCAACAAACAGAATATCTCAGAAATCCAAAGGGTGGGAAATGCTGATTTTCTTTTCCCCGGCCATCTTTCACTGTGTGTCAACGGCCACTAGCCCTCCATCACCCTCTTATCCTCTTGGACTTGCTTGCAGGGTTTGGCGAACCGGTCCGCTACGGAGAGCCTGCAAGCAAAGGTTCCTCATGGACCCATACCGCCTGTCGACACCTCCGATGCCACAAGCAACCGCTGCGCAAAAGGCTTCTATCGCGCACCTTCATACCGCCTTCTCCACTTTTGCCGCCTTCGTGTGCAAGGGGGCGAGAAACAAACCCTCCCCAAAACCCCTCACGGTAAGAGGCTCCGCAAGCGATCTGTTTTCAGTTCACCAAGCTTCTACTTCGTGTTTTCCCTGTCCTCACCCCCTTCCTTGTCTTTCCGTCAACAGGGGTGACATATAACGACCCCGCGTCGACGGTATCCTGCTGGCCATAACCAAGGCGAGTTGATAGGTCCTTCGCCGAAGCCGGGACCACGATTTTCACTCCTGCCAACCCCCTCCCTCCCGCTGGCTTGACTGGTACGCCAAAGAAGAGTGGACTCGCTTCGGTGGGTCAGCTTCCAAGCTCCTAGCTTCGGACTCCACGCTGCGTATGGCCGGTGGGAGGACAATCACTCGATTGGTAGACACGGAATCCCCGCCAAATTTCCAACATCAAGTCCCAGAAGGAAGGAGCGGGGAAGCCTATGGGAGGGGGCGTATCTCTTGGGATAGTGGATCCAGAATCTTCGACCTGGGGTGGTGTGTGGACGAATAAAGGTGGCGGGATGGCGCAACGTAAAAATGGATGCCCGAGTGTGAACAAAGAGTCTGGTACTCCGAGGATCCTAAGGACCGAGTCAAGAGTTGTACCAATACCCAGGGCTGACGGGGAAATACATCGAGTTCTGAGCCCGGCCCCGAAAGCCAGAGGCGTCTAGAAGACTACACCTAGCTTTTGCCACGAGCTTGCCGTTGTCCGCACAGACTCTACTAGCTTCTATTGACCGCCGCGAGGTGGGGGAGGGAGGGGCTGACACGGCCAAATGGCGCATAGCTAGCCGAACAAACGAGTTCATCAAAGAACTCGACGGCGAGGCCCAGAGTAGTGCTGCAACCTCCCCTGTCGGCTTTGGCGAACAAGGATCTCGGATCCTGAGCATGAGAACTATCCTCAAGCCAGCGGCACCACAAATAGCATCCCCTATCCTTGAGCAGCCAACTGTGCGCACACACTTGAACAAAGGCTCACTCCATGCAAACCAGCCTGCATGACCCACTGATGGAGCGAGCTGGGGGATGAGAGGGGATAGGGTAGGGTAGGGTAGGGGGAAGCAGGGATCTTCGAACCTCCCACGTTCTCGCTTCGAGAGGCCCGTTATGCCGACGACACCAAGCCACCCTTTGCAGCTTACACCTCCTGCCTACCCAACCTTCCTTCATATTAGAAGGCCTGTCTGTGGCCAAACTCTTCACCCCACCCCTCTCGTCCTCCTCCTTCGCGCTCTACTCTCGCCATCGTTCTCTTTCCCTGCGTGCGAAGATGCCACCCAGTGCCTGTCTTCGCACCCCCGCCCGAGGTCATATCATGGACAAAAGGAATAGATCAAGACCCTAGTCTTCTCC